ACTGATCATGCTCAGGCACTGACAGCGCGTGTTTGTTGCCAAGAGTGCGCATGCGCGCCGCCTGCTGCGCGCACGCGCGGGGTGTTTTTTTTTGTTTTTTAGCTTTTTAACTAATTGAAAAGTTATGAATTTAATATTTTTCATGTCTGTTCATCTCTTAACATTGCTCTGCATCAGTTTATAACAATTAGATTGCACAAAAATTTGAAATATCTAAGTTTCACTTGGCAATTTTTTTTCATAAATTTGTTCGAAAGTGCTCGGAACAACTTTAAAACGTGAGCAGGGGCACTGGGTAGTATCACAAAAATATAAAAAATATATTTCAAAACCGTATTTCAGTGGAAAAGGCGGAAAAAGAATCAGTACCCCCGCGCGTGCGCGCACCAGTGCCTGAGTAGTTGCCGCCAGGCTTGTGCGAAGGCCGGCCCGTCAACCTCTCCTTAAGCAAAAATGGCCGGCCCGGCCCAAAAAACTCAAATTCTCTTCAAGTCGAATTTTTCGCTTTTTTTACGAGAAAAGTGGTATTTTTGCTTATTGTTTCTCATAGAGATTAGAAACTATGATTCAACAAGTAAAAATAATCTTGTGCGTCAGGCCAGGCCGGCCTGACGATCTTTGATTCTCCTGGATTGCCATTATCTTTTTAGTAAGTTTTCAAAAAAGTTTTCACCCTGATGGTCATTTCTATCTTACCGGATTCGGATTGAAGAATTCTTCCGAAACATCGCAATATTTTTCTAATTCTAACCGCGTTTGCGTTCATTTTACTTTTCTTGTCTTCACTGATTCGAAGGTTCAGGATGCCGAAGGGCGGAGCCTCTGCTCTTATTCCGGTTCATGCTGGGGTGAAAGACGACATGAACGTATTTTTACGAACCTTCATCAAAAAGAAGACTGTTCTGTGAGAAAAATGATTTACAGCAGTGTTAACTTTTGTTTCAGTTTTGCTGAGTTCAAGGAGCTATTTGTGAGCTGCGGAATGCTTGCAATGTTCAACGGTCGTTCTTATGGGGCCGAAATCATTGAAGTTTGTTTTAGCGCTTCTTACTCTTTTTTTCAAGTTCTAAAGATCTTTGAAGTTTCTAAACTGTTTTTTTTATCCCTTAACGATTGTTCGATTTGCCAAAAAAAAAAAACGACATTGAAAGTTTTAACCTGCACAACTTTCCCAGTTTTTGCGAACAAACTTCTCGACGCTTGGTGCACGTCACAACTATAAGTTGCTTGATTTCGCCGTCGCTCTGGAGAGAGACTTTAAGACTTCATGGACCTTTTTCACACAGCACTGAGTCTTTGAGCAAATTTTTGAAGTTTTCAGAAGGAAAAAGTGAACTAATCTTTTACCATTTCTCAAGTGAAACTAAAATGCAAATTTGTGGAAATTTGCTTCCCATTTTCATTTTATCTCTTGTCCACCGCCTTTTCTGCATTTTTACAGTTCAATGAGCGTTTGCTTGGTATTTGTGTTGAGTACATGCAGCCTCACGTTTGTTCAGGACTGCCCAGATTTTTCGAGGTTTTTCTTTGCATTTTTATCCGTCATCTCGTCTTCTCAGGAACGCCTTTTTGGTCTGTATGCTCTTTATATCTTCTACTACTTGCAGCCTGCTAACTTCGTTGTACAGGTTAATAAAAAAAGTTTTCTTGCAGCAAGTTCTCTCATTTTCGCACGGAAACCAAATTTCGTACAGGCAAGAATGGACCCGGACAGTGTGCAAGACTTTACGAAGTTAATGCAAGAAAATTTGGCTCCGAAACAGCACTGGGATGCATACGCCTGCGGCCTCAAGTTAATTCACGACAACGCTTTTCGCATCGTCGCCTTTCCAGAAACTGTTCGTTTGGAATCGGTCTCAAGAAAAATGGAAAATGTTCAGCACGATATTTCGTGCTTCAAGAACTACGAAATAATTTCCGATGAGCACGAAATAGCGAAGGTTGTCAACCCGAACGTGCCGCTGAGCCGTTTCCTGAACTTGGTCGAGGGCGAAGAAATACAGATGCTATACACTGCTCACGAAATTTATGAAAAAGTTTTATTATCTTTTCTCTGAAGCTGCCATCGGAAAAATCATGAAGGAATTTTTTTTTTTCCTGAACTTCTGAAAACTTCAGAGCAAACTTGACACTCTCGGCTACGTCAATTTGACTTACAATTATCTGGATGACCCAAGGTCAAAAATCAAAACGTAATTTTACCTTTTTTGTTTCCTATAATCACCCAAGTTCGCAGGTGTGTTGAGCGAGTCACTCAAGTTCACGAGTATAGAACCAGAGAACTTCCATCGCTGGTAAAATGAAAGAAAAGAGGATGAATAAACGTGGTTCATCCAGAGACATAAAGCCTATATATCGAACGAGGTTAAACAAGAGCAGGAGAAAAACAACTCGGAAATGGCAGGGGAAAATAGAAATGAGTCTGAAATCGCTCGATTGGCTACTATCTCAGTTCGATTTTTCGGTTCCTAAACTCTAACTAGTGAATCGTTTCAGGAAGCGGCAGAACCCGCCGGTTTTCGTCGTTCTAGTATCAAGGAGAAGGCTTATTCTTCGAACGTTACTTACTCGCGCAATCGCCGTTATCTCAACATGGAAGGTTGAATCCAATTTGAACGCTTTAAATCGAGTTGTCTTCCTCATAAGTATTGGAAAACAGTACGGTCAAATTCTTTCGAAGCTTATTTCTTGAAAAAATTTTTCGATTATTGAAAAATTATAAATCAAAAATCTTTGTAAATGTTAATCTTGTTTTAAGCAACCAAAGAGGAACTGACTGAAGGCTTCGGCGGAGATTTCAGTAATAACAAAGAGCGTAGGGAAAACAATCAAAGTGTTGATGAACCTAAGAAGAATGGAACAATGGGTCTCAAGGTTGGTAAATTCGGGAACGGCAAAAATTCATTTTTTTTTCTTTTCGAGTAAAACTTTTGTTCATTTTACGCAATTATTCTTTTTTCTTACTTATAAAAGTCTAATAAAATAGTTCATTCTCGTTTTATATGTTGATCTAGTAAATTAGACATTTGCTAAGTTCAGTCAAAAGTCATTGCCTAGGTCAAAGAAGAGTTGCTGGAGACCTCACAGAAGCGTCGTGGAAGGAAGCGCAAGACTATACAGTTTATTGATATATGTTAGTCAAAATTTTTCACAAAAGAACTCACGTTTTTTTGCAGCCGAAACAGATCCCCAAGAAGAATTGTCACCCTGTGTGCTGAAAAAACCAGGTGAATCGAGGCGAACCACAAATAGGTAAAGCATTTTATTTATTTTATTCTAACGAAAAATTTGAAAAAAAAACAATGTTTTTTTTTCAGAGTTCGTTTTGCATGTGAAGAAGAGCAAAGCAATTATCTAGAAATTGAAGAGCTGAAAGGTCGCCGAAACTAAATAATCTTAAAAAAGTTTGCTTACAGATGTGAAGCCGGAAGATGAACGCGAAGAAAACAATTGAGAAACTAATTATGTTCACTAAGGTTGCTCACGTTTCATTAGACGTTTTAATACAATTTTTGATGGAATGCTCCCTTTTGACCCGCTAAGAATTCGGACTTGAAATCAAACAAGATTTATTAACTGTTTCTTCTTTCACGAGTTCAAATTTTGTTCTAAATGAGCGAGATCTTCGAATTTTTGCTATTGAACCTCATGTTCACACGCGCTTCATCCACAGCTGACTTCGGATATAAACACGTGAAACTTTCTTCCAGCCATCCGTTTTTTGTATATAGTCTGTTCAGATTTTAAATGTCAAGCAGCTAACTGCTGAGACGGTACCTTTCGCGTCGATGTTTTATCGCGCGAGACTAATTGATCTTTTTTGATCTAAAAGATAGAAAAAGAAGTCAAAAATGCAGCCTTATTAAAGGGCCATCGTCACCTGTAGATAAAACATTGATGCGAAAGATAGTTTAGCCTTGGGGGCGGAGTTAGCTGCTTGACTTTCAAAATCTGAACAGACAATAGACATCTGCATTTTGTTGTTTCGATATTGCATGTAATTCTTATTTACATGTTAATTTTATTACACTCTTACAAACTGAATATGAAATATTCTTCAAAGAAAAGTGTTCCTTTTTAAAAGCTGCAGAAATTCTTGATAAATAGGCAGATAAACAGTTAAAAATTTTATTGATTTAAAAAGGAAAAAAAATCTAGTAAGGCCACAGAAGCGTAAGAGGGTGAGAAACGAAAGCGAAAGAAACCGGCTTACATTTTTCTCTTGGTTAAACTCCCAAATAAAAATTAGGTACCCTAGTAGAACAGAAGTCAGAAAAGGATTATTAATCCGTTACTATTACGAAACCATTCAAAATAAAAGAGAAGATGAGATGTTATCATATACGTTTATCACTGCTATTCGAGAAATCATTATGAGCCCGAAAAATTGAAAAAGTGTATATGTAACCTTTACATCAATTGAGCAATGCGTGCGGGAAAAAATGTTTAAGAAAAGCGCCAAAAAAGGGAAAATTTTCTCTTTGAAGGTACTATTTGGCTTGGGAGGAAAATTATTGCATATAGACGAGAAGAAGAAATACAAGTTATCGGAAAATAGAATTCTGACGTGGATAAAGTGAGACAAAAAAAAAACAAAAAAAAGATGAGATGAAGATCAATATTCGGATTAATCCTCGGTAAGAAAATCTTTATAGCACGTAGGACATATCTTTCAACTAAAATTTTCGCAGCTACCGAGAAAACATGCGTAACTTTAGAAGAATATAGAACAGAAGTGAGATAATAGTAAAGGCAAGAAGAACAATTTTGAAGAGAAAGAAAGTCACACAGTGGAACAGATTCAAGTACCGAGGATTCACCAAAATACGCACACGCAAATCGAAGTTGCAGTGCACGCGAAACACAAGAAAAATGCGAAATGAAGAAAAAAATGAAGTATATATTTTACACAGTTTGGAAAGATAGGCGTTTTTGGTTTTCTTTTTTAACGTTGACGACTCGCCGAAAACAACCGAGAGATCAAAATCCGGAGATGATGTCGATCAGTGGTTAAAGTCGGAGATCGGTTGAAGATCTACGTCGAAAAGCGTAAAGGGAAAGGTGATAATTAAGTGGACAGATATAATAACTAAGTAGGTCTACGTAGAAAATCCAGAGCAAGGAGCTCAGGAAGGAGAAAAAGTTAACACCCAAGTTTGGTTCAGAGGCCGTTGTACGCTTTAGGTTTTATGGCTGCCTGCTGGAGGATTTCAACGATTTGCGTCTTCTGCTCGGTGCTCAGCTCCGTCTTCGGGAACTCGACGTCGAACGTGACGACGAGGACGCCGCGCACCTGATTGTCTTGCAACGACGGCATGCCTTCGTCCTTCTTGCGCAGACGTGCACCTGGCCACGTCACCTGAAACAAATTATGTTCGACATAAAGCATGCGAAAATGATGCTCCACGTGATGTACTTGTTTTTTTTTTCTGACACAGATCTTATGCGGTGTTCAAAGTGATTCCACGACATCAAAAATATCCGTCAGATAAAGAAAAAGATAACTTAATTTCGGAGAGTCATAGATAGTTTTTCATTACGCGGAAATCACTTTGAACACGGCATTATATTGCATAGAAGCATTATTCAACTTTATTGGTAAGGCTTTCGAAGAAGGTTATGGAAAAGCTTCAGGCTTGTTTGCAAAAGAAAAGAAAAATGTTTTTATCAAAGTTTGCAAATGAAAACTTCGCGCACATCCCTGATACAGAAGAACAAAGTTCTTACGTTTTTTACAGCTTCGACAGAAGCAAAACGTAGGCAATTGATAAGAAACGCGCGACGAAAGTTGCCTATCACGAGACAGTCTCTCACAGCTCACTTTATCAACATTTTCCATTCAAACGGTTCAGAAAGCTGTCGTATTCGCAGCCCTGAACTTGAAGCCCACCTTATCACGAGATACATTGACGAGATGACCGTCGAGATGAGCGATCTGCATTTCGAAGCCGTTGAGCGCGTCTTGCAGCGAAATCGTCACATTGGTGTAAAGGTCGTTGCCCTTCCTCTCAAACCTGAAAAAGGAACTGAAATGATGGAAACAATGAGTTGCCACGAACGTTTGCCTTTCGAGGGCATATCACCGATTATGAAATTCAATGCAACAAAACAAAATCATAAAGGCTGAAATTTGGAATGGGAGCTTTTTCTTACGCCCAAAGTAGGCATTTTTCGGCGGAATATACTTTCGGGGCGAAAAATGAGAAAAAAGGGCGTTTCTTTTTTCTTTTTTCCGTTTGCCGTTTTTTTCATAAAGTTCGACATTAAGAGCTACCATTTTCGAATCAAACTTTGAGAGAACATTTTCTAACGACATTTATCAATAAACGGGAGCTAAACATGTTTTTATAAGACTCAGAATTAATTATATCAGAATCACTAAATAATTTGGAAGCTTTTGTCTAGAATAGCCTAGGAAAAGAAAATTGAAGCATCGGGAATTGACGACGCACACAATAGACTCGCGCACAACGGGTTGTTACAGGCACATCAAAACGACAAAACTGCCGACATGAGAAAAGGGCGGCGATAACAGACGCGGTGAAACGAATTCCCACTCGTCAGCCCACTGTCAATTTGTCAGCCGCCAACAACCGCGTTTTCCTTTTCAATAACAGCTTCTGGGAAAACGATTCCAACTTCAAAGAATTTTTTAAAACCTCGGCGATCGTATCGCTTATAAATCATCGAAAACTTGTATTCCCAGATTTCAAATCAGAAAGAACTCATAGAGATAAATTAGATAGCCCAGTTAATTACTGCTCTGGTAATTCTTGACATTTTGATTTCAACGTGAGTTTTTTAGAGGGTTCAGAGGGATTTTGAGTCGATTCCGTTGCTTACGAAGGAGCAAAAGCCATACAGAGCGTTAAATAACGCTAACTGGTGAGAGCTAAACGCACTTAGCCCTTTTTGAAATTAGCCTGCGCTTCTATAAAATTTTTGAACGTGAAGAAAGGATCGAAAAAAAAGAACTGATAGAAAAACTAAAAATGTAACGTTGGCGTTTGTTCTTGATTGGACGGGCAAGCGGCGAAAATCGATCCTCGAAGCGCACGCGCTCGCGAGAAAAACTGATAGAGTGATGCTTGCGAAACGCCTACATCCAAAGTTCCCACAGTGAATGGCGCTATGTCTGCCGTCTTTCACCTCAAAACGATCGGATTTCTTTTGTGTTAGTATCTTTACTTCAAAAATGGCAGAGGGCAGGCTGACTTTCACGATTTTGGCTCGAATCAAAACGTCAACTTATAAAGCATAACTAGCGTCTTGTTTATAGAGAAAACTGAAAATATTTTCCCGTCGAGTCCGGTGCATGAATCTAGAGCACGGTCAGGCTCAAAACTACCATTGAGGAGAAGTCCGTCAATAACGTCTGTTGCATTCTTGGAGCTTCCTCCACAAAACGCCGATAAAGATTTATAATCCTAATAGTATATGGAATGATTGGGGGAGGTTTTAAATCGCAGCCGCACCATATAATAAGTAGGAGGCTTTGTGCGATTGCAAAGGTCGTTAACGGGGGCGACGAGAGAAGAAACGAAAGAAAAAAAAGCAGAGACGCGATCTTTCTTGTCATTCATGTCCAAGCAGTCAATCCATCACCGAATGTAACACCAACAGTCTGCCCATCCTACTTCTTGGCCTAAAGGTCCTCCGACACACTTTAGATCCAACAAACAATCGCAAACATAAGAGAAATGGAAGGCTGAAAATATCGTGATTCTTTTTGCACTTTTTAGTTTGAAAATGAGGAGCTTCTTCTGGTTTAAACTAAAACTAATGCAGAAAATCATAACGATAGAGATAATAGTCAATACATTTTTTGTCTTCAATACAGGAATTCCAATTCTGAACAATTTGGAGTGCGTATCTGATATCAACTGTCGGCGCTGTACCATAATATGATGAAATCCTCAATCTGTCCATCAATAAGTCGGCCGACCCGCAATAAAAGAATCCGATGGGAGGATCGGAGGTAACCTCGCGCTTGCGAATCCTTCCAAACCGATATGATCCTACGGATTATGCAAAATGAAAGATTGCCGGCAAAATACATTTGCAATTTCAATGAAAAAATAAGTGGTACATAACAAAAAAACTCATTTTCCTTTCCTGCTTTCTACAATTTTTATCGACCACGTTTTTTTTATTTGTTTCGAAATAAAATAAGCCCGTTTTTCGATTTATTTGGAAACTTTTCGAAAGAAAGAAAACGCCTTTCCGCTTCGTGATCAGAAAAATAAATAATGATATTGCTTTTCTGAACTTTTAATGGCTACTTCCTTTTTTCTGAATCCATGTTAAAAATCGAGAAAGAAAGTTTTCTCCAATTAAAAGAAGAATTTTCATAATGCAATGAAACAATGATTGCGTCGAATAAGTGAAAAGCTTCAGTGAGCTTATTTCCATTGGACAAAGGTTGAAGACAAACATGAATAGAAAAGAATGGCAAATGAGAGAAAAAGATACGCTGTGTCATAATGGGGACGAATTGATGGGAAGCAGACCGGTCGACCCAGGAGTTTGGAACAGACAACCAAAACGTGACCCAATCCTCGCCGCTTCTCGCTTTTTCGTTCGCGCCGCCGTCTGCCCGCAAACACAGTTCGAGATTCCCATCGGTTTCCGACATTCCTGGCCTTATTTCCCCTTTTCTAAATGAAAAGAATAACTAAGGCCATAGAACGAAATCGCATAGATTAAGTGTACTGTTCGCAGGAAAAGTAATTAAAGTATCTCAAGGGAAAATTAGCTTGATACATCTCAAAATTCGCGTAATTCACCAACGATGGAAAATTTATTCATTTCTTTTTTCTTGAAAATTTTGAACGACACGTGAAGGAGTCGCAGACGTTACAGCTCTGAAGTGATGATGAGAATATGACCAAGGTAAAGCTGAGCATTTTATCAGTTGGGTAAACAAGTCTTCAAAAGCTAGCAAATAACAAGCGCACAAGCTACTTGCGTCTAATCAAACCAAATTTTTCTTGCTTAGAACTTTGCTTCAGCCCGTACACGTCGTGAGCCTCTAGCAATGGAACCGGCGTTATCCCAAAAAAGGAAGAACTGGAGGGTCGACTGGGTGAGCACGAAAGGAATGTTTGAATACACAGAAAAAGAAAACAAAGAGGTGGAAAGGACCCAGCTGAGCGCATTTGCGGCGGCACCATGACGAAAGGAAAAAACCCCATTTCACGAAAAAAAAAAATGTTGAGAACGAAACGATTTCGACTTTCTGAACAAAGTTGTACCAGGCTGAAAAATATCCTCTTTTTCAATCGTATTATTCTTCGACGCCCATGTGCACGGAAACTGCATGCTACTGTGTAGTTTAATATTGTTTAACTATTCCTCTATTATTCACAATTCTTCTCGTTGGAACGCTGGACGTCGGATCTCTATTCTTTTCGTCTGATAATAAGCTGACTCTTCAGAGCTGAAGGAGGCGACGAATCGATTAAAAATAAGTCGATTATATCTGACTAAAACAACAATAAAAGAAAATAAAACGAATTGAATTGAAGAACCTTATACTGCCGATTACAAGCGAAAAAAAACCGGCCTTGATTAAGGACCTTTAGCGTTTGCATGTGAACAATTTAAAGATAGATGATAAGTTTTTAAAACACATAGAGGTTTAAATCTAAGAGACCTTTTGCAAATATATGATGTTTTAGACTAACAGTTCCATTGACCAACGGTTATAACGCATATTGCGAACAGAACAGAAAGAACAGGTCGGAACACGACTGAAGCGCGATAGGAACGTGAGATGGACGAGGAGTTTGTTCTTTTTGCTCAAATCGCTCCTCCGATGTGTAGGGAAGCGGGTCCGAGCCGTGTGAGCTCCGCCCACTTTTTGTATATTTCGCTGTCAAAATTCTCTCGCTCTCCGCTATTTTCTCTCCTTCTCTCTCTCTCAATTGTACAGCCACGTATTATGTACGAAACAAAAACTCATCGGTCCGAAATAAAATGAAAATTCTTCGTTTAAAAGCTGCTTAGGGATGTGGCAGTAACAAAAGCTGTGTAATCGCACTCGTTTCGTAAGAAGTTCCTCTCAAAACCCAAAAAAAAAATGCACTTTTACATGGTTTAAAATTTTTTTCAATGACCTAAATTAAGTTATTTCGCGACGCTTACAAATTAACTCAAAACTCCAATTAAATATTCTAAGTGCTTTTGAGTGACTTCTTTCATTTTTTCTTTTTTGCAGACAGAGAATGGACGGTACACAATCAGGATAAAAAAATATTAAGATTTAAACGAGTGAAGTTTTCGCCAGAGTTAAATTCTGCTCGGTTAAACCAACAAAATTCAGAAAAATTTTTCCTCAATTTTCTTTAGGAAGAAAAACTGTTATCACTGTCTTTGGGACGATAATCAATAGAAAAGGAAAAAATGATGGCGTTGATATCGAAAATAAACTTTAATTCCTCGTTACCTAGAGACCAGAATACTCTTTTTCATACTGATTGAGTGGAGAAAGTTTAATTTTTAAGATTATAACCAAAAAGTCGTCTTTCAGAACAGACGAAGTCGAAAAAAGATGAATGGTTCTTTTTTGAATAAAAAATAAAAAAGATTAGTTTCTTGACAAGTACACAGAGTGGTCTACATGAGAGATGAAAAGCGTACCTCGGGTGTTTTTCAATGCGAATCTTGAACTTCAAGTCTCCGGGATCGCCCTCGATGTGAGGTTCGCCCTCACCTGCGAACACCTGCTCGTGGCCGTTGTCCGCTCCGACCTCCACTTCCACCTAAAAACTCAGGAATCCGTAGGTCTGTCACACTTGCAGAGCTCTTTTTTTCTTTCTTCGAAGAAGTTAAAAAAAAAAGTTTCACTTGTGCGCAAAAAAAAAGATTCCGACGTTCAAGAAGGTTGAGAGCAAAAATGAGAGAAAATATTACCTCTAACGTTTTTGTTTCCTGTACAAGCTTCACGTTGGGGCATTCGTCACAGACTTTCACCTAAAAAAAAACTTTTTTTATTCTTTTCCACTGAGATCTCTTATGATTCCTTCGTCAACCCTTTAATGCGTTTCAAACGAGAAAGAACTGTTATCAGTCCAATTTTGTGGCACCATAGAACCATCGATAAAAATAATTGAGACTCAAATAGGATCCCACCGGCTTCGAAACGTTTTGAAATGCATGATGAAAGCATTCAAACCAAAAATAACGAAAACAAACCTGGTACATCTGAAAACGACCCATTCCCATTTGCTCTGTGCGCATTTCATGACGGCAGTTGCACTGTCGCGTCCCAGAAGTCTGCTTATAAACGGCCTTCTTTCGTTTTATCTCAAATAACACGATTATTTGAAGAAATCTCGGGAAAAATGGATACCTCGACAAAGTTGCCATTGTAGACTTCTTCTAAACTGACGAACAAATCTATAGAGACGTCTGCTCCCTGAAAGAACCCTTTTTTCCGTTTTTATTCAATTTATTCCGTTTTTCATTAGTATCGAGACTCGTCTGATTTGAAAGATTAGCAACTATCTATTTTATTTTAGATATTGTCCTTGTTGATTGTTGAAAAAGATCCTTGCTTTTATCAATGTTTTTTCAAATCTCTCGAGGTCTAAATTAAACACTGCAGAAATATGAAAAGCGGAAACATCCACGGTTGTATGTCTTGCCGAATTCAACACTAGGCGAGATCGTACTAGATTCTCATGTTCTATGAGTAGACGCCCAGAAATTTGTGTCCATGGTCCTTTTTTTAAAGTAATTTTCAGAAGTATCTTACAATTAAAAAATATAAAGTAGGTGAAACAAAAAAAAAACAGTAGAAACAAGAGAAACAAACCCTAGGTGCTCCTTCTTCTCGTTCGCCGCCACCTCCAAAGAAGTCTCCGAAAAATGAGCTAAACGGATCGTGGCCGCCGCCTCCGCCGCCCATCTTTGCTACGCCTTCTTCGCCATGTCGGTCATACGCAGCTCGCTTGTCCTTGTCGGACAATACCTGAAATCCGAGACTCCATTCGAACGCCCAGCTTACTTTGCTAGACCGTGTAGTTCCCGATATGCTTGTTATGTAAAGCGTTTGAGCCCATTGTCAGACTCTTTTGAAAAAATATTTATAAAAAAAAACATCTTTCGACTACTAAAATAGGGAGTTTGGGCTATTGACACAGCGTAAATATGAGATTTTAAAGGAGTTTAAAGCAGGAAAACTCAAACTTCCTTTTCGGATATGCTTATCTTCTCGGTTGAAAGTGTTAAATGAAAATAAGAGCGAAGTATTCATATACTCTGCATGAGGTTTCATACTTTCAATACGTTTAATACCTGGTTACAATTTTATAGAGAGTATCACGTTTGGAAACGTTTCCATATGCTCAAATTTACATCGAAATTTGAATTGAAAATTGGAAAACTTCTTCAAAGCGTACCTATACACTTCAAAATTTAATTGCTCACATTTTCACGAGACCTTGACCTACTTTGTAAAAAAAGAAGCTGACTGAATTTTCTTGTATCAGTGGAAAGATATTACAGATATAAGTATATTCTTACTATTAAAGATTTTACGTTGGATCAACATCACGCATGAAGTCGTCAATTGAAAAAAAAAATTTAAAAATAATCAAAAAAAAAATGACAAAGATTGAAAAACTTGCTTATTAAAAAGTTTTCGACTAAGCCTTTATAAAAATTTCTCATTCTAACCTCATATGCGGCAGTTACGTCTTGGAACTTCTCGTTTGCAAACTCGTCATCTGGATTGCGGTCGGGATGAAGCTCTTTGGCAAGTTGACGATATGCCTAACGATTCGAAAGTATAGTTCTTTTTCTTAAACGATTTCAGGGTCTTACCTTCTTAATCTGATTGGCGTTCGCGTTTTTCGGAACATTGAGAATTTTATAGAAGTCTCGACCACACTCTACGAAGTCTAGTAAGAAACATGCAGATATCCCGAGAAGAAACCCGATCAGGTTCATTTTCTCCCTGTAAAGTAAAACGAATAAAAAAAAAGAGTAGACGGTTAAATTCCTAGTGAGTACAAAATCTAAAAGCCAACGTGGTGCTACTAAAGAATTTTGAAGGTCCAATTTGAATTCAAACTGAAGAAGCAACGAATTCTGAAAGCACACGTCAGTAGAATTACGGTGAAGAGCAATAGCGCGTACTTGCTCTAGTTTCGTTTTTCCGTTTTAAAATATTCTCGTTGGCGTTATTATCAAATTTTTTTTTGATCTGTGTTTTATAAAATTAGAAAGAAAAGTTTTTATGTAGCTCACTTTTTAGAGGAGAAAATCAGAAAAACTTTCCGATAGATTAATTTTGTTTAATTTATATTTCCATCTTTTTTTTAGATGTCTTGGTTTCGGTTAATCATCTTGTCTTCTGCTTCTTTATTGAGCGTGGTCAGCGCCTCCGACCAGCGACTCCCTATGAAAAATGTTGTCGGCATTCCTAAAAGCCGTAAGTTCAAAAAACGTCAATTCTGATCATCACTTTTTATCTGAACTTCTTCTAGGTGTCGTTTTGTATCAACCAAATGGTGAGAACTTTCAATGTTTCGACGGATCCAACACAATATTGTTCAAGCAAGTGAACGATAATTACTGTGACTGCGTTGACGGAAGTGATGAACCCGGTATACAGTTTTTTAGTGCTCTTCTGTTTCCGTATTTCTCTAAAAAAAAATAAGCCATGTTTTTATTTTTAAGGAACTTCTGCTTGCTCCAACGGACACTTTTTTTGCCAGAACCTGGGCTACACTTCTGAGTATATCCCATCATCGCGGGTCAACGACAAGATCTGTGGTTGGTTAACTGGTGAAAAGGAAAATAAGTTCTGGTTGAAGACTGTTGTGATGGCAGCGATGAGCACTCGAGCGGCGTATCATGTCCGAATCTTTGCGAAGAACTTGGTCGCGCCACGAGAGTCGAAAGAGAGAGGTTGGTAGCTTATGGGGATTCTAATTGAAAAGTTAAAATCCAACGGTTCAAGTTTGTAATTTAAAGGTTAGCTGCCATTGCCAAGGTGGGCTTTGCAAAGCGCTTGGAGTTGGCAAAAGCAGGAAAAGAACTCAAGGTTTTTTGAATATAGTTTCCCGTTTCAAAAAAGGAGTATTCGCAGAATCAAAAGCTGAAAGACGTCGAGCCTTTAAAAGAAGAGAAAACGTCTCTGGAAACTTATCAGAAGGACTTGGAGGTTTTGAAGAAAACGGCCGAAGACTTGGAAAGGAAACTGCAGGATGAACATCGAGACCAGTGGAATGGCAAGTTTTTTTTTCTAGTTCTGATGAAATTAAAGGAAAATTTGGTTTCATGAAATTGACTTTTGCTAAAAAAAAATCGTTTATTTTTCAGCCGGCCAAGCAGAAATCAAAAAAAAGAGAGCAGCCGACATGTTTTTGGAGGTCGACAAAAATTCAGACGCAAAGTGAGCTCTTTCTTAAATTTCCTCCATACAAAGTTGATCAGATTAACTTTGGATGAGGTGAAGTTGTTGCCTTACTTGGATACTGACCATGACGGCGTCGTTTCAGACGAGGAAGCCAAGAATATCCTCAGTGTCGGTGGGTCTTCAATGATTTTCTTTTGGCTTCATTTTTCTTTTTCAGAAGAGTCAGATATTGAACATTTCGTGGCGAGTGTTTACGACCTTTTGAAATCTGCCAAAAGATCGTTTACTCAAGAAAAGAAGCTGAGAGAAGAAGAAGAAGCCGCCGAAAAAGAACCCGAACCGGATGACGACCTCGTTGCCGGTTATTTTTGATCAGTCTTGTTTTTTTTTTGCCTTTTTGTTTTGTGGAATACACAAAAATCTTCTTTAGATGAGGACAAGTCGACTGCGGAAGAGCCACATTCGAACGAGGAAGTTCAAATTGAAGACGAAGACGAAAAGATGCCGCCGTATCCGCAAGAAGCTCAGGCAGCCACCGAAGGTCGAATGAAAAATTCACGTTCCAATACTTTTTTTTTGAATTGAGAAAAAAGTTTTGGCGTTCATAATTTTGGTCAGATTGCTTTTTCCAATTACGATCTTCATTGTGTAGAAAAAAACCAGATATAAAACAAATTTCCTTCTTAAAACTCTCAAAAAGTTTAAAATGTGTTAGTTTTTTTAAAAAAATAAGCGGAGCATACTTGACCACAACTAAGAATTGAATTTTGCGGCTTAGGGCCGGAATTTTTTTCTCCCGCGTAAATATGACACGTGACTTTAAAAAAAGAAAAAAAAATTGATTGTATTATTTTTAGAAGCGAACAAGTTCCGGAAGCTCTACGATGAAACGTCGAACAAGCTGCACGAAGTCAACCAGAAGATAAAGTTCGTCAAGAATGTTCTTCGAAACAGAGTCCCCTTCTCAGAGACGCGGAGACGTTCGCCTCGGCTGATTTCGGCGAAGACTTTGCCTGGGCGCCACTCAAGGGTCAATGCTTCGAGACGACCGTCATGCAGTACGTCTACAAGCTCTGTCCCTTCGAAAAGGCCTCGCAGAAGGACAAGGGCGGCTATGGAGAGACTTCATTGGGGTTCGTGCTCCTTCTTCACAGCAGTATATCATTTGTTTCCACTGCCGATTTCTGACATAGTTCAAATATTTCATTTTTCTAAGTTTCAGAATAATCTTAACCGAAACCACAGAAGGAATAAGTAGGTAAAAAAATTAGTTTTTTTCTTTCTAACTGTATTTAAAGAGATATATTGAAAATTTCAATTCTATATGAAAATGGTCATATTGACCACCTTTGTTGAATACAGTGAAACGATTACAAGCACAGAACATTTTTATATAAAGTCACTTATTTTTTTCCTTCTCCTCAACCAGTTAGATAGATGTCTGACTTTCGGAGAAATGTTTTGCTCATTTCCTTTTTAGGAATTTCAAAGACTGGACAGGTGCTGCTCCGAGAAAGCACTCCAAGCAAACCTATCACGAGGGTCAACAGTGTTGGAACGGTCCTCAGCGATCCACTCAGGTGTGCTCTTTTCAACTTTACAATGACGGTTGAAAAAAGAAAATTTGACAGTAACTGCTAAACAAAAAGATTTTCAGATAGAGGAAATAATAAAATACATGAACCATAACGGTTTCAAACGACATAAAGCCAAAAATGAAAGAAAAATATTAGGTTGTTCAGAAAGTTCTTGCGGTTTTTGATACTCTCTCTTGCAAGAAATTTTTTGAGCTGGGTTTTAGATTGGCCTGTCGAAGTTATATATCATTTTGAAGCGCGTAGAATGTTTTATTTTTTAAGTGTAATCGTATCATTCAAAAACAAAATTGTGTAAGTTTTATGTAATTTTTGAAAAAAAGGGTTAAAAAAACAGCGATTAGAGTAGCTTTTTTCGTTTTTCTCTCAACTAGACTTATAAGCGTTGAAATCATTTGATATTTTCACTAGTTGTTTGACACAGTAATTACTTTAAAACATGTAACGAGATTGCTACTGGAAAAAACTTTGGCCAAGACTATGAGCTCGGCAACTGAGAACAGTAATTTTTGAGCTATGTTTCTACTGCGCGGTAACAAAACGTCCTGGTAGCTGCAACTTTGCGAAAAATTTTTTGTTGTTGCTTGAGAGGATGTATAGATGACGCTAGAAAAAGTTCCTGACTAGAGAACTATTTCAGAGACCTGAAAAGCTCACTAGATGAGTACCTCACGAATCTCACTAAAAGCATAGCGCCGTTTCTTTCTTCTCGTCTTATTAAAAGGCAAATGCGACCTCAGTTTTTGAATAAAATAGAATTTTTTGAATTGCGACAATAAGAAAGACGTCTACAACAATTTTCAAACCTATTATTACTATACAGTCCAAGTCGCCGCTTTGGATAGTTCTTCGAAATCAACCTATCAAATAATGACGATTGAGCACGTTCTTGGCTTTCTACAGCTGTTATAACTTATCATAAGTAATCTCAACTCTCTACCCTACAATATTTCAGCGACGTTGTTCACTGATCAAAAAAAAATTCCACGAATTAGTGTATAAAAATTTTGAAAACATCGAAACTAAAAAAGTCACGTTTTGTCCTGTATCGCGCTTTGCGGAATTTGCAAGTAAAAAAATAAACGAAACAAGAAAAATGATTTCATTTTCTCTATTTTTTTTTTTCAACTCTTACCTTGCTAAACAACAGCTTTCCAAACTATGAAAACACTTGCACGCGAAAAAAATGCTTCGAAACCGAAACCCTGTCAAAAAAGGCTTCGAGAGTTTCAAAGCCCCCAGTAATTCAGGGTTTGATATTATCGACTGAATTTTTTGTGTTTTTTGTTGTCACATGGCCACTTAATAAGATGGTTTTTGTTTTGATCAGAAATAAGAACTCTAAGCGAAGTTAGGATCTTTTGAAGTCGAATAATAAAAACCGCAATAACTCTCTGAACAACCTAATAAACTGTAGCGGGACTTATGTGCGGAGTAGAAATAAATTTGGAAGAAAGAGGGAGAATTTGAGAAGTCCATCAAACTTTGCTTAGATGTTCACCGGAATATACTAATCACGGTTCATGAAAAAAAATACGACTTAAGTTTAAGCCGAGTGATAGCTGTTCAATGAAAAAAAGCGTTTGTATAAAGGAAAAATAAATGAATTCGCTCCATTCTTAACAAGAAAAACGAAAATATAACAAAGTTTTACTTTGCTCAATGAAACACCCTAGCAAAGCTGCTGTTTATAGGTATAAAAATGCGGAATACGGAATAATTTGAAGCGTCGTTACTCGAGTGAGAAACGCGAAGTTTTCCTTTGTTTTTGATAAAGTGCTCTAGGGGTTTTTTTTTTCAGCGAAGTTCCGCTCATCTTTCGAACTATTTTTTCCCATTTGCTGTTTAAGCTTCATTTGGAGTTTTGAAAAGAGGTCGGAGCAAAGTTATACTTGACTATGCAGGTTGAAATCGAGTGTGGCGAAGAGAACGAGATCGTCGAGGTCTCTGAACCTGCCAAATGCGAATATCACTTCACTTTCCGAACTCCGGCGGCCTGCAACGACCCCGAAAAAGAAGAACCTCTGCATACCGAGCTCTGAGTTCATTCAGCTCCTTCTCATTCGTTTTTTGCTTATTTTATTGGCAAATCTGTCACTTTTTCATATTTATTGTAAGCTCATCCATTCAGTTCAGAGTACTATGGTTCGAAGCTCCTAGTTTAGGAGTCCTATATTGCGATTTTGAAAAAAATTCTAGTTCTGAACTCATAACTAACGTTTTCCATACATTTAGACATTTTCTCATCTTCTGTTTATTAGTGTACCCTTTCTGATTTTGGGTTCGGTCTGCGATTTTGATACGAAGTTTTGAAAATATAAGGATTTTTCTATTAGTATTTTGGCTGGTATTGATAAAAACTTCAAATAAAACTTTTTTCGCAAATCCGAAAAGTTTGAATCTATTTGTTGTATTTTCAAAGCTTGTTTGCGAATGTGAAATATCTGCGGAAATAAGAAAATAATTTATTAAATTGCCTCGTCCATTTCAGTACATTATATTCTCAAAAAAATAGAATTTTTTTAGACTGGATAATTATTAAGAAATTGAAAGATATTTTTTTAAAATCAAAGTTCAAAGATATCTTTAATCTTTCAAGTTTCTCAAATTTCTTCAGTTTTTTTCAATTCATGCTTCTCTCTTATTATATGGTTTAGTACTTCTGCTAAAAATCAACAAAATGTTGCCAGTAATATGATATGGGTGATATAGCCATTAACAGTGGCGCCTGCGAGGTAATCGTACATCGATATGTGATCACGGCGAGACGCAAAGGACTAGGAAAAGGGGCGGAGCCACATGCAGGCACACAACTCGGCGGGCACATTTTTGCTGTTGAATGCACGGCGCAACATGTTGATTTACGGTTGAACATCGGAAACAACAAATGTGTGCACTAAAAGAAAGTTCTTTTCAGAACTATTGACCTTTTCGATTAGACCTACTGGTAATTCAACTGCGTTTTTTCGATGAGCTTTGTTTGATACTTGATATTTTTCCTATCTTCAGCTGAGTTTCGAATGTCATTCCTTTCCTTCAATCTTCGAAACCCAGCCAGGAAGACACTAAAATTTGTCTCTGCGGAAAGTTGTTTCGTTTTATTCTTACATGTAGTATGAGAATTGAGTCGCGCGCTAGGTACAGTTATTTCCCAACAACCTATAGACCGCTTAAAACGAAGAACTTCACACAAATATAGTTTGTTCGGATTTCTGATGTCAAGTGCAATAACGTCATTCAAAAAAACTCTGTGGGTGGCTCGCTCTCTGATTGGTCTATCGCACCATTATGGGCGGAGCTTGAGCGACGACTTGACATTCAAAATATGAACAGACTATAGCGAACTATTTTTAGTGAATGAAAATTTTAGGCGATTTTTTAATTAAAGCTTTGTTTCAAGCTATCGGTGAATGAACTGGTCGACTTTTCTATATTTTTTCTTTGGCTCATAAATTCGCTCGAAAATAGAGAAAGCTCAAGGAAAGGAAGTGATTCACAACAAGGTCGTTGCGAAGTGAACAAAAAAAAACAAAGCATGTTCACCTGTTGGAGAATCAGAGAAACAAGTAAACGCGTGCCAGCCTGTTTTGTCGTAAAGTTTTCTGACTTCTCTGAATTTTCTTTCTTTTGAAGATTTTTTGAATCGGTTTTCCATGCGTTCGTGCTCGACTTTTTCTTTTTCAGTTTTTGACCACGAAAAAATTAATCCAAGACTTGTAGACGATGAGTTGGAGCAGCTCCTACGTAGAGCAGCTCAACTCGTACGTCGAGGGGCTCCCGACGTGGGGCAAAGCGGCCGTCGCTGGCGGCGCTGCGCTCGCATTGTACCTTCCGTACAAGTACTACACGTCTCGACCCAGAGCCTCTCCCTACAATAAAGATTGGCAGCCAGGTTTCTTTTTCATTTTTTTACTTGTTGACGCTCAAAGAAGAAAAATCATTCAAATTCAAATTAGTAATCAAAAAAACAAAAAAATATAAAAAAAATTAATTTAAAAACAAAAATTCGATTACCTAACACAAAAAAACCTATATTTTTTTCGCTTCCTACTTTTAGCTTTTTCGTGTTTTTTTTTTGGATTTTTTTTTAGAAATTCAGAACTGAGCGTGATCAAAAAATCACCTGTTAGAACCGTAAAAAAATAATGATTTTGAAAGATTATCAAAAAAGGCCTTCACTTCCGAACTCTCCAACGAATACAGCTCAAAAACAGCTTTGTAACGATAAAGAAACTTTTCAATTCACTCATCTAGAATTTTTGTTAACTTTTCAATCAAATAAACCAGAAAGAAACCTTTTGAAAATATGTAGATATAAAATAAATACTGCACAGATAATTTTCCTCAGGCTCAAGTTAAATTTTCAGACGTTGTGTACTTGTACCAGTTCCCAAGGACAAAGCTACTGCCCAACATTTCTCCGTTCTGTCTGAAAGTGGAAACCTGGCTTCGCATGAATGACGTCCATTATGAAGTGAGTTTTTCTTTTTTCTCTTCTTTTCCTTTTTATTGGGCTTCGCAACTGATAGATAATCGGAATTTCGATACAAATGTGCTCGAAACTGAAGAGGGACAAACATTCTTGCAACCGTTCTGTTTGCCTCTCTTTTTCTTTGCTTGCTTCACAGGAAAAAAAGGGTTTGGTATAGTTCTTCCTACATGATAGAAACTTTATTTCAAAGCACGACACTAATTAGAAAATGTTGACATTTTTACGGAAATCTTAACTTTTTAAGCTCAGAAAGGAACTTGAGAGTCCAAAGAAGTATCCAAAAATGAGAGGTTTTTTTCTAAATTTCACTGAGTCCAGGTTCCCGCAATACCACTTAACTTGCGATCGAAAGAAGGACTTTTGCCGTTCGTCGAACTAAACGGAGTTGAATATTATGACTCCGCCTTCATTATCGAGTGAGCTTCTTTTTTACACTTAATACATGGAGAATAATCCCAGAGAACTCACCATTCTACTCAAAAGACAGGGTTTCGAAGAACACCTCAGCGAGGAACAACGCGCCGTGTCCCGAGCCTTCGAATGTCTTGCGGAAAAGTCCCTGGCACTCTCTTCTTTCGTCACCCGAATAGAAAACGCCGCCGAGGTATTCATTCTCCCTCATATCCCTACTGAACTCCGGTTAACTTGTCTTTATATCAAACTGTAACTGTTCTACACTGTTTCCTAAAATTGTCAAAGCCGAGACGCGGCCGTTTTTTTTTTTGACGAAAAGTGAGTCTCCAACTGAGCTCTCATTTAAAAAAAAGTTTGTTTTCGCATTCCTATTTTTTCAATATCAAGAATCGAAGTTTTTTTTCGCATCTTCACCTCTCGCGTTTTTTTTCTCACTTTAAAAATATAATTCTTGCACGCTATTTCATAGTTTTGATCTTTTTCTTCAATTTCAAAACTAATTTTCGAAAGATGCACAGTGCTGCATAAAGAAATGACCAGTACCAAATTTCACAGATGATCGACCAGATTGACTTGAGGAGGTTCGGATTTTTGCTCACGTTTCTGAAGCCGTTCGCCTCCAGGGGATACGCTAGTTTGGTATTCACTTTTTACTTTCAAAGTATATCAAAATTCAGCCCCAAAATATATATTTAATGGAAGAATTATCAGTCATTTCTCAACAGCAGTCCGAAACACCAAAAAAATTGGTGTTTCCAAAAAATATCAACGTGGTAAAAACTTTCCGAGTAACTGCTCTGATCAATGGCTGAAAATCTATTGGGAAAAAAACGGTCTTCGATTTTATAACTCTGACTGTACTATATTATATTGTTTAGAAGTCTGAAGAAATATTCAGCTCGCGACGCGATTGAACAACTCGGAGCTGGGTCCGCATAGCCGTGCCGACCGTCTTTCCATCGGCGCCGACGACCTCCGAGCCATCAGCAAGTACCTCGGCCAAAAACACTACTTCACTGGCTTTAAACCGACCAGAGTACGATGTTTTCCACTATTTTCCTTCTTCTTTCATTAGAAAGTGAAATTTTTTCCTTTTTACAGGTAGACGCTTGCCTATTCGGAACGTTAGCCCAGATCGTCTTTGCTCCATACGAAACCGAACACAAGACTCTTCTGAGAACTGAGTGTTCCAATCTTTTGGAGTACGTCGAGCGCATAAAGAACAGGTTCGTCGAAGTTTTCGTTCTGCTAAAGTCCTTGATGACGTGTTTGATCCTGCATAAGTGACCTGAAAGAAGCTTTAAAAATCATTTCGGTCTCGATTTTTGAAATATGTCGAACCTTTTTCCAGCAAGAGTTTTTCAACAAACCATGAATGAAATCGGGGTTTTGAAAATTTAATTTTTTTAGAGCATTCCATAGATTATTGTCGTTTTGAACGTGTTCTCCGATTATATCGGCTCCAGATTGGTCCAAGTTCGGTTTTACTTTTACAACTTCCGAATCTTTTTTAGTTATCATGAAGTTAGTTGGCTCTTTTGATGTTTTTCAAATTTCAAACTAAATTGCTCATTCAGTTAACTTTTCGCTTTGAGAAGAGTTCGAAAAATAGCAGCGGCTCATCAGCAAATGAATTCAACGTAAAAAATGGTAAATTCAAAATTTTGGAGTTCTCGAAATTTTTACCATGATTCAGCAGAGCCTTTTTGATTTCTCTGATGTCTGAATAAATTGAATTGATATAAATTGATCTTAGGAAAAAAATTAAAATTTAAGCATCCTTTTTAATCGAATTTTCTGTTGTTTCGTATAAATAGAGTTAAGGAATGTCTCGAAACGTTTCTGAAGTGCAATTTGCAGGTTCTGGCCGGACTGGGGAGACGTGACGGCGAAGTTCTCGAGAGACACTAACTGGAAGAGAAGACCTCGTCCTGTCAATGGAATCTCGACGCCAAACTCGTCGCTCACTTCTCCGCTAGGGAGAAAGTGAACCGGCCCATCCCACCACACTTTTCTACGAGCTTCTTATCTGCCTTTTCTATTTTTCTTCGCATTTTTTCCATTTTATAACTCAATTTTTCATTTGTTTCTTTTTATGTTTCTTAGTGGGAGTTGTATGTTTTAAAAAGTATGTCTCCTCCTTTACTATATGTTCTCGACTTTATAACTTTTTACTTTTCTTCATGTTTACTGTTGCCTTGAAACAATCCTGAAAAGTTTGAGTGAGACTTTTAAATAGTTTTTTCGAATTGCGAAACGGCTGGAAAAGATGACGTTTGAAAATCATTTTAGTTAACGCCAGCGGTGAGTAAAACTTAATAGCGTTTATGAACCCTTCGATTGTTCTTAATTTTCTCGGTTCAATTCTCCAAGAAAGAAATAGATTTCGGGTTTTTTTTTTTACAGCGATGCCCGTGTGAATAATAATAAATCTTATGCTCATTTTCCAAACAAAGCTTGTTTGACAAACTGTTTAAATCAAGAAACAATACTTATCGTTCAAAACTGAAAAAAAAACACTCGTACAATATATTAGATGTATGAGAAAAGAAAAAGGTAACTCAGAAGGAAGGCAGCATTGACTGGTGTAGATCTTCACATTGAATCTAGGCATTCCAGTCTTTCTATCATAGTTACTCGCCGGAGACTCGAAACTGTGACCTCTCCAGCGCCGTCCTAGCGCACTCGCATTCGGCCACAGGTTGCACAGCTGGCTACCCTGGGGTGGGCGCTATTCGTCTCTTTGCGATGATTTCTTTCCTCACGCAGGCTTTTTTCGAAGTTTTCAATCAGACACAGAATTAATTTTTTTTTTTGAGAGGGCTTATTACAAAAATCCACCGTATGGAAAAATGACTACTGGCACGAATTTTCGTCGATATGAACGAATTTTTCTGAAATACACGTCCTACCAAGACATGAAAATGATTATTTTTCCTCATTTCTTCATTTCAGAGACTCCCAAAATGTCTCGCGAAACAATGGTCAACAGTAGTTGTGAAGTTATTGGAAATACGCCGCTTCTTCGTCTTAACAAAATAACGCAAGGCCTGGAAGCAACTATAGGTTGGCTTGAAATGAATTTTCTAATTTTATTTTATTTTTTTCCATTTCTAGTCTCTTTCTGATGTTTTAAAAAGCGAATTAGCTATGATAAAATCTTTTAAAAGAGTTAGTTTTTGCATAGCAACTCACAGAAGAAACGAGAAATATGAGACCCGCTAAGTTTTTGAGACTCTTTCTATTTTTCAGCTGTTAAACTGGAATATATGAACCCAACATGCTCTGTGAAGGATCGAATCGCCTTGAATATGATCAAAAGAGCCGAGGAAGAAGGGAAAATCAGCCCAGGAAAAACAGTTTTAATTGAAGGAACCAGTGGAAACCTTGGGATTTCTCTTGCTCACTACGGAAAAATCTTGGGGTTTGTGAACAAAAACTAAAAAATTCTATGAAATTTTTGAAGGTACAAAGTTATTTTGATAATGTCGGATTCCTATAGTGTAGAACGTCGGTGTCTTCTGAAGGCTTATGGAGCCGAGGTCTGATAGAAAATTTGTTCTGAATTGACGCGTTTTTAGGTAATTTTGACCGACGCTGCTCTTGGCGCGAAAGAAGTGTTGAGCAGAGCTGCCGAACTCGCCAAAGTCGTTCCGAATGCTCATATCCTTGACCAATTCAGCAATCCTGCTAATCCAGAAGCGCATTATAAATCAACAGGCCCTGAAATTTGGCGCCAAACTCAAGGAAAAGTGAAAAAACTTCCTAAATTTTCACACTTCTCGGAAATATACATTTTGAGGTCGACATAGTTTGTTTCGGAGTTGGTTCAAGCGGAACAGTCACCGGCGTCGGCAGGTTTTTGAAAGAGAAAAACCCGGAAATTGAAGTGAGTGAAAGAACTGGCTCACGAATTTGATGAAAAATCAGATCTATCCCATTGAACCTTATGAATCATCAGTTATCAACGGATTTCCAGGAGGGGTTCATAAAATCCAAGGTCAGCAGAATAGACTTTTTCTGAAAACTGAACATTTTTATATGTTATTTTTCAGGAATAGGGGCAGGAATGGTACCAGATAATCTGGATCGAAGTCTTTTCAAAGAAGCTCTGCGAGTCCATTCCGACGACGCCATCGATATGACACGTCGTCTGGCCAAAGAGGAATCCATTTTTGCAGGAGTTTCTTCTGGGGCCAACGTCTTTGGCGCCATGCAGGTGCCTATTTTCATAGCCTCGGAGTGCATATTTTCGTTTCAGCTAGCCAAAAGACCCGAAAACAAAGGGAAGTTGATCGTGACCACTGTAAACAGCTATGGAGAGCGCTACTTGTGAGATTTCTTCTTATTCACAGATTTTTAATTTCTCTGATCGTTAGGTCGACAAATGTGTACTCCGCGATCCGTGAGGAAGCGCTTGCAATGAAGAAGACGTCACTCGAAAAATCTATTCAAATTGCTCTTGATTATCTAAAAATTTAAATCGAAAAACTTAACTTCGTGTTGGTGAATCGCGTATTTTTAAATATCATTTCCAAGTTGACAGTAGCGATCTCTGATTTCTACGTGAGAACACAGAAAGTTGAGAAACAATAGAAATAAAGAATGATGCAAACCAAATTAGTCGCTTTGGAACGGCGTCACGTAGACTTCCTTTTGTCACGTATCAAATTTCAGATTCAACGCTCATCTTTTATGAAACGTTTTGAAAATAATAAACAATACTTTCATAGTCATACCGAACTGAAATCCGAGAAGAAAGTACAATTTTTTTTATAAAATTCTCTATAACAAGTAGAGTAAAAAAGTTAATTGGAATTATTGCGGAATGAAAGAGAAGTTGACAGAAATGAAACTGCTTTTATGTACAGGGAGAAAGCCGGAATGTTTTCAAATTGGATACCATTAACTCTTTACCTAGACCTTGTATCAACTTTCTACAGCTATACTCATTTTGAGGTAAAGGTCTTGAAAAATATTTGAAACGAGATAAGCAAAAGAAATATTATTAGTGAAAAACATGGCTTTTTTTGATGTAAGGAGTTGTAAACGAGATTTTCAACTTGTTTGATTCTTCCCCAAATAATAAATCTTGTTTTCCGGGCGTTTTTGATCGTTTTTTTTTCCATTGAGCAGAGAAATTAAAAAGAGTTCGAACATTGTGTTATACAAATATTATATAAAAGCATATCAAAACTTAAAGTTCAGAAAAGTCGAAGATCGAACTACTAGTTTATCACTACATGAAGACTACGTGTTCGCAGTCAGACTTGATCGGAACGATCTACTGAATTAGGCGACGAGAGAAAAAGACGGCGTGCGGTCCGGAGAACTATCACCCAGTCTCCCTATAAAACAGCGAACTCGAAGAAGACACACATGCGCTTTTTCAATTTAGTTCAACTTTGAGGCTTCCATGCATTTCTGTCATAAAAACTATTCTATGTCTACTATTTTTGCAAGAAGCGTCCTCTTTTCTCTTTAGAATTTTATTTGTCGAAGTCGCGGGAAAAATCTGAAGAAAAAAAAAATAGGAACACAATAGACTCACCTATTTTTTCTTTCCTATTTTTCCGATCGAATTTTTTTCTTTAAATTTTTTTAATTTTTCCTTTCAATCGATGTTGTTTCATAAGCTGTATAGGAAAGCCTGAATTTGCCATCAGAAATATTTTTCTCTAATCCTTTTTGAAATTATTTTCTTCAACAGGTTTCTTCAGCTTTCACAACAAAAAAAATGTCTCGCGATTTGATGGTTGAAAGTGGCGGCCAGATAATTGGAAATACGCCACTTCTTCGTCTCAACAAAATTACTCAGGGCTTGGATGCGACTATCGGTTCGTTTTTTTTTTATCTAAAAAAATGATAGGGCTGAAAAAAGCTCTCGTAAAGCAGATCTGATGTTAATTGGTATACGCTTCAGTTCTCAGTTCATTCTGGTGCCATAACTCACTTTTTAAGTAGCGCAAGAATAATTTTTCAGCTGTGAAAATTGAATATATGAACCCTTCATGCTCCGTCAAGGATCGAATCGCCTTCAACATGATTGAGAAAGCCGAGCAGGAAGGAAGAATCACGCCAGGAAAAACCGTGCTTATTGAACCTACTAGCGGAAACATGGGAATCGCACTCGCCTATTGCGGAAAACTGAAGGGGTTCGCCTCTTTTTGTTATTAAGCTGGGAATTCGATCAGTAAGAAATACTTAAAATTCAGATATAAAGTGATCCTGACGATGCCGGAATCCATGAGCGTGGAAAGAAGATCCTTACTGAAAGCATATGGAGCCGAGGTTCAATCAATCATTGAAAAACCTATAAAGTCGAGAAATAAAGGTTGTCCTTACCGACGCCGCATTGGCCGTGAAAGGTGCAACGGATCGTGCCGAAGAATTAGCCAAAGTCATCGATAACGCCTATATTCTGAACCAGTTTGCGAATCCGGCAAACCCTGAAGCGCATTACAAAACGACAGGACCAGAAATATGGCGTCAAACAGAAGGAAAGGTAAAGAAAACTTCAAGATATTTACTATTATGTACATAATTAAGGTGGACATTGTTTGTTTCGGAGTCGGTTCTGGAGGTACAGTTACTGGAGTTGGTAGATACCTCAAAAACCAAAACCCTAATGTTGAGGTTAGCGGTTTTGATTTTTGGTTCCTGGGTAGACTTCTTTTTTCAGGTCTTCCCGGTCGAGCCCTTCGAGTCATCTGTGATAAACGGATTACCACATAGTCCTCACAAAATCCAAGGCTTGTTTTTCTTTCTCTGAATTGTGAAGAAAATACAATTTATTAGGAATGGGAACGGGAATGATCCCAGAAGTTTTGGACCGAAGCCTTTTCAAAGAAGCTCTTCGTGTTCATTCCGACGACGCTATTGCAATGGCACGTCGTCTGGCCGCTGAAGAATCCATTTTGGCCGGTATTTCTTCTGGAGCTAACGTCTGTGCTGCCGTTGAGGTTCTTTTAAATTTCATTTTTTTTGGGAGAAAAAGTCACCCGCTTTATTTTTTCAGCTGGCCAAAAGACCTGAAAACAAAGGGAAGTTGATCGTGACCACAGTAAACAGCTATGGAGAGCGCTACTTGTAAGATTTATGTGTGTCAAAGGTTTAATTCAAGTTATTCAGATCAACGGCATTGTACTCAACGATCCGCGAAGAAGCAGTCGATATGAAGAGGACTTCTCTCGAAGAATCTATTCAAATTGCTCGTAAATATTTGGAACAATAAAATAAAAATAAAGTTTTGATCCATGTTTATTGAAATGTATTTCAAATAAAGTATATATCTAGGGACCGCCAACGTTTTTCGAAATTGAAAGCACAATGATGAAATGAATGGAACCTATAGATTGAGGCAGCGAGATTCAATTTTAAAAAAGAAAGGGTTGCACGCGTGCATGCGCATGGTGATGGAACGGAAATGCAAGTAGCACGCGCGCGCGCCTCTATCCTCTTGTTCTTTTTTGAAAGAAATAATTTTTTACTACTTTTTCAACATGGGAGTAAAACTGATTCAAACTAATGGAAAAAGTTTCAAAGTGTATAAATAACAAAAAAAAAAAACAGTAAAACTGTCTTTGAAAATCTGTTCAGCCCTTCCGGTTTGGCACACTGTAGGTTTAAAATGTGCATACACCAATCGCGGTTTTTGGGCGATATCTTCGTTGATAACGAGTTTTTTGTACAAAAAAGGAACAAATTTGAAGAAAAACACAATTAGAACATTCTATTACATAAATTAAGTTTTAACAAAAAAAGTTTTTTTGCAAACGCTAGCAAGCCTTTTAAAAAAATGGCTTAATTTGGGGAATGCGTATTTAGTAAGTAAAAAAAGCATATTTTTTTCTGTAATTTTTAATCTTTTATCGTCGGAAATAGCCTTGTTCATTTTAATAAACAGAAAACATTTTTCGAGTTTTGACTCTCAGAAGATAGAGAAGTTGCTTATATATATGATTCACTTTGTCCTATCGTTGTTAGTCAATGTTTGAAATTGAACATACATTTCAAAAAAAGTGCATTTTCATTGGTTTTTTTACTTGAACGAGTTTTAATGGATTTTTTTTTCTTTTTGGGTATATGTCAAAAGAGCTGCGAAAATCGAGCCTCCTCGCTGTTTGAGATAAAACTGCCAGCGAAAAATGGGCTGCCGAAAAAATTGCCAGAGAAAAATCAGCTGAGAGAAACGAGCTGCGAAAATTTCGCCCGCCGTTGGCAGGTTAATCGCGCGACTCTGCGCTCCATCGAGAACAGTAACCGAATTTCGTCCATTTCCGCTCATTAGTATCTTAAAATATAGTTTTTTCTTGTTTTATGTTGAATGATTTCAAACTACATCGTTGAATTTTTGGAAGCAATTACTGAAATGTCAGAAAAAAAAGGACAAACATGCAGAAGTGATTAAAAGGGATAGTAAAAAAATTATCTACATAATTTTTCCCGGATTTTGCGTTAAAGGAACTATTTAAAATTTTATTTGCCCGTTGCGTATTGAAAATAATGAACATAACAAAATATCAGTTTATTAAAAAAAAACCTAAAAAAGAACAAAATGTGAGCATGGCAGGGTTTTTCCGATGAAAATTGTCTTTCGTGAAGTTGCGCAACCAATACTCGAACTTCTCCTCATCGCAAGAAATCAATCCACCCTGATTGCTTTTTAAGCGTCCTGAAACATTTTTTTTTCATTATTAAAATGTTTTTCAGACTCTTATAGACTGACTTCGCCCGATTTCATTCTAAGCGGAAATTAAATAAAACTTTTCTGCACGAAACCACAACAAAATGAAAAAGAAAATGGATGAAAACAAATAAGAAATAACAAAAATAATGAAAAAAATTTTCCGAAAATTCAAAATCTGTCATCGGCGCGTTATCGGTGGAGCGCAATATGTAGTCAACTATTTTGCCAACGGTGGGCAAAATTTTCGCAGCTCGCTTTTCGCTGGCAGTTTTATCGCTGGCTGTTTTTTCATCAGCTCATTTTTCTCAGCTCGATTTTCACAGCTCTTTTGACATATACCCTTCTTTTTCTATTTCGATGAACTTCAATAAATTTTTAAACATGGAATATCAGCTTTATACAAGCACCTGGATAAGTTCCAATCGTTTAAACATATTTGACAGCATAGACCCTTTATTATCAACTTTTTAAAAATTTTTCTTTTTAAAACATCAGTAAGCATTGTTTGCAATAAATTTTAAAAAATCATATGGTTGTCCCTGGAAATGTTGCTTTTTCAAAAAATCTTTGCTTTAATGAATTTTCTCCGCGTTTTCAATATGAAATTGAGAATCTGCGTGTAAAATAAGGTCTTTTTCAACCCTATTCTACCCAATTAGGATTATCCGAATTTTCAGGAACAAAAGGGGGCCAGCGCCTTCTCGACATTAGGCTTTTTAGACTGGAGTAAATTTTTTTCACTATTTTTTCTTTTGAAATATCTCGAGGTGGAAAGTTAAAAAAAAAGACGAAATATCGAAATCTCGGTTTCTGTTTTGTCAAATTGTATTAAATATCCAACCACGTCGACCGCCTTGTGATAGAAAAAAAAAATTATGGCAGAAAGATAGTTTTCGAAAATAGAAAGAAAAACCAGAAATTTTGCACAATGATATCTCCTCATTATTTAGGCACACAATAAACAAAGATGAATCGAGAAGTCGATACAAGTAGCTACCGGGTAGCAACTTTTGAAAAAGCCAATCGGCGTGAGGTGATCGGTGGTCGTTTGTATGCTACCGGGTACCATCTTTATGGTACCTGGGTCGGAGGTCGATGCAAGTAGCTGCCGGGTAGCTACTTGCATACCTGACATTCGCGATTTCTTTCGGAAAGTCTGGAATTGCTTCCCGGGTCGTTATTATTTGTTTCAGCTTTATCCAATAAGACCCTGGAAGGCTTGGGAAGGTGTAAACAAACACTGATGGTATATAAACGACCGATGTGTCAGCCAGTGCCAATCGCGAATTTCAGGTACATACCTGGTAGCATCCAGATACCGATCAGGTACTATCCAGGTACCATAGAGATAGTACCCGGTCGCATACAAATGACCACCGATTACGATTCGCCGATTGACTTCAGTTGCTACCCGGTACATAATTCTATCTACCTCTCGATTCACCAGTTAAAACGAGTATTTACTTTTCTTTTATTTTTCATTCAATTGACGTCAACTTCATTTTCCCAACTTGAAACGAGAAAACGAATGTTACTTGAAAAAGAAAAGATTAATGATTCTACGTGAGCAAAAAATATAATCTGAAACTTCTTTTTTGTTAAAATCGGAAGACGAAATAAAAGAACGAAATATGAAGGAGAACGTTGAGTAACAGTTTAAACTCAATTGTTTTACATTTTTTATACTAGTCAAAAAAAAAATTTGCTGTTTACCAACCAACAGTGAAATAAAATTTTGAAAACAAGAGACCTTACCTTGCAAAAAAAAATGAATGAAACACCAAATACCCAATTTTAAAGGCGCACGCTCAAGAGACTCGGGATGTTTTGAAGCGCGAGAGGAAATAGTGGGAGGAAATAGCGCACCGTCTCCTTCCTCCTAAAATTTCTTTTTTAATTATATTTAAAAAAATTATACTGTGATTTTTTTAATCAATTTTTTTCCTTCACTGATAAACATGTACGAGTTAGATAAATTTATTAAATATGATTCTGCTGAAATTTAGTTACGAAATTTATTTAAAAAAATTTTTTTGGAAAGTATTATTATAATATCCGATGGTCGGATCACTGATTGTGTATAAAGATCTTCCACAAAACAAAAATCGAGACGATGAGCAGTTTTTTTACGTTTGTTTTTTAACAATAGCTTCACGCCAAATTTTTTTTTGTTGACCTTTTTCAAAATTTGTTTTTGTTTTTAATCCATGCCGCGCTCAAAGTAATTTTGTAAAAACTCAGATTCTTTTCTACTTTCCAGCGTTTTCTTTCTTATTAGCTGACGGTCATTTCAATTCCGTTAGATTTACTATAAACGCAGCAACTTCGTTTACGTTTTTACGCATTTATGCTGTTTTTTTCTAAAAAAATATTTCAGATGACCAAGGGTACTCAGGCTTTTGGTAAGAAGCACGTTAAATCGCACACCTTGTGCAAACGTTGCGGAAGATCCTCCTTCCACATTCAAAAGAAGAGATGTGCGTCGTGCGGTTATCCTGATGCTAAGAAGAGGACATACAACTGGGGAGCGAAGAGCATCCGCCGTCGCACTACCGGAACTGGCCGCATGAAGCATTTGAAAATTGTTCAACGACGATTCAGGTATCATTTTTTCATATTTGTTGTGTTTTTTTTAATTGGAACTTGAAATTTTTGGAACTTTATTTTGGGTTTTAATCTTTCACAACGTCAAACTATAAAAAAAATAATTACCTGCAAATCAGCGCGACAAAGAGAAGAAATCTAGATTACTGAGAGCAACTTCTTTTTATGCACTGTTCGAAGTGATTCCGCGAAATCCAAAATAGCCGTTAGAGAACGAAAAAAAGTGAAGAAGCAAAAGAATTGGAGATAGTTTTGCATTTCGGGAAACTTACTATCAACACGGAAATACTTTTTCAAAAATATTTTTAACCATTATTTATTAATGATCTTTTTTGGTCTAAAACTTTGCTTAAACGTTTAGATCTATTCATTCAGTTTCTTATGCCGTGTGTTCAAATTGATTCCGCAATATTCAAAATAACCACCAGAGTGTGAAAAGAAAGTTTTTGGAGATTAGAAATGAATTTTAATTTTGCGAATTACTTTGACACGGCATTATTCTGGCAGTTTGATGTCGAGTTCGAAGCTAGTTCGACGCGCGCAGCGAAACAGTTTTTCTGATTCAGCAGCTCGAGCCGATTCGAAGAGCGTGACACGAGATGGCTCCGTCTTTTTTGGCATGTCCAATATAGTTTTCTTTTCATTTTGAATATCTACTTGAATGGGCGGAGCCGACCAATCAGTCTGTGTGAATCTGCCGCGTTTTGACTCGTGCTTTCAAATCAGGAAAGCTGTTGTGCTTCGCGCGGAATGAACTTGTGTGCTGAAAACGCGTAAATTTGGGGTAGTGAAAAAAAACTTTTCGAGATAGAACTGAAATAGCTACTCGTGATTTCTTTTTATTCTAATTTAAAAAAAAAATTTTTGATAAAATTTTTGATGATTGAATGAACAATATCAGTTTCAAAAATCTTCTCTTGATAGATCGCAAAACTATTGAATTTTTTTAAAATTTAGTCGATTTTTTTGTGAGCCAAGTAGCCTCAGCACTTTCAAGTGGCTATAAACTCTCAGAAACGTCCGCTTTGCGTTACCAAAGTTCGAGTTGTTTTGAAAAAGTTACTAATAAAACTTTTTGTTCTTAAATCTGAATGGCTCTCTATGCACGAATATTTTCGCAATTTTCCTAGTTGAAGAACGGATTTCACACTTGTTAAAACGGCAGTTCAGTCGCTATAATTTGATTTTTAGATACCTAATTCAAGAGTAATACGTATGAAAAAATTATTGAAGTTGAAACATGCTTCCGGCTTGTTTTTCTTTCACCAGTTACAGCCATTTACACCTTTTGGATGGCCTTCGTATACTATAAAAAAGGGACGCCAAAATCAAAAAGAATCAGATTATAGTGATGCCGTGTTCAAAGTAATTTCTACGAACTTTAAAATAGCCTTTGGGGAGTTAAAAAGATTTCGGAGAGTCAGAAATATTCTTGTATTTTGCGAAAAAATACTTTGAAACACGGCATGGAGTCACCTATCCAAAAAGAATGTGCATAATGAATATTTTGTGTTCCTTGTTTAAGGTAAGTTCCATCAGTTCGTGTAACCAAAGTTTATTCTGAAAGTTTTGATGAACTATTTCACGAATCGTTTAAATTTTGCTCCTGCAAAACTGAAAAGCTCCCTAAAAGCTTTTCTAAAAAAAAGATCGTGTAAAAGCTCCCAGCAGATCTTTTCTATCTAATTTATTCCATTTTTGCATATTTTTTGAATTCTCCAGTAAAAAGATGCTGAAAAGCAACTGAAAAGATTTGAGTGAATTCAAAAAGTATCAGCTCAGGCTATCGAAAAGGAGCTCAAAAGCTTTTCCAGATCATTTTAGGAACTTTTTTTTCCTCAAAGGAACTTTTCCGCTCTACCTATGATGAATAACGATGTGATTTTTTAACAACTTTTTTTCGAAAAAAATGTACTAAACAGGATATTTCTAAATCAAAAAAACTGGGTCTACTTATCTCGTAAGATCAAGTTGAATTTTCTTTTTTTCTATTATTTGATTTTCAAAAAAATCTTCGAAAGCAAAAAAAAAACTGACTTTATTATATCATTCATTTTTTTAGAGATTTATTTCAATTGCTCAAAAGTAATACAGTGAGTAGCTATTTTCAAAACTTTCCCGGAATTTTTTAAACTGTTGGTATCGGAAGAAAAAGATATAATCCAAACAAATAAGTTTAGTTTTACTAAGTATTCTCGTTGTTTTTGAAAAGAAACGAAAGTTTAGTGCCTGAAATGCGTTTCTTGCTGAAACGGTTCTCAAAACGAAAAGAAAGATCAGTAGATCTCGTTCTCGAGTTGTGAGACGCTTCAAAAGCTTGAAATAGCGCTTTTCGTAATAAGTTGCATATTTTGCGGAATTTGAAGCTCCATAATTCGAAAACGAGATCTAAAACCTAGCTAGCTTTTTTTTTAATAAAAAAATATTGAATGTTGTTTACTTTGACATTTTATTTAATAGGTAGCAAAATAAGTGTTATTTTTTTTTTCCAGAAACGGCTTCCGCGAGGGTACAACGCCCAAAGCCAAGGCTGCTCCTGCCAGTTAAACGTTTTGTTGTTTTGTTACGAATAAAGCTTGTTTTCTCATAAAGTATTTCATTTTATACCGGTATCAATTAAGAGTGAAACATAATATCAAAATTGGCGCTTGTATCGATGGTCCATAAGTTCTGAAGTCCAGTCGTCAGAGACCACGACATGGAGAGTAGCGGAGAGTTGGATGTTATCTGTTGAGCGGAATATGAGACTCTGTAAAATAAGAAAAAAAAAATGAATAGAAATGTCTTCCAAATACGTAAGACGACATACCGTTATCGAAGATACCAGCAGTATTATTTTCCCTATTCTCGTTGCAGTTTCGAGGTCTCCATCAGCATTACAGCAACTCATCAAAATATCGATGTAATTGTCGCGTGCTTTTTCCAGTATATTCGATGTGTCTTCGGTCACATTTGGTACAGCTAAAATGGGTTTCAGCTAGAATGTTGGTATTTGCAGCTCACCGTCAGCAAAGATGACGAGCAGAGCTCCTATGAGCCGCTCTTCTTCCGTCAATTTGAGCTCTTTCAAAGGCAGAATGAGAGTTTCGGTGCAAGTTTGACACACACCTCTTAAGTAGAGATTTGAATGGTTGGCTTGGTGCCTTCCTCACTTGACGTCTATTTTGGGCATCGGCTGTTCGGCTGGATCGCTTGGGTGGTAAGTACCGTTGCTGTAGCAAACGCCTGGACAGCCTGCGATCACCGACCAATTGGACGTCATCCACCAATAAAATGCCGCAAACCTCGATTTAGCTATTTTCATCTGAAATTTTTTTAAATATAGCCTGAGTACCACGACGGAATTTCATCAAACGACATTCCGATGCGCCTTTGTGAACCTTGGTCGCGCTTTTAACTTTTTTCTTTTATTAAGGTACTCCAATTTCATGTGCTCCAGCAGCAATAACACTATCCATTGAAAGCGTGACCTAAATTCGAATGACGCTTCGCGAAAGCACGCAACGGAACAGCGGAATGTCGTTCGGTGAAATTTCAAGTCGTGGCACACAGAATATAGGATTAATGTTCAAAATGAAACGAACCTTGTCCTCCTCACAGCACATATGGAACTCCGCTACTGAGAGAAGGAGGTCAGAATAAAGAACGAATGTGCGCCTGAAGTCGTTGATGACGTCGGATATCGTTGCCGGTCTGTGCCCCGTCGGCGTCAACTGCATAACGGGATGCGCTTTGCTCATCGAGATGAGTAACCAACCGGTGTTCTCAAGGAGACCAGATGGTTGTTGTAGAAGGCGTGCTTGAAGTCGTAGGAGCCGCTTTTTGGCCCTTGGCCATTTTCAGGATGGTCCGTCCGTGAGAAGACCTCTCGCAGCGTCCGTAGCACCTCTTCTTTCCTCTGAAAAAGGGACGTGTGCTCTGAGATGCTTGGTGGTGATCACTTTTTTTCGGTGGTAATCAAGAGTGTACGACGAGCACTGGGCGACGTCCGTCTGTGTCTCGCTGTCTCTGAAAAGTATGCGTTTTTGGTCCACGTCAAGATAAGCTGGTGATTCCTTTTGTCACTTTTCGAAAACTCCAGCGGCTTAGAACGAAAGTGACTAATTCATTTGGCTTCGTGTCCTACAGACTGACCGGGTGTCCGGCATCGCCTCTTCGTCCCACTCTGGCTCCTCGACGGCTTCGCCTTGAACCGCACGAGGATTCATCCCGACTTTGAGACATCTAGTTAGTCGACACGCACGGCAAGCGTTTCTCTGTTCTGACAACTTGTTTTGTTTCAGGTTTCCCAGAAAGAAGAGTAATTTTCAAGCCGAAAGTTTTGAATTTTTGCAAAAACAACCTTTCAACTTTCTGGTGCTGAATCACTGCTCAATTATTTATGAAGTTTCTCAATTCTTTAACTAAAATTCGTTTCTAGATAGATGAGTCAGATGACAAGATTTCTGGAGTAAAGACCTTTTTCTATTGGGCAGTCGCCGCCAAAGCGACAGATGTAGGTGCGACTCTTCCAGATACTTCTGCGGAAGAATCCTTTGCAGCCGTTGCACGCGAAGACGCCGTAGTGTTTCCCGAGGGCCTGAATGATTTTTTGTGGAATGTATTTCAGAGAGTTGTCTCGATAATGAAGAAAGTCGATTTTGAATTGATTCTTTGGCAACATATAACCTCCGGTTATTATAATCTTCCTCATTGACTTGCATCCGAAAAGTTGTGTGTATTAAGACCAATTATGAGCACGAGTGCAAAAAAAATGATGAATGGATTTGCGACCTTACTACTCGCTATCAGCTCAAAAACAAACCGAATCTCCGCAGACGGCGCAGTAAAGCATGTTCTTGACTTTTGAAATTACGATTCGAGCTCCATTTTTTCCCGGAGACCCGTTTTCTGCACTGCTCGGTCCCGCTTGAGCCAGAAAGACGGTGGAGGTTGACGGAGGCATCTCCGCCAACCGTTGGCTCATCTAAAAATTTCTGCAAAAAAACGTTTTATTCACGTTTTGAGCCCATTCACGCTGTTTGACATCGAAACACGCATGGACAGTGATAATGCGGCCGGTCAATATTCTGTTACGGAGCCAGTAAACTTTTTAATATTTCTTTCTTTTCTTGCAATTTTTTAAGGCCCCCTCTGTCTCGGGGTTACAGGATAAGTTGCATCACAAAAAGTACACGAGTTTTCCTTTTGTTACCGAAAAACCTATTCTAACTACCATAATAAGACCGGCCGCCTTGAACCGGCAAGGTCTTTCGAAAGGGGACAAAACTAATTTCTCATGGGATTTTTCGAACCAAATGCAAAAAAACAATTCAACTTTTTTCTGGCGTATCGTTTTCAGTTGACACTGGAAGGATGATGAGACTTTTTTTCAAATTCAATAAAAGATCAATAAAAGAAAAAGCAAAAAAAGGTACAATTGACAAGGTTTAAAAAGGAACACGAATTTTAACGTTTTGCGATAAGAAGCACACGTCCGTTTAAGAGTTCATTGTACACACAAACTTAGTTCGACTCCGATCTGTAACTCTTCGCTGCGCTAAAGTGACGCCACGGGAAATATTTTTTACAAGAGTTGTAGGTTTTGATAATGGCACCATTTCCGAGAAATACAAAAAAATAAGAGAGGCTGAAATGTAGTCAAATGTCGAAGGAAAGTATAGCTGATTCACGGCTGGCTTGAGCCATCGAGAAAAGGGTCCTGCCACGAAAAGAGACGAGACAGTGCCCTGGTTGGTGGAGAGTGCAGACAGGCCACGCCTTTTTGAGTCCCTAGCTAGCCGTGAATCGTCTATAGCTTGAGGCGCTAGGGAGAGTTCTAGGGCTCATTTTCAACTTATCAAAAATTCCGAGTTTTTTTCGAAAGCTAAAAAAATTAGCAGAAAGATTCGGTGATTCTGAAGGCGGAAATTTTATTTTTTTGTAAAGGAGGCGTTTCCCGGCTGCGCGATTGGTTGAAAATTGATCGATCAGGAAGTTTCAAAATTGGACATTTAAATTAAGCTTTTTGAGAAACTGACTTGACTTGGGATTCTTTTTCATGTCTACAAGACGCACAAACTTTCGGGGCTAAATTAAAACCGAACAGACGAACAAAGGTTTTCTAGCACGGAAAATGATCGATTTGAGTATTTTCTATATGGATCATAATCAGTGAACCCTCATCTCTATAGTTTTCGGTGCCCAGAAATAACTTTGAAGGCGCCATCAAGAAGCGGCCGAATGACGTGTTGCCAACGTCTTCTCATCGCAGATAATATCGACCGTCTCAGTTTATCGCATTTCTTTCCAGCGTGGTTAGTTCTGGCGTTGTTTTTACTGAACATTTCGACAAATCCTCGTTTTTCAGCTCTGTCGACCATTTCATAAGCTCACAAGTTATGTGGTATGACTACCTTGGCATACCTTGGCAGGTAATTCAAGTTTGCCAAAAATAATAATCTTTGAATTAATCAATGGAGCTCTTGAAAACTCAAGCCTGCAGAATGGCTCAGTTTTTCGAAAAGGTGCTTATCTGGACACTTCTAATCAAGCTAGCGTATCGAAGCTTCGGTTCTCAGAAAGTTTTGCATGTTGCTTTTTCTCGAATTTCCATCTAATTTATCCAAATTTTTTTAAAGCTTTTTTTCATTGAAATTTCAAATCTAATCTGCGTCAGTATTCCTCTCTGAAGAATTTGAAAAAAATTTGATGAGTGTTTCAATTTATTAGGACTATTTGGAAAAAAAAATCCAAATAGTCCTAATAAATTAAAAAAATCTAAATATAAATCAATTTGTGGTTCACTTTCTTGGCCAAGACTTTTCATAAATTAAACTTTCTCATTATTTTTTTCGATTCATTCCGAGCAAAAACTTCCCTCTTTCCTCAAAAGTTTTATGTAAGCAAAAAATAAATAGGATCAGTAGACCCGGAAGTGCGACAGCTGACATTCTGATCTCGTGTTGTTTTATAAATACCGCTGGTTTTCGAAGTAGAAAAATTAGAAACTGATGAGACTTGGCCATGAAGAAAAGAATTAAGTTGAAATATTTTAAAAAAAAGCCCACTAAACCGGAGTGTTAAAAAAGTTGTGCCAATGCAGAAAAAGAGCAAGAGATCAAACAGTTTCGCTTTTGAATGACGTCACGTTGCGCGCTGTGTTTGCACCAAAAAGGGCAGCTACTCTTGTATTTTTCCCGAGGAGAATTTAGGATTCAACTAGTTTTTTTTTCAATTTTTCAAGTTTGAAAGGTTTAAAAAGACGCTCGTGTAGTAAATCTACGGATCTTCTTCGATAACAAAGTCAGAACAAAAAATCTCACCGTCTTCTCTGTGGCTAAGGCTAAAGCCAAGTACCAAGAAGTAAAAAATTAAGCTTCACTCCCAAATTTAATCATTGCACCATGTTAATAAGAGGTAACAGACAAACGAAGTCGTTAACTAGGAAGTTGAAGTGGTTGATCTTTGGGTCAGCGTGATCTCTGACTTTTTGATCAGAAGGTTGAAAAAAACAATGAGACATAGTATTAGTGAAATAGGAAGGATTTTGTAAGAGAGCGGAGAAGAAAAGAAGGAAAAGGCGAGAGAACGATGGAGAGAGCACGGCGTATTGGGTGCGGACAGAGGACATTGTGAGGACCTGCCGAACCCCCGACGTCTATGTAGACTCTAGTTGCCTCTCCAAACAGCCCCAAACAACCAAAGATCGGCGCCTAACTTGGAGACTTTTATTCCGAATTCGCGTCATTTATTCAATTCAAAAAGGTGGTGGTTACGTGGAAACCGTCTCTACTCATGAAAAAAAAAACGATTTTCTAGATTGAAGTGATTTATGAAATAGGGCGAGAATTCGATTCTATAACATTTTGAAAAAAAAACTTTTCACAATTTTCAACGTCTAATCAGTTAAAAAAAACATTTCTGAGGCAATTTCAGTCTGGTCTGCCCTATCGCTTTTCATTCTGTCTTTTTTTGTAGCTTTTTATGTTTTCCAACTTTCCTCAATTTTTTTTTATAAATTTTTGAAAGTTCTGGGTGAAAGGAAACGATAATCTAATTTTGATGCACCATCAAATATTCAGGAAAACATGGTCGTGAGGTACAAAACAGTTCTTGAAAAAGAAGAAATAAAAATTATTTTTCTGGTTCCCGAGAATTCTCAAAATAAGTGTCTTAGAGATATTGGAAAAAGTGGAAAGTCTGATGAGTCCATTCAAACCGGTGATTACAAAAGTTCGAGGTGGAGAGAAAGAGAAATGATCGCATTGGTCTCGATCTGTGTACTTCCTCCCCTCGGGCTCAAGCAGTTCAACTTTCGAATTATCAGACAGCTGACACGGAGAAACGGTAAGTAAATCAAAGGATCAAATCGGAGCTTGCAGTTGAAAGCCGAATAATCTTTAGCTTAATCTTCCAAAAAAGGCAAAGAAGACGTTTTGCAATGAAACTATTTTAAAATCGGAGGATAATCTTTTGAGTTGATTCAGTTTAGTTCAGTGAGCTTTGAAAAGCGAAGCCACGGAAGGTTGGGGTGAAGAAAAAAGAAGAGGAGATACGAGTACATTGGGAGTATCCAGCGACTGCACGGCGAAATCAAAGCCTTTCAGAGTTTGCCACTCTGCCGTCTGCCGCCGCTGTTTTCAAGGTTTTGCCGCCACGTGCGGCTGCCGGGAAACAACTCAAAGGATACGGAAAAAGTCTCGCGAGATCACCCGATTCTGCACCTTTTATGATTTTGGAAAGTTTACAGGTGTTAACAGTCGATCACAGAGAAAGTCTCAAGAAAAAAAGAAACATATTCAAAAGAAGAATAAACACAGAACTTCTCGAAATAGGTTTTAGTTGGAACTTTTCGCATTTAATTTTGGAAAAATTTTTTTTGCGAGAACTGTAGTGCATTGGTCTAAGAATTGTACACTTACGACAAGAGATTAGCTTCATTTTTAATTTTGCAATTTAAGATAAAAGGCTGAAACTCTTTTCGAAGTTCCAGTTGGAACTGAAGAACTACCTATTCGCTCAATTTTATAATTTATGATGAAGGAAAGCTCAAAATTTTCGCACGCATGGGTTGGCTTCACGAATTTTTATTCAAATAAAGAAGGTGTGTAGGCTGAGACTTTTTATTTATCCCATCAAAGGGTAATTTTTTTGTAAACTAAAAAAACTCTGAAAAATCAAGCCCAATTATAACGACCACTCATCTAAAAAAAGGATCTAAAATAAGAAATTTTACATCAACTTTCATTTGAAGTTCGAAGCATTTCTGTGATCTTTGCTGCTGTTTCCGCATTCAAGATTAAAATGCGAAAATAATTGATTTTACGAAGTATTTTATGCAAGTAATGATGTAATATTATTTGAAGAGAAAGGTAGCTTGCGGTTCCATTCTTACTTATTCTTCTCAAAATGAATTCAAAAGTATAAGGAGTATGTCTTCCTCTCTTCTCTCTTAGTCTGTAAATAAAAATTCGAAAAGTGAAAGCTTTATTGAGAATTCGTATAAGACTAGACTTAAAGTTTGTATAAATACGCATAGAGAGTAGTTCGCTCTTTAATGCCTTACTACATGTTTTGAAAAGGTGACTCAAATTCAAATGAAAGCCGCCAGACACTCGGAAAATTTGCTTGCTATTCGATTTAATCTTTTTTTCTTTCGCAACGAGCTTTGATGTCAATTGCTCACAACTTTCCGCTTTTTTTAAAGAAGTTATGCATTGAAAAACTTTCGAATTTTGAAAAATTAGGAAAAGGAGGTTCAAAATGTTAGCGGCTTCCCATTTGAAGAAAAATTGTATCTGCGAACCGCAAACCAAAAGCTCAAAAAATTAATTTGACAATTGGACTTTTCTAGCATTCATCCTTTTCCGGTTCCTATGAAAATGTTAAGAGTAAAAATTAGATATTCATTTCGTTTTCTCTGAATTGGAAACTTTGGCTTTTCTGCGCCGTGCTTCCTCTGAGCAGCGCCCTCGCGTTCACGAAAAGTTTTCATACTTCTATAAATTCGCCGTCGAGAGGAAAGTGGGCCCAGACATGTCAGAAGTCCTCAAGGAGAACAAAATATGGAAAATCGGCTCGTTTCTATCGACGCATTTGCACACGGGATTTTCTCATAATATGATTATCTCGCTTCTTTAAAATCCCGTTCAGCAATTAAAAACATTCCGAAACAGTTTCTACGAGCCTACTAAAAGTTTTAGTTAAGTAATTAACTTTCAACACTCAATTAAAACAAACCGCGCAACGCATTACAAACAGGGCGGCTGTCCGACGCGGCACGACGGTATCTTTGGAAGATTTTCGCCGTCTACAGTAGTCGTTGATGTTTGTACGCACTTCGGACACACGTCATTTTGAACCCGAATCGCGACGGAAGACAAAGAAGAGTTTGCACTGAAAAAAAAACAGAAGAAACTAGGGAGAATCTGCAGGGAGAAATCGAGAGATCGACTTTCCGGTTGCAGTTAACTTTGGCAAAACAGTTGACATCACCATTTCATCGCCAGGTTCCCTGTGACAAATGCCACGTCTGTCTAAAGGCTTTGGTTTAGTTCAAAATAGTCGGAAAAAATGAGTTTGTACGGCGGAAAGAACAAGAAGTGGGAATTGTATTATTCGATAGTTAAACATCAGAAACAAAAGTGATTGCAGAAAATTACTGCGGTGACGGCTTAGAAAAGAAAAGAATTGATCATTTTACGGTTACATTCACGGTTATGGAAAAAAAAATCCCTTTAAGTGTCACTCAAAACGTCTTATCCTGGTATTCAGAAACCGTTAGCATGAAACTTCACGATCCGATAATCTGAAACTGTTTGTTAAGAATTTTTCAAGTATCAAGAAAATTCAAGATTTGTTTTTACAGTGTATCAAATTTTTTGATCGTGAACGTGAATCCATGAAAAAAAGTCGTTCTTTCATTTTTTGGCTTTAGACAACGAAGGTGCTTTCATAATTGGTTTTTAAGAATATTTTTCGCCATTTAAACAACATCTTTTGTCAAAAGCTAACGGTGAATGGAGATAGTTCATATGACCACAGATAATTATTTTGAGACCACCGTAATCAAGATACGGTACTCTTATACAACTTTTTTCTTTTCGGATTTCGCAGGAAAAAATCATTGAAAAAGTAATTTTATTTCGCTTCTTTTTCTTTTCTATCTGTTGTTGCCTCGTTGCTTGTGACCTGTTCATCATCTCCTGTTTCCTGAAACATCAGAAAAAGGTTTGAAATGATCTTTGGGCTGCGTTCAAAGAACAAGTTCGAAATTCTAACCCCATTCTTCTTTTTCTCATCCCGGTACCACTCGAATTCGAGCGGTTTCAACTGCGCAAATGTCAGTTCGAGGTCAGCATTCACCTGAAATGCCAGGTAAACAAAAAGGCGAAGAAAAAGTCTCTCATGGCGAACCTTGACAACGGCGGCGTAGTTGTGTAACTCTTCGTGGTACCGAGAAGCGGAGAAAACAGTTAGAAGGGACTTCTTGGCAAAGAAAGCGTATCCATACTCGACTACCTGGAATTTGATAGACTAGGCAAAGAAGAAAAGCCGCGTTGCAAGAAGATTCAATTAGCGCTGTTGGCTTTGTTTCCCATGGGAAGTCTTTTGAACTCGGAACGGTCACATTTGGATTGGTTCAAAGCGTCGCGGTCTTGTTGCAGTTGGCTTAACTTATCATTAAAAAGATATCGTCTTAGAAGATCTAAAACGAAAAAAGTTTCACAAAGAATCGTTTTAAAAGCTCTTTCTTTTTTGGAGACTTCTGAAGAACGACAGAACCTGATGAGCTCGGATGATCAAGTCGATGTTGAGCCGCTTGCACATTTCGTGAACGGCGTCTTCGCCGAAGATGTGCGACACTGCTCGTATGGCGTTTCTTTTGTAGCCCTGGACGCCCGGCTCTGGATCCGCCCAGAGTAAGTCTTGTGCAAGAGGCTGAAGATCCACCACATGAACAGAGCCGCCAAAGACTTTTCCGTTCACATCACGAAATTCAGTTTTCAAGTTATTGTCCCTTGCTCAAATGAGGGGTCCTTCTAAGGCTCTTACTGGAATTCTCAATAGACATTCAAAAATTACTTGACCATCAACCATGTAATGTCGTTGAATGGAAGATTTTTCAAGTCAAATGAAACTTTGAAAAGAACTTACGCATCTTTTGACGTGTTTCAGAGGTCTTTCAATCTTTCGAATATCGTCAAAACTGTTCAGCTGTGGGGAAAGTCCTGAAATGTCCTTTCAATGAGCACCAGAAGTATTTCCACCTCCGTGCATGCAGAGAATCCGGCCGTGGATGAGTCCAGCGAGAGGCATGTAGGCGAAGACGTTGTTGAAGTGCTCGTGGAGCTCGAAAGCGCGACTCTTGTACCGCATTTTGAGCTCGCCCTCGAATCCGTACGACCTGGCAAGTTTCTGTGGGGGAACTGCAGCGGGGCGAACTTGTTGATGGAGACGATCTCGTGGTTGCCGCGTAGAAGGAAGACCTTTTTGGGGAGTTGGACTCGAAGGGCGAACAACAGACAGATCACCTCCAAAGAGTGTCGTCCCCGGTCCACGTAGTCTCCCAGGAACAGGTACTTCTGTGTCATCGGCTTGCCACACGTCTGTGGATCCAGAGGTGAAACAGAGATTCCGGTGACTTTTACCTTGAAAATCCTCATAAGATCCGAGTATTGGCCGTGCACGTCGCCACACACGTTTATCGGCGCTCTCACCTGAAATATTTCACAAGTATATTTTAATTGCACAAGCTACCGGATTTCCTTATCCTAGGGGGCGCAAAGCCCCGCCCCTTCACGCCACCAAAATGACGATTTTTTGTTGCAAAAACGGTTTTGAGGCGTTTATACTAGCTAAAGTCTCACTTTAAAAATCAACTGTTTCTGAAAACCTATGTAATCGACAACGCTCTACAAGACTGAATATTTTTTTAAAACTATGTATTTTTTTCAAAAAAATAAGCGAAAAAAAGTAAGATTTAACACGAAAAAAACTGACAAGTTTCACAAAATCGTCGCGTTTCAGAAAACCAAGTGAGGAACGCTTCTAAATTTTTAGAAATCTACCGACGCGAAAAAAATATTAAAGCTTGTAAAGTGACACAAACTTTGAAGCTGAAATGCGAAAAAACTTCAGCGACATGGTATACTTTTTTTATTTGATTTTAAAAAAACTAACAGTGTGTCCAAAAAAATAAAAAAATTCAAAATGAAAATAATTATTGGGACAGCGAATCAAATTATATTTGAGTTTTACCAAAACCTCCTTTTTTCGCCTGCCTCGTTGACGCATGAGAGAATAGGATCGCGTCTATATTTTTTTGATTATGTTATTAAGCGTTCAAAAACTCTATCAAATGAAAAAAAATTATGAAAAAAATCGATCGACGCGAAAAAAATAACGGGTTTGAAAAACCTCGAAAAAAATGGCAATTTTTTTGAAATTTCGGAAGATTTCGTGCAAACGTCCGTAGCAGTGTTTGCGTCAAACACACCGATGCGCCCTTTTAAATGTCGCAGGAGCCGTTTTTTTCGGAGTCAAATTGTACTTTTTTTCCTGTTTTTATTTCGAAATAACATTGTTTTTTTCATTTTTTTCTTTTTTTCCAAATCGAATGATAATAATTTTTTTCTGAGTAGAAAAAAAGAAAAAAATAAGCTGAAAAAAATCCCTTTGACCTTTTTTTCTAGGTAGTTTTTTTGATATTTTATCAAAAAAATTCTTATGAGGATTGTACAAAAGATTCATACCAAAACATGAGGCTCAGTTCGGACAACCTCTCAGAACAGAAAAACCGATTTAAAAAAACGGTCCAGAAACGCGCAAAAAAACATTTAAAAAGAAAGCGTGCGGCAGCGGGTAAACCGTGAGATTTTGCCTCCAGTTGTACGCCGCGCGCGCTCGTTTTTTGGCCATAACTTTTTTCTTAGTGAACCTTTTTTCAAAAACTGAACGGATTATGAAAATGGACAGTCTCCTCTATCGAACAATGTGAAAAACATATTTTTTGAATCGTTCTGAAGAAATGGCTTGCGGACCTACCTTATCCTTAGAAAAAAAAAACCCCTTGTAAGTTAACTTCTTTCTCTTCTAGAAACGTTTAATATTGGATTGTAGGAACATGAAGAAACAGCTGGCCGTCGGAACGCTCAAAACTCGTCTACAACTATCTCAAGAAGGGCAAAATGTTCTACGCGCTGTTCTTGATCAACGACAGCTCCGCGAACCGACCAAAAATTCTTCAATTCTTCCATGATTCAGCAGAGAGTCTTCTCTTTGAGCAACTTGTAAACTTAACAAAATTTTCTTTGAATTATAGTTCAAACTTAGAATAAATTGAGACAAATGACACTAAAATCAGATTGAAGAAAAATTGAAATGCCAAATAAATTTCGAAAATTTCATACCACGATCGGCTAGAAGCATTGATAGGGGGCGCAAAGCCCCGCCCCTTCATGCCACCAAAATGACGATTTTTTTGTTGCAGAAACGGTTTTGAGGCGTTTATACAAGCTAAAGTCCCACTTTAAAAAAATGAACTGTTTCTGTTAATCTATGTAATCGACAACGCTCTACAAGACTGAATATTTTTAAAACTATGTATTTTTCAAAAATAAGCGAAAAAGTAAGATTTAACACGAAAAAAACTGACAAGTTTCACAAAATCGTCGCGTTTCAGAAAACCAAGTTAGGAACGCTTCTAAATTTTGAGCATGTTATATATTAACACTTTCTTTATTTTTCGAGTAAAAATTTTAAAAAATCTAACGACGCGAAAAAAATATTAAAGCTTGTAAAGTGACACCAAACTTTGAAGCTGAAATGCGAAAAAATTTCAGCGACATGGTATACTTTTTATTTGATTTAAAAACTCACAATGTGTTCAAAAATAAAAATTTAGAATGAAATTAATTATTGGGACAGCGAATTAAATTATATTTGAATTTTACCAAAACCTCCTTTTTTTCGCCTGCCTCGTTGACGCATGAGAGAATAGGATCGCGTCTATATTTTTTTGCTTATGTTATTAAGCGTTCAAAAACTCTATCAATGAAAAAAATTATGAAAAATCTAACGACGCGAAAAAAATAACGGCTTTGAAAAACCCTCGAAAAAAATGGCAACTTTTTTTGAAATTTTTGGAAGAATTCGTGCAAGCATTCGTAGCTGTGTTTGCGTCAAACACACCAATGCGCCATTTTAAATGTTGCAGGAGCCGTTTTTTTCGGAGTCAAATTGCACTTTTTCCTGTTTTTATTTCGAAATAACATTATTTTTTTCATTTTTTTCTTTTTTCCAAACTAAATGATAATAATTTTTTTCTGATTAGAAAAAAAGAAAAAAATAAGTTGAAAAATTCCTTCTGACCTTTTTTTCTAAGTAGTTTTTTTGATATTTTTGTAAAAAAATTCTTATGAGAGTTATACAAAAGATCTATACCAAAACATGAGGCTCAGTCCGGACAACCTCTCAGAACAGAAAACCGATTCAAAAACGGTCCAGAAACGCACAAAAACAATTAAAAAGAAAGCGTGCGGCAGCGGGTAAACCGTGAGATTTTGCCTCCAGTTGTACGCCGCGCGCGCTAGTTTTCTGGCCATAACTTTTTTCTTAGTGGACCTTTTTTCAAAAACTAAACGGATTATGAAAATGGACAGTCTCCTCTATCGAAGAGTGTGAAAAACATATTTTTTGAATCGTTTTGAAGAAATGGCTCGCGGACCCTAAGCATTGAAATTAAGTTTGCGGAGACCAACATCTTGCACTATCTTAATCTTTCTACCAAAGTTCCGTGGTATGAAAAATTTCCTCATTTTTTATCCGAACACGTTAAAAAAGGGTTGCAAGCGTATAAAACCAGGCCTTTCTCTTTTGATCGTCACACAAGTCTGCTTTTTTTCTAAGGCTTCATTTTCCATATTTTACTTTGTTGCACTAACTTCAACTAACGAGGGTCCGGCCCGCATTTCTTGATCGACCAAATCCAGCAGAAGATGGATCTCGTCAACCTAAAAGGAGCAGAATTCGCAGGTCTCACAGCGAAAAGCTCACATCGTACTCCTGGCTTTTACTCCCATCTCGGAAATGTTTGGCTATGAACTCGGTGACCTTGAAGCTTTCGCGTTTTTCTTTCTTTATGTCTTTCGTGAACTTGTTTGGGTCAATCTGAAATCTCAGCTACAGTCTGAAAAAAGGGAGTTCTCACGTCAGCTATCGCAACGTTTTCATCTTCTGTCTTCATCTGAATTTTATCGCTCGAATTTTTTAATCAAGAAAGAAAACAAATGTACTTTTTCACCAGAACCATGTTTCTTCTTATCATCCGTTTTCTCAAAAGTCTCCTTCTTTTTCTTCTTTGACGACTCAGTTTTTGACATTTTCGTTTTCTTTTCGCGAAATCGACGACTAAAAATTTTTATTTAAGGACTTGGTCTGGCAACCTACGAATCGGTCGATAGAAATACTATGAAATGACAGAAATTCCCCATTCGAGCTCACGTTTCTTTGACGGAAGAATAACCTGAAAGAACCAGGAAATTCAGGCTTTCAGAAGCGCCGTTAAGACCTGAAAAGTACTTTTAAATAATCCAAATCAATTATGAAAATTACTTTCTTATTCATAATTTTTAAGCCTTAAAAATTAAAATTTAAGGGCTTTCAAATACCTCTTAAATTTCCTTTCTTTAAAGGTATTCTTTTTGAAGGCTATAATGAGCTATACAATCAGTAAGAGTCTGAATAAGAACTAATAATAATTCGTACCTTTTAAAAGTACCTTCTCGAGTTTGCGCAGATTTTTCATTTCTTTTTCCGCGTTACAACAGATTTGTTTTCAAACAAACTTATGTCTTCAAGATTGAAATTCCCCATATTTGAAGATAGTCGAATAATAAAGAACGAAAATTGGAACGCACAGCGATCTGTCTTCCTCGTTGTTCATTGTTTTGTGTGAAAATAACAAGGCTCCCGCAAAACGACCGTAATCCTCGCCGCGGGACGTCCTTTCGCGTCAGGAGGTCCGTCCTCGAATATGGGGCAACCAGCTTCATCAATTACTGCATGAGCGTAGCCTTGAACCGGTAGCGCGAAACCGTTTGATCTCGCGTCTCTGAGCAAATTTGGAGACGATTGATGAGACGGCCAGTAGAAGGTTCTGCTGAGTCTCCAAAGATTTCTCTGATAAAAAACGCTCTTCTTCTTGGACGTGTTCCAAAAGTTCAGCAAGCTTTTGCTAGAAGCGAAAGTCGCGGGATCGAAGCGGATAGGTGTGTCGAGAAGAAAAAAACAAGTTTTCATCTGGGAGACGTTCCCGTGTCTTCTTCTCCATCGCTCTCAGGAACGATTTCGTCCTCCTCGAATGTTCTCGTGATAAGGAGACGATGAGATTGAAGCGTCTGCCGTCGTTTTTGGCCCTTTCTCTGCTCGCCGTCGTATTCTACGCCGAGGCTCAAGACCTCCCAGGTTTCTTTATTTGCGAGGTCGCCGGCTTTTTTCCCCAAAAACTACTAACAACTTGACGAAAGTATTTTTTGACCGACGTTATAAGTATTAAGAAATCCTTCATAACAAGGATTTTTAAAAACTTGACTATATCAGCGTTCCAACGAGAAGAGTCGAATGCTGATATAGTCACGTTTCTACCATGATTCAGCAGAGCCTCTTCGATTTCTCTGTTGTCTGAATAAATTGAATTGAATTGAATTGAATTGACTATATCGCTTAGTTCAAAATGACAAGCAGGAACTAGTGCCATGAATTACGGTTTTTGACCAGCAAAGTGGGCGTGGCTTTGCGGTTCCTAAATAAATAGAAAAAGTGGTTTGTTGGGATTCCTGTTGACTTTTCTTTGATTTTATTACAAGAAAACATATCTTGTTACTTTAAGTAGAAAAATGTTTTACAGAAGTTGGTCTGGACCTCGAACCTTTCGATATCCCTCTCGAAGAGCTTGAAAAAGATACAAAAGAAGTCACAACTCTCTCGGAACAATGCAAAAGATTCGTCAATCATTATCGGTGAGAATGAAACTGATTCACTTTTTGGAGGATATCCCTAGAGTTTAAAAAAAATTCAGATTTTCAATTCAATTTTAGATACTACTGTCGAACATCAAACATTGCGAGTTACAATGAAGAAGTCCGAATAATTTGTGAACGCTACCGCAACTACTGTTCTGATCGCGTGTACCCTTCTGTCAACCACGTCTGAGCCTCCCAAAATTTCTAGAAAAACTTGCAATTTAGATTCGTAGACAAAGCAAGCTCTGGGAAGCGTCGGGAATGCCCAAATCAACGGTGCAGTCCCTGAAAACTTGTTATTCACACTGCAAAGAAACTGATCCGGTGTGAGTGTACTTTCTCTCGAAAAAGCCGAGAAGAAAGAGTTTGAAGCTGCGTGAACGCCTGTGAGTGCCTTCACATGCAGTGGATGATGAACTACGAATGCTACCCGGGCATCAGAGCTCCTGCTTACAACAACTGCCAGAGGTCGGTTCTTTTGTCCCAGCTCATGGTTAGAGAAGTGAAAACTTGAGTTCGCCTCAAAATTCTCTTCGTTTTCAACTCACCATTTTTCAATTTACATGCGAAAAAAAGAACTTAAAATTTTATGTATAATATTTTTTTATTGTGGATCGATCAAGATTTCCTAAGTTTGGAAGAAAAATCCTTATTTATCTTCCTGCCATCTAAAAGAGCCCATAAAAGGCTAGCCAGATTGGAACTGGAATGATCAATGGGCTCGGCGCCAATCCGATCCATTCTCCTCGGACATACCGGTTCCTGCGGCTCTTTTCAGCCTAATGGCGAAACAAACGACTTTTGCCGTCGCCTTACTTGATTGATCTGCACGTCTTCTCCCCTCTCTCAGAATCCTTCGAACTATCTCTTCGAAAAAGGAGAAATGAAATCTTTGATTTGAGATGGGCAGCCAAGTGTCGAGCTGTGTGGCGTCCGCGACAGGACTACACTCCGGCCGACTATCGCGTCAATGCGCCGCCGCCAATCGTCCGCGGAGTCTTCTACGGCTACGACGGTCTTGGTCCGTCAATATTCAATTCATAATTGGTTTTGAACAATTTCTGAAAGCTCGTAGTGCAATTCTTGCGCGGTTTCTTATACGGCTATTAACTGATTAATTCCTAATCAAGGTCTTGAGCTGAACAGAACAACTCCGGAATAGGCCTTGGTCTTTCTTGTCCTATTATTCAAATCTTGAATAAAAACCCCCCTTTGCAGCCACTCACAGGACATTCGACAGGCCGAGAGACCATGGAGTCTCTTTCTGGCGCGGCACCAACACGATTCTCGTCGACTGGCCCGAAGGCATGTTTTGCTTGATCGAGAGTCCTGAAATGGAGTTTTGCAGGAAAATACGCGAGTGGAACGACCTTCGAGGTGCCTTTCGCCGGCGTTCAGGTAATTCCCAACCAAGTCAACATCGGCTTCCCCAATGCTCAACGAGCGCTTCGAGAGTTCACCAAGTATTTTCTTTGTTTCCACCTTTTCCTCAATGATTTCTTTCAGACAAAACCCCGATCAACTCAACCCAGGAACTGGACGGATGTCTGCTCTGAGCACCCTGAGAAGAACATGAAAATCTTGATTGTTTTTGTTTTAATAATATTTGAGCCTCTAATAATACTTGTTATCTGTGAAAATGTGCCGAAGACAAAAAAACTTTCCAAACAAGACTAACCAGCAGAGCAAACACAACCCTGCTTGACTTGGTAACGGTGACACCAGTGTCAATTTGCGGGAATTTGTTGCAAGAAGCGCTCGGAGGCAATTATTGGCATCCGAAGACAAATGAATTGGCCAAGGAGACGCTTGTTGGTTATGAGGCCATATGTTGCGTGCAATTGTGCTCCAGTTTACACGTAACGTATTACTCACCGCGCTTCTTGACGTCGCTTTTTAATTGCTTATTTTCCTTACTGGAACTCCATCTAGTATTTTCTCTCAGAAAATCTTTGCTTTTCTGAAAATTTCTATTTTGTCAACTTCTTGAAAAGATGCTAAGGTCAGAAGCGGTAGGAATGCGATCAGTAGATCATCACTTATGTATTTCGAATCCTTCTTTGTTGGAAAAACCTGAAAAAAGGGTTGGTCTTCATTAGAACGAAAACTCCTTATCTTTCAACTGTTCCTCAGAAAAAAGAAGATGGGCATTTAGGATGGACGCGATCTTTATTAAATTTATGCTGGAAGATCAGGGAAATTTTGCAAAACTGACTCTGGAAAGATAGGCGAACAAATGGGCAAATAAACTACATATTCGAGTTTCTACAGCGGCCTTTCTTCTTTATTTCTTTTCAAGCTAGTGATTGGCCTCTTTTCCCCAGTGAAAAATTGACATCGGTTGATCCCTCGTCTGGTCAGATTAGCTGTGGCAAAAGGATTATTGGAGTAATTCGAGAGTTTTTGCTTGTCGATTTTGCTACGCCAATGTTTTTCGACTTGAGTCTCGATTACTTCACCCAAAGATGCACACGGGGAAAAAGCAATCAGCCAACTAAGCCCATCGGCGACGCTTCTTTTCCAACCAACAGATGACATGTTTGCCGCGACTGACCTAATATTTGAGGTATTCTTCCGGGTTACGGTAACTAGTTGTCCCTGGGGAAATTGAAGCGTTGTTGGGGATCTCCGTCTATTGTTTGTATGAAGAAACACAAAAGTTGCTACAGTCTTTTTTGAGGAAGTTCGGCTGCGCTCGTTGATAAAAATAAGAATTTCGGCTCTGAGCTGACATTTTTAGTGAAGAAAAAAACTGAGTTGCCAAAAAAATATCATTTTTCACGAAAAATTTTTTTATCCCGAAAAAAACGTTAATGATAATGAAAAAGCAAGGCTATGGTGCGTAGAAAAACTCGACCTGAATTCAGAGAAAAATTTAATTCAAAGACACAAGCTCTGTTTTTCGGCTTTTTCTCTCTGAAGGACTTAATGGCGACCAACTTGATATTCATGGACTAATTGAATTGACTGATTCCCTCGCATGTTCGAGTTCTGTTCAAAAAAGGGTATTTCGGCGAAGTGACACGGGCCATGTCGAAAACACATTCAGACGGCTGGCATTGAGTAATCGGCAGATATCTGCGGCGTTTTGGAAACATTCCAAAACGAGTGGTCCAATGAACCGAGGGCTAACAGCCGCAAAGCGATCAAAGCGGCCGCTGGCTGTTTTTTGCGCCTGCGGGAGCCTCCGCGAGGTCTGGCCGTGGCTCAGCCGACCGTGCCGCCGCCAAAACGCTTCCGCACACCTTTTTCGGCCCGTTTCAATGACTTTCACACACGTTTTCCGCCGCTTTGTCTGCCGTTTCAACAGTTCGTTACCGTATTGCTGACTGTCAGTTTCCTAAGTCTGCCTTCGCATATTTCCGAATATCCTGCAGGGTTCTAGGTCTATGAAAAAGTAGAAGAATAAGTGAAATCTGAGAAGTTTAAGAATCAAAAAAACACTTCAAAAAAAAGAAAAAGAAGTAGATCAATAATTTAGATAGAGAACGGCTTACAGACAAAACCCAGACTTATGAACTTCAATAGCTCAAAAATTCAACAGCCTACCATTTTTTTGAAAGTCCTGAGAATCAGTTTTAACACTTTTCGACAGCTTGAAATTTTTTTCGAAGGTCGAATAAGCTCATTTTCGGACTGAAACTTTTTGGTTAGTTTATTTTTAAAAGTTTCCTCAAGTTTTTTATTCTCCCTGGATTTTCATTTCCTGTGGATGAAATTTTCAATGAATAACCTGCGTTCAATAGTTTCATTGAACCTTCTTTTTTTCAAATTTTACTTTCATTTCACACAAAGGCGATCATATTTTATCAAGATTTCACGGAAAAAAACTTCTCCCGCGTCTTTGAAAAAAAGATTCATGATAGCAAATTTAGGTCAGAGTCCTTTTTTAAAATAAAAATAATGACGGTTTGGCGCTGAAGAAATAATGGAACGGTGATTTTATCTATCATTTTCGGATCAAACCATGTTTGTTTTGCTTACTTCGGCTGGAAAGAAATCGCGAAATTAATCATGGTCAGCTTTACTAATAACCTTGAAAAAGGCCTGCAGAATTTATGAACATCAAGAAGGGCTACTGTATCTTTCCCACATAAATAAATCCGGACGCCGTTTGGCGCATACTTAAGAGACGTTAAAAGTATGGGCAGCGTAACAATGAACAGGGCCTCCATTGTATCTGCACAAAAACGCCTTTCTCACCATTTCAGGAAGCCCATACATTACTATCATAATTTCACAAAGTGCCACCTTACACTGCGAAAATAATTCAAAAATTCCAAAAAAATGTTCTTATTACTCGTAAAAGCTGTTATGTTGATTACATGAAGTACTACATAATTTATCGCTTCTCGGAGTCAGAAACCTAAGTTAAAACTTTCAAATTTCTGGAAATTTTCAATTTAAAAAAAAGTATAAAAAAAGTATAGACTTATCTGAAATTGAGGCTTGGATTGGTAGAGCCAAAATCTGGAGAACTCAGGCACGACTCGGCGTTGACAAACGTCAACTTTTTTTTTAAAATTAGCGGTCTATGCAGTATTTTCCGTTTCAATGTACGAGCTGCATTGTACGCTACCCGAAAAGCTGAATTTATAATTGAATTTTCCAAGGATGAGTAAATATTTTCATCAAGGCACGTTATCAAAAAGATTAACAGTTGGAAAGTGGCGTACAAAGTAAGCATATGGAACAAATCGAGTGACATAAATAAAAATTCATTTTAATTAGAAAAAAGCATACATTTAACGTTAAAAGATTTTATCATATCTCCGGGCAGTGTGAATTATTCAAAATTCCTTTCTAGGTTCTTTGTAGGCGCAAACATAAATTTGTTACAAAACCTCGCGTAAATCTGAAGGAAAATGGCCTCGAGCTCGAAAAAAAATTTGCTCAAAAGTGCCTGAAACAGCTTCTTTTTTAAGCCTCAGAACTACAAAAAAATATTAAATATTACTTTGAAACAAAATTAAAAAGGCAAAAAAAAAGCAGAACAGCGAAATGAAGAAAAGCGCAGTGAGGAAAAGTTGCTCCATAGCGAACAGTTCCTTTTTAACACTATTTTCGATAATTTTACTCGGACACAGGCTTGTGCGTCAGGCCGGGCGGCCCGGCCTGGCCGGCCTGGCCCGGGCTTTGGGCTTCATTTTTAGGAAAAAACCCGCGTGGGCTCGGGCCGGGCAGGCTTCAAAAAAAAAATTAAAAGTTTTATTTAAAAAATTTTTTACCGAAATGTGGCTTTTACTTCTGAAATCATAGTTTTTTTGTTAAACTTTAATCGAAAAACTGAGCAAAAACGTAATTTTTGTCGTAAAAAAAACTTGATATCCGATTAGAAAAAAATTGCGCGCTTCGGGCCGCGCGGGCCTTTTTTTCTTGAGGCCCCGCTAAGGCCGGGCCGGGCCGGGCACAAGCCTGCTCGGACCTAGGTTTGTGCATCCGACTGAGCGGGCTTTTGGCGTCGTTTTTGAGAAAAAGCTTGCGCAGGTTTGGGCCAGGCCAGGCCTCGAAAAATTGTTTTACTTGATGAATCATGGTTTCTATTAAAATCTATGTGAAAAAATAGCGAAAAAAAATCACTTTTCTCGTAAAAAAAAAACTTGATATCCGACTTGAAGAAAATTTGAGCTTTTCGGGCGGGGGCCGGGCCGGTCATTATGCTTGTGGTCTTCCTAAGGCCGAGCCGGGCCGCGCTTGAAAAATGGTCTGTCCTCGCACAAGCTTGTTCGGGCCTCGGTAACGAAAACCGGACGTGCCCCGAGCCTTTCTGAGCGATTCTAGGGATCACTTAAGGGGTAGACTCTACTAAAGGGGACACTACACATTCTCCGAAACGTTCGGGGCGCGTCCGGTTCGCGTTACCAAGTTTTGAGATTGCCTGGTAATTTCGTGCTCGGTTATTCCTTGTTATAGCCTGCTCAAATATTTTTATTGTGGTGTATAAAAAGCATAGGTGAGTAGGAAAACCAACAAAGCGCTGCCGAAGAGTGACCCCCTTTGAAGCTGCCTCCCCGACACAAAAATTTGAAAACGAGTAAAATTATAGAAAATGGGTGAAAAGTAAACTAATAAAAAAATGAGAAAGAAAAATGGATCTTTTGAGAATGTAACCGCTTCGTAGGTGATAATGATATACAGTTTAGCAACAGTTAGAGAGAAATGATACAGTTTGCTATGTTTCCTTGGAAAAAAGTTGGATAGAAATAAAACTAAGGTGAGCCCATTAGTAGCGGACAGGTGAACGGATCGGAATTAAATGAGGTTTGTAGGGGCGCAAATTGAGGCAAGACAAGCAAGACGTCGTTAGGCAGAAGACGTCGCAGCGGGACGCACGTCTTCTAGCGCCCAAGGTCGCCGAGCATTTCATATTTACGCACTTCTCGTGTCTGTTTCATCTGTCTCTATTTTTCGAGTCAGTCAACTCATTTTTTCTCTTTTTATCAAAATTTTCGTCGAAACCAGTTTTGAGCTGCTGTTCTTTTTCCACGATTACAGTTCATTTTTTATAGAATAGTCAAAAATTCATGAAAAATTTTTTTTTATTTACTGATTATCGTTCCGTACTCATTTTTCTCATCAGCTAATTATTTTTATTTTTATATATTTTTCTACTCAACCAGAGCTTTTCATAGTAATGTTGAGGTTCATACAGAGTTCTGTGTCTTTACACATAATTTAAAAATTTTTTTTTAAAACAAGGTTCTGAAACAGTTTTTTTTTCTTTCTCTCGGTTCTAGATCTCTTTTATCTTCAATTTTTTTCTGGATTGGAATTTTTTATCTCAAAAATTTCTTTTTCAGGACCTGCAATTATCACTCGAATTCAGTTTAGCTGGATCGACAGATGATTTGCGGTAGAAGTCGTCGCAGCGGGAGGCCTTTCAAAATCCGAAGGTCGGTGTCACTTCAAAATGTCACTTCGCTATATTTATTCTGATTTGATGTCTTTTCGGAACGTTTATACTGAAAAAAAAAGAAAATTATTTTTTTCATTTTTTATTTGTAGAAAAGAGCTGCGTTGTGCTAAAAAAAAAGCTCTTAGTACTCTGAAATCCAAAAACGCAATGATTTCCCCTTAGAATTGTTTGTGAGAGAAATTAAGTTTATGAAAAAAAGGTTTAAAAAAAGTGAGTCTAATAAAGGTAAAAAAAATTACTCATTTTTTCCGAATCTTGTTTCTATATAACTCAATATCAAAAAAATTGGTGTTTCCCTTTTTTGACCTTTTTGATTAATGACTATGTTTTATATATAAGATAAAATTTTTTGTTTTTCTGTGTTTTTTTGTCAAACTGGGACCGAATAAGTGTCGGCAACAAAAGTCTCATCCAAGCACCCTTATAAGATTTTTCTGCATCTGCTCTTGATGCAACAACATTTGTCTTCAAAAACAAAGTTCATTCATTTTTCCAGAGAAAAAGTATGTATAATTGATTTTAGAGTAATAGGAAAGGAAAAACCTTGTCAGTTTGAAACCCGTTAAGAGAAAAACAGAACAAAAAGGGGAAAAATGAATTTATGGATCTTGCAGAGTAACTGCCTGCTGATGGATGAACCAAGCAACTCTCGAGCTCAATCTCGGATCTTCTCGTTTTGATGTTCGTCAGATGAGGGAATGAGAAGGAACGACGTCGGATCTACCGTAACTGGGACTGGCTCGAGTGGCCGACGCCGCCCACGGCCATCAAAGGCTCCGCCCACAATCGGCAGCGCGCAAATATTCCGAAAACAAATGCAATATTGTTGCTGCGTCACAGCCACTCATTTGGCTGCATTAATTTCATTCACACTTATCCCGATCCGTGATGCCTCGACCCGGCAAGGATTCTTACGATGAACAGGTTGGCTCAAGACAAAAACTTTTTTAAACGTATCATATGGGTTTAAGTTAACTCAATGTTTGTTTATTAACGGTTGAATACAGTGAATAACACATGAAAAATAGTTTCGATTTTTTCTTCTCATCCTTGTTCTTTTCAGACTCGTTTTTTTCTTAAGGAGACTTCTTCGAATTCAACAAAAAGTAATAATTTTCCCAAGAAAGGTCATTTGACCATAAATATTTGTGAATTTCTGAAAATATGAAAAACCCTTTTCAATCTATTAAAGGAAAATTTTGAAATCTGATTCCACATATTCGAAGGCCTCCAATGACCCCTTTCAAATCATTGTGTGCAAGTCAACCCCTCCGTCTTGTGGAAAAAAAAGAATTTACAAAAAATAACGACTTTTTTAAACGTATCATATGGGTTTAAAAATTGAACTTCAATATAATCTTCAACCTTGCTTTCCGGAAGTTTGGTTTTTCAACACTTCTCCAAAGCTGAGCGGATTCCATACTTGCCCACATATTATTGTATCTACGAAAAAGTCCTATTTTCTAAAGTGTACGCCTTGAAGTTGAAACAGAAACACGGAAGACGTTGAAAGAATTCTCTTAACACCTAAAAGTTTTCCACTGTTCAGACTTCGAATCTTTATGTGTTGATAGAATTTTAGAAGATTCCAGATCTATTGGTAACGATGTAGCGTGAAGGCTGAAAAGTGTGTCTTTGAAATACTGTATGTTCTCGGATCAAAAATTTGAAAATACAGAAACCGCCGTACTCGTACATCTGGCTGACTTATATGGCGATCCAGAATTCGGAGGAAAAAATGCTCCCTTTGACGGAGATCTACAAATACATCATGGACAAGTTTCCTTTCTACCGCAAGAACACACAAAGGTGAGTCAAAATTCATTTAGGTAGAAATAACGATTGCTTGATGACCTGAATGGACGTTCAATATCATTTTAGGTGGCAGAACTCCCTCAGACACAATTTGTCGTTCAACGATTGCTTCATCAAGATTCCGAGGCGTCCTGACCGTCCCGGAAAGGTACTTGAAAACTGAAATCAGAAAAAAAAAGGTTACAGAGTTCCTTTTGTTCATTAATCCTGAAATAGGAGCTTTTCGATTTTAAACAAGTCAAATCTGTCAAAATTCAACGTCATTTTCTTTGACTCTAACGAAATAACTTTATCAATTGTTGCTTTTTGAACTCCATATCCATTTTGTGTACACTAAACCCATGCTATTGACAAACCTGATATGAAATCGATCCAATAGCTACAGTAACCCTTGCCCAACTACACGGCGGCAATACTTCAACTAATTGATCAACGGCGAATCTTTCAAGATTTTTCTCTTTTCCTGCGACGCCTTTGCTGTAATAACAACTTCGGGAGAATATAATAATCGTTCTTGAAAGAGTTGAGATTTAAAGAAAGACAATGTGAATGATATGTAGAAGTCGCCCTGTCTGTTGTTCTCATGAAAAAAGTTCAACCATGTTCTTAACACACCAACTTATCATTTTACAATTTTTTTAAGTTGGCGATTTTCCTAATTTCTTTGTTGAGAAATCTGCATCTTTATCACATTTAATTGATATTATTTTCATTCATGAGAACATAGCTTAGCTGCAAATCAGTATGTAGCAAATCAGTATCGTAGCTGCAAATCAGTATCGTAGCTGCAAATCAGTATGTTTCGCAACTTGATAAATTTTAGAAAAGGTTTAGCCTTTCAAAAGAAGTTACGATAAAAAAAGATCTGCTCAAGAAAAAAAATGTCTTTGCTCACAAGGGAAGTGTGTTAGGTGAACATCGCGGATCTGGTCCATATTTCTGTGGTAGGTAATCCTACGTATGAGTACTTGAAAATGAATGGAAATATCTGCTAAGCGCCATAGGTTGCTGAGAAATACTGTCGAAAATGTACGGAAAAGGCTCAAAAGCTGATTTTCTTTGATTTTTTGGTTTCTAAAACAACTTCTGTGACATACTGCATTATAAGCTACATGAGAAGATTTTTTTCTACACAATACCCCAATAAAAATCAGTTTTTCAAGCTTTACCTGAACATTTTCGACAGGGTATTGCTCAGTACCCCATGGCGCTTAGCAGATAGTTCTTATCGTTTTTGAGTATTTATACCTGGAGCTACTTACCATAAAACTTCGGCCCAGACACGTGATTTTCACCTCACACACTTCCCTCGTCAGTAGTTTCCCGTTGGTTTTGAGTTTATCTTCATTTTTAGACGACTAGAATAAAGGGAGATTTGAGGGCTCGTACTGGGCTGTGCACCCGAACGCGCTGGGAATGTTCGAGAACGGAAGTTGCCTGCGGCGACGCAAAAGATTCAAGGTTCGTCTTATCTTTCTCTTCGTTCTTTCAGCTACCGTAACCCCAAATATTGAGAAGCTTCGACGTTTGTGATAAATATTTCTTCTTTTTTCTCTCCGACCTGGCTTACGGTGTATCTCTTAACATTTCTGAACGATTCTCAATTATGTCTCTGCTATCTGACAGGCAAATTGAAAATCATTTCTTCATTCAAGACCTTTTTTGAAGTATTAGTCGATGGTGAGATATATTCAGCTCTTTAGCTAATAGCTTTTTTAATCGGAAAAAAAAACTGTGTGGTTCCACTCAAATGTGATTCAAATAGGCGACCGTATCCACTTTTCCAAAGAAATGAAGGCGACGATTGCAACAAAGAAGCAATTCGCCATTACCACTCCCAATAAGGCCGCGTTTCGCGGGTAAACTTTGTCTTCAGTGTGACCGCAGGACCTTGAAAATAGGTTCCTTCTTTCTTCAACAATATAATCATTCATTGCTTGAAAAATGTTGAACTCGCTCTCCACAGGAAAGTTTTTTGCAATAGAACTGGCCCGGATCGTGATGACTCTCGTGTAACTTGTTCCATTTGAGTCAAGTAACTTATTTTTTTTTTCAAGGCTTATATTCCAATTCTATGTGACCCACATCGTCAATACATTCCAAATTTTCACGAGAACGTTATTGACAGGTGCGTGAAGAGGCGGAAGAAGACGAAGAGCACGTTCCGACAAAGATGCTGTGCAAAGGCGTCGCTGGCGGACTGCCATGGATGTCGGCTCTGACGTCGCTGTCGACGTCTCTATCGTCCTCTCTATCGACGTCGCTGCCGCTGCTGGGCGAGTCTTTCGGCCAGCCGTTGCTCTTCAACCCGTTGTCCTTGCTGCTGATGCCGCAGCTCATGGGCACGACGCCCTCGACGTCTTCAGTAGCCGACTCCTTCTTTTCTTCGAAAACCCCTTCGCCTGATCCTCCGCCTCTCTGCACTTCCTTTTCTATCGAGTCGCTGCTCAGCACTTGAACGATTTCTTTTGATCAGCTTCGTACCCACGAAGACTGGAGTCCCTCTGCTTTCCGGTATTTTTGGTTACACAGGGTTTCGAAATTAGTTGATTTAGCCGACTCTAAACATGCGATAAGAATCGTAATTCAATTATTTTAGTTCTTATTCTATAAAATTTATTTGCTTTCAAAAAGATTTAGAAATTTTTTTCTTCGAAGTCGGCTATCTTTATTCTTAGAACTCAAAACTTCGAACTTATTTATTTAGGTGAATAATCAATTCACTACTAAAAATAAAAGCAAAATGGCGTATAGAAGCTAAAAAAAGGTCGAGCTGGTGAGCTTGCCAACTCATACGGTTTCATTAGGTCGTGAAAAAGACATCCATTCGAAGTAAAAAACGCCGAAAATTTCGATTCCAAAAATAAAGCCTGAAAAAAAAGGTGTCCTAACTGCGCTTCATGATGAGCAGGAATCATAAATAAAATCTAGAAGCTAGATGGAGAGAAAATCTTACGAAAAGTTTAAACCGTTTATTTTTTTAAACGCATCATTGATTTCATAACCTTTTGACCAATAATCCTAGTTCAACTTTCGAAAAGAGTCGAAAAACTGATATTATGTACATTGCATCGGTTTCAAACCAATCTTTTATTTTATCTTATTATCAATTCCTCCAGAATTTATCTCATTATTCAGTACTACATGAAGACCATTTTAACTTTCATTTTCATACGTTTTTTTCCATTTTTTTAAAAATATTTTTCCTATCCGGTGACTGATTATTGAACTGCATTATGTATTTAGATATCTTATTATATTATTAATCTCTTGAAACAATGATATGTAACAAATGTGATATGAGACCAATAACTAAAATCTAATTTTTTTAAAAAAATTTTTCTTTAATTGTAGTTCCACTCTTTATCCTGTTTGAACATGAACATTTTTATTTGTGAAAAAAAAATGAGAAAAGTAGTAACAAAATTTTCGAAATGGAATGGACAGTAATGGAAAGGAGCGATGTTTAAAAAGAACACATAGAAGCGTAATTTTCTTGGGGATCTTCATCGAATTACATTGCATCAATATGAAAAAGTGAGTAAGAAAGATGAACCTGTAATAGGAAGCTTTGATCCGCCCTGCTGCCGGTTCACGCCATCAGCCATGTCAGCTACGTTTCAGAGGGAGGATGGAAGGAATGTCGGGAGCGACTCAGGTGTCGATTGAATAAGGCGACTTTCCGCCCTTAGGCTTAGTCATCAGGTAAAAGAACATGAACACGCCGAAAAGAACGAGGGTGCTCATCAGGCCGGTGATCACCGTGCAGCAGACGATGAACGTCGTCGACCACTCTTCGTTGACTGTGTGCGTCCTGCGAAACCCTCAGTTCAAGCATGCCGTTCAAATTCCAGTTACAATCATCGGTTTCAGATTTTTCCATTTTTTTTTCTCCCTATAATGTTTTTGGTGATTAATATTTTTCTGCTGAAGACTTTCGTCAGAAAGAATATTGAGGAAAAAAAAAAGAGGAAAATCGATTACCGTCATCACCAGATGCAGTTTTTGATGGAAAGAAGGTAACCATCAAAAGCGTTACACAGAGCTCTCTGCTAACTTCTCCAATAATTAATTGTTTTCGGCATATAAAAGCTCTTTCCATTCGAGTTTCATTAATAATCTAATCAATCACTTCATTTTCGCAACACCGGGATGGCAATGAGTATTGGATTTCTTTTTGTCAGCTACTGTGATATTTTCCGTTTCTATTTTTGAATGTGATCTTTACACAAGTTCTTACTGAAACAGTTTCGAAAACGGAAAACCCAACAAAAAAAAAGTTACGCGGAGTTAGACTTTTGCCATCTTCGATTTAAAATATTGTTGTATGACAAAACATTTGCAGCTAGCTACCCGACTATGTAAATTTTTTCAGTAAAAACACAATTTATCAAAGGTTTACCAAGATTTAGTGATTCCACTTGAAGTTGTGGAAGACGCCGAACTGTCATCAGATGGAGTCTGACTCGTCGACGGCATCCGCTCCACTTCCAACTCCTCGGTCCCTGAACTTCTTGAGCTAGAATGGCTTATCGTCGAACAGTTACCTTTCGAAATACTGTTTGACCTCGGCGTCGACGTCGCCAATATCATTTGACTTTTCGCCGTTGTGCTCTTTTGCACTGAAGCTTTTTACAAATAATAATTTTTTTTCAGAGATCCATTAAACTTTCGCATTCCTTTCACTTCAGTACTGAAAATCAAAACCAACCGGTAACTCTGAACTTTGAAGAGACCCTTTGAAGATTCGAAACCGCAGTGGGTGTCATCAGACCTTCAATCCAAAAATCACGTCCTTTCACAAAAAAAATAATACCTTGAATGTCAGTTAAGAGAAGGCCTCGAATCAAACAGCAAGGAACATTTTGGGGTATAGCCACCTAAAAATGATGATGAAGTTCAAGTTTCAATACATTTTAAAGGGAGATTATTTCATTTAAAAACAGTAATAACTAGTAAGTTTTCATGTATGAGTTAGTACTAAAAATTCCGCTTTTATCCAACTTAAAAGAAGAGAGATGAAATTGCAACACTGGTAGGAATAAATTAGTCTAAAAGATAGAAGACGAAGAGTAAAAGATCCCTAAAAAGTAATGAAAATACCTGAAGTTTGCGTACAGGTAATTCGAAAGGTCTTTTGATCACTTGATCAGCTATTCTAAACTCGATCTCGTTCTCGTTCGCAGTAACCTGATAAGCCAAAAGTTTCAGCCAGAAAAGCTAGAATTTTCTTACGTTTATCCGCAAGGCCTTCCGACGCATCTCTCGACATCCCCCGTCTACTTTCGACGTTCTCGGAAGCTCAACTTAAAAATATTTATTCGTATTTTCGATCTGTCGGATACAAACTGTGATCAAGGGAGTCGACGTCAAGTTTTTTGAGAAACAAATCGTCAAAACGGAATCGCAGACGCGTCAGTTCGTCTTTTTCAGTCCCAAAAATCATCGTGAACCTGAAAATTTCTTCTTTTTTTTAGAAAAGATTTTAACTGGTCTGAACTTTAAATTCTCTGATGTTTTTTGGTGCAACGATCTATCAGGGTTCTATTCAAAAAACAATGTCAGCTGTTCAGCCTGCCTCTGCACAAACCGGTCTTTTTATTCTCTTCATCAAAGAAATGCTCCGAATTTTTCTAATTTTACTGTCCTTCATCGTCTTTTTTGCTACAATACAGGTATTCAGTTTATAACTTCAAGCAGATAAAATAAAAGCTTGAATAGAAAATCAAAAGCAGCTTTCTGCAAATATAACGACCTTATAGTTAGAAGCTACATTGATATTCGAGTCTACGGATCCAGCAATTAATTTTCCAGCTTTGCAAAATACACATTTGTGATTATCTATTGTATACCCTATCCGGTGAAATCACTCGTAAGGGTGACTTTAAACCGGTTCTCAACTTTATTTATTCTTTTCACGTTGTGGATGAATTAGTTATTATAAATTATAACTTGAAAATCTTAATAATCCGAGTGAAAAAAGGTATTGATTGAGGCGATTCGCCAAATGGACACGTGCCGTGTAAACTGCGACCGCTACGTATCACCGGATTCACGGCGCACCTGCTTGGACACGTGCGGCATAGTTCACAAATAATCAAGAGTGATGAGATAAATGTTTTTCACCTACTTCTACAACTTTTATACTTGTAAAAATGAGCCTTGATAACGGACTTATCACAGGTGGCAAAGACATTGACGTCGAGAATGGCGTGTGAGTCGAATTTGAACGAGTACCACTCGTTGATTCGCAACAGCCTCTGGAAAGGATTATTTACCATTTTCATAGGAAGGATAGGAACAAAAGAAAAGCTTTAAAATGTTAGCTAGCAACTCAAAAGTATTAATGCTTATCAGCGCGAAAAATGTTAGCAAAATGAAATCGAATGCCACCACTGAAAGCTGTTCATCATAAAACAAACCTTTTGCGTTGGAGAAGCCTGAACTAAAAACTGTTAAAAGGTTGGATTGGTATTAGAGGGAAGCTCTCGAAAAATCATAAACAAAACGAACCGCGAAGACGGCGCCAGGAAATAAAATAAATAAGAAAAAGATCAGCATAACGTCTTCTCTCGGCATGAAACCAGAAGAAAGTCCATCATCGTACCTCTATCGACGTTCTGAAATCTTTATAAAAAAAATAGCAGAAAAGCAGTGGTCGAGAAAAGCAGAAATCGCGGAAAAAAGACTATTGTCTCGCAAGTCATCGCTTTATGGGCTCTTTTGTGTTTGGCAAGTCGCCCTTCCTACTACGCATATTATTCGTTGCTGGTCCAGAATATAAAACATGATTTACGGTTGAGAAAGAAAAAAAATTTTAAAAGAAGATAAGTAACACGGAGAAAAACAAGTGTTGAGAAGCCCCAGCGCTGTCATGAAAAAATAGATGCACTTGGGAGATTTGAGTACTCGCTGTTGAAGCGAAACTGACAGGCGGAACTCTCTTTTTAAAACTCTGGGGGAAGCTTGGAGGTGTTCCAATGAAATATTCAGGCAGGTATGACGCACGGTCGCCTTGTTTTCCGCTCATTTGATTGAATGTCCCCTTTGCATTTGACTTTCGTTCAGTTGAAAATGGACAAAATGGAAGCGCGTTAAACTAGATATGAGACGAAAATAGGGGCACTCTTCTGTCGTATGAAAGCTTAGTTTGACTTTCGAAAAAATCAAATACAAATTAAACTGGCTGAAGTGAGTGTTCTTATCAGTGTCTCCGCTGTTTATATTGAAAATATTTGAAAAAAATTTATATAAAAACCAGATAATTTTTTTCAGGAAAAAAATATACACCTAATATATACTATTGCCGTGTTTTTTGATTTCGATTTTTAAGTGATTCCGCGGAATCCAAAATAGCCACCAGAAAAAGGAAAATACAACTAAATTTTGGAGAGTCAGAGATAATTTTGGATTACGCGGAAATTACTTCGAGCAAGGCGTTTATATAGTCTGATCGAGCTGTTAAAAGCGCAGAAGTCTTGCATGTCTGAAATAAAACTGAAGCTATTGGTTTCGAGTCTTTCTTTTAGGGACAAGACTTCTTAAATATATGTCCTTTTCATTTACCAATTGAAAAATCTCTGTTTCAGACTTCGACACTCAAATTCATCCTATTATCTTTTCTCAATATCATTGCGGAAACTATCTGAGAAGAAAGAAATTCGACACTTCAAACATAACAGCAGTCTGCTATTTGAACTTCGAAACTCGTATTACAACAAAGAAATTTGGAAATAGGCCAGAGAAACTCGGTGTAAAATCATATCACTCGACCTTTTAAATCAGTATGACTACCTGACTTTTTGATAGAAACGTCCGAAAAACGGCTAGGATTTAAGAAAAATAAAAGATGAAATGTTGCGATTCTGCACGGGGCAACAAAGGGAACGGAAATGAGAAGAAAAGATGACCCAGAGTTACGGAAAAGCCTCCAGTTCTAAAAAAAAGAGGTAACGCAATTAGGAAATGAAACGTTATTTCAATTGGAAAATGTCATCAGTAGCCCGTCGCGTGGAGAAACAATGACAAACGTACTCAAACAAGATTGTGGAGAAAGGACCCAGGAAATTAAAACTGAAAAAAAATGAGAGAAAATATTTTAAAGAAAAGCTGGCAAAAAACGTTTCAGCTGAGAAATCACATATATTAAAAATCAAAATGTTAATAAGTTATTAAATAACTGATATTCAACAAAGAACTAAACGCAGTTATTTTAGTAGCCGTTTGTGTAAAAATCTAACAGCCACACTCGTTTTATTGTTTTTTACATTAAAAGTTTTACCGAGTAGATTTTTTTAAACTAACTCTAAAGCCTGAGCCGACCGCGAGAAAAAATCTGACGAGAGGAAAAGCTGAGAAACTATTTTCAGCAGTTGAGCAACTCTTTTGAATGCTTCTCGTAAAGTTGAATGGAGGAGTTCTTTCGGACTTGCAATTACGCAGCCCTCGTTTGTTCGCTGGGCTTCTCCAAATTTTAGCGGTCAGGCACTTTTCTAACCTTTTTTTTTCGTTAATTAAAATTAAAATAAATTTAAACGGAAGAAAACGGAGACTGAAACAGAGAATTGACGTGCAATTCCGCTCAAGGCATTAAATCCGAACTGAAAAAGGCCAGAGACGATAATCTACTCTCCTTTAATTTCTAATATTCACGAAAAATTTCGGATTTGAAAAACTATTAGTGAATAGCTTCCATAAAATGTTTTTCAAAGAAGTAAATAAATGATATAATTGAAAAACTTGAATTAAAAGCGAAGATGGGATAAAAGACAGGTCAGATGGTGGTCTCAAGCCATCGGAGGATAGGATATGTTCGCGACAGGTCGGACCCTGCAAAACGGCATTTCTCGAGCACGCCTCTATGTTGCAGCCAACTGACTGAAAAGTGAGCGTAGTTTGAACTCCATTCTACTCTACCTAACATTCTTTTTGTCGAGCGTTTTCGAAAGATGTCGCCGGTGCTCAACTGAAGAGCCATAAGCGTTAATTGGGATGAATACAAAAAAATATTGAAACAAGCAGCTGGTGAAGAAAAAGAAAAAATCTCTGGATAATCCTGCTCATTTTCTCTTATCGAGATACTTTTCTTTTTAACAGCAACTGCTATTTCTAATAAAAATCTTTTAAATTTGCGATCTCATTTCCTGATTTATAAAGATCTATGTCATGACTATATAATCAAAAACAAGTATAAAAAATTTGGACCTATCTGTAATTACATCACAACAAAGGAAACATGCTCCAGTTTACTTGAATGAAATATATTCTGGTAAATCAAACCAGCGTGAAAAAAAGCTTGGGTGTTAAAAAAATACAATTTTTAAAAATCAATACAAAGAGTTGAAACTTTTAAACCGGTAAAGCTTTTAGCTTCTGGTGCACTATTGTTGACTTGCTTCTCTGGTCCAAATTACATTCATCTTGACAGAATACTAAATGATATACACGAGAGCAGACAGGTACACACCATGAATACTTGAGTCAGTTTTTTTCTTTGCAAGCGATTTACGTTTTGATTTTGCAGCCGGAGAGTGAGAAATTCTTGTCTCTTGCAGCCACAGCTTCTGATCAAACTTGAAAAAAATTTTTAATAAATATTCGTGGCTTAGAAAGCACTAACCCCGATTTTTCTTTTAAATACCAGCTTTTTACAGAAAGAAAAATACGGAAAATAAACTATCGCTCAAGGAAAATCAATCAACAACTTTTTTTTTCGAATTAAAGAAAAAAGGAAATACGAGAAAATTATACTGGGGACGAAAAAGAAAAAAAAGTATAAAAAATCTTGAAATAGCAAACTATTTAATGTTTTGCGCGTTACTTTTGATGTATCGAGTGAATTTTATACCTTTATGCATTGCGTAGGAAACATTATAGTTCACGAAGATGGGGACATATTCGTGTGACTGGGCGTACGATAGTATAAAAGTCCGCAGGGACAGCGACGCATCCCTGAATACTTTAAAATTAAAATTTTTCAAACTATTAAAAATTTTTTTAATAGTTCTCTTTTTTTACAGTTTTTTTCAATAATTTTTTTCTCTTTATAGTTTTGAAAAAAATTAGTTAAACGGAAAAAAATTATAAAAAAATGATGAATGTTTTTTTATTATTTTTTTCTCTCTTTTTTTCACCACTCTCCCGCTAGGAGCCACGTCGTGTGATTTTTGTCGTTAAAAGTTTGATATTTGACTTTTTGACGAGAAAATCGCGCTTTTTGGGCCGCTTAGGGCTTAGAAGATAGCCGCGTGGCCGATGGGTTGACGGGCTGACCCTCGCATAAGCCTCAATGAAGCGTCAAGTTTTTGAGAAGCTGTCCACAGGCCAAATTCTCTGCAATGATTTTTTCAGGGAATTTGCGTTTTCCGTTAATACAAATTATACATTTTATGAACGGAAATAAGCACTACTGTGCAATTGGCGAAAGACTTTTGAAATTGCCTAATCCTCATTTTTTCGTACTAGTCATAACTCTAAAAAGAGAACGTGATTGTTTTGAGACACTTCCGAATAACTGAAACACACACAGTTTTCATCTCCATTGTCAACAGTACACAAACTCCACATTTGTCTTGTTTCCCACGCAACTTTGCTCGGGACTGCGTGAACGGAGCGGCGGAACCGGTCGCCTTCCCCTGCCTGCGCGCTTGTCTGTACCCTCCGCTGTCGCTTTGATCTCTCCTGCCGACCGTTCCTCCACGGATTCCATCGCCGCCGTATTTCAGACGACGCTTCTGCCATCTGGCATTTTAATGACCTCTAACTCGTTGTTTTTGTTTCTTTTTAAATATAGAAGGCAAATAAGGTCATCAAAAACTTCAAAAGAAACATTTTCAAGTAAGGGGTTGAAAACTGATTGTTTCGTTGCTTAATTTTTTTATGAGTGTACTACTTCCGAACTAATAATTTTTTTAATGTTTCGTGGCCTTTTTTTCGGAACTTTCAAAATATTTGGATGGAGCTGCGAAAACTAAATGAGAAAAATTTAATTGACTAAAACAATTAGCCATTGAAATCATAAACCATAAACAATTAACTATTGAAAGCAAAAAAATGATTAGATTGAATGAAAATTTGTTAAGAATAGTTTAAAAAGAAAACTTTTACCGTTCTCTAACGATATTGTTTTGTTCGGAGCAGTTCAAAACAAACTGTGAAACATTTTGTTGCGTCAAAAATCGATCAAAGACCTGCCGTTACATTATTTCTTCATCTTTAAATAATTTTTTTTTGCGTTACTCTTTTTCATTTTATTTATTTACATTTTGGCAGAAAAAAAATGGTTCGAAGAAGAAAATTTTTGCACTGAAGCGAAAAATTTAGCCTAGAGCGTTTTCATCTCATAATTGAGGGCTCACGAACGATTTCATTCTCGAAATGGGCGCTCCTCAATTTCTTTCCCGCTTGTACCTCGTTCACGTTGATTCTTCAAATTTTCTTTCTAACCTCTGTTTTTTACAAGGTTTTTTTTCCAAAAAATTGTTTTCATCAATTATTAGCGATCAATTGCTGGTTTATTGAAGGACTGCTGAAATTACATCAATTATGAATTGAGCAGAAAAAAATTTCAATAAAAAAATAAAAAAATATAAAAGAATAGTTTTGAAACCTAGGTTAAGTGCGTACCATTTCTGGCAGAACGTTCAATATTTTTTTCGGTGTTCTGGAAAAAGTCGATCGGTTCGGTCACTTTTTTAAAGTGATCATTATTTGAAAAATTTTGAAGTTTTTTTCAGTTTCAAATTGTTTGAATGACCAAAATGTGTAGAATTCTCGATTGTGGCTAGGTTTGAAGTTTCGAATAATAAAATATTGGCGTCTCAAAAAAATAAGACTTTGTGTTTTTTTATTCGATAAACTACATGTTAATCTTTTTACCTTGACTAAAAATCGAAATATTCCAAATGCGAAATTGTGTTCATTGAGACTTGAGAGATTTTTTTGGCGAAAAGACAAATAAAAAAAGTGGATTTTCACAAATTAATGATGAAATTTTTTGAAAACTGAAAACTGACGTCGAAACTGTTCGTATTATGAAGAAATACGTACTTTATAACCATTAACACCTCAATCGAGCCTAAAACATTTCAAAGTTTGAAAACTTGAAAAAATAGGCAAAATAAAAAACCGAATCGACCGACTTTTTCAGTATATGCCAATTGTTTCAAGATAATTGAAATGATAATAATAACTTATGATTTTTTCCTTACTATTAATATTACTAATGTTTAAGAGTTGAACGTTTTGAGCGACTTTCGATGTTGACAATAATTGTAATTTTTCTTGTTTTATGTTCAGTAATACCATTCGAGACAAAAGCCGAGAAATTGGAAGAGATTGGCCTGCAGCTGACCGGGGAGGGTGATGATAACGGAACCCAGGAGAAAAGCGCAAGAAAAAGAAGCGAGTCTGTTTACCCTCCACCCACAAACTCGCCACGGTCAATCATTCTTTTACATTGTTCTTTTCATTTTCTCCAGTATATGGCCAGGTGAAGTATATATCTCCGCCTTTTCTTGTAAATAGTACTTCCTCTTGCAATTAAATTTCAATCAATCGGTCGCTGCTTAGTTTTCTCACTTTTTTTTTCGAATGAATTCCGCCCAAAATCATTTTTTATTTGAGAAAGATTAGATTATATGTAGAGTCAAAACTTCTTTCGTTTTAAAAGTGTAAAAAATTGCGGCTCTTTGAAAATTGTTCCTGTTTTTCGGCTTCTCAATATCAATCAATATTTATTGGTTGTTTTGTCAGATGGTATCGACTAGGCGGTGAAAAAATTGCTCTTTTGAGCGGCACTAACACCGCCTTTGGCGAAAAAGAAGTCAAAACGTGTAGTCGATTGAATTGAAAGCATGGTCTTACGGTCCTTCTCCTCGCTCTTCCACAAGTAGATCCCTCATGCCGTGTTCAAAGTAATTTCCGCGAAATGCGAAATTGTCTCTGACCCTCCAAAATTTAGTTATCTTTCTCTTTCTCTGACGGCTATTTTGAATTTCGCGGAATCACTTTGAACACGGCATCAGTTTCGCGGGTACGGGCACGGCGGGGATGGTAGGGCTCGGGCACGGACACCGTGTACACTCTAGGGTAGCCTCGGCCGATTGTGAGAGCTACCACTTCGAGTGAAGAAAATACACGGAATGAAGAAAATACACGGAATCTCACTCTTGGAAAAATCTTTTTTCGACTATTCAACATTTCACTGCGATGTATCGTTTTATTTATAAGTCTGACGCTCTCCTTATAGTGAGAGGTGAAGAAGAATTTAAAAAACCGAAGTAAAAAAACTTTTACTCAAAGATAACTTTGAATTTGAGTTGGAATTTGTTTCCAAGCATGTAAATTTTGATAATAAACCTAACCGTATATAATTATACTCCAAAATATTGCATAGCTCTCACTAAAAGAACCTTCAAATTGATAAAATCCTTTGCTTTGAAATCGCTTTTGCCTTTTAATCTCTTTTTCTCCCTGCAATTTTGATGTACTCTTTTCTGTTTTTAATTTTGCTGTAATGTCGTAATGAATTTTTTTACAGTTCGAGCATTTCAGGGCGAGTATATCTCGGTGCTAACGGTTCAATGATATTGTGGATTTCCTACAGATCAACTAGTTTGTCTTAGGTATTTTTCCGGTTCATATAAATGAGTTAACTTGTGGTAAAAGTTTCACTTTATTTTAATCTTCAACCGAGAACATACTCATCGTTTTTTGTTATTTTCAAAACGAGAAGATAAATGCAAAAAAATTAAAAAAAGCTGGGAAATTGTGTTGCCGTTAGCATGGATAACCAACGGCTAAGCTGTGTATTAGCGCCTAACGGACTCCAAAAGTTCTAAAGCGTACCCTATTGCACCAAAACTGATAAGCGACCGCCCGACAGTCTGGAATTGCTATCGCGTTTTCACAACGTCGTGTCCCTCTTAGCGCGTCGTCAGCCTTTGATAGGTCTTTTCTTAGAGCTGTTGATTGATTTTTTCCCTTTTCTTTTTGATTGATAGCGTTTCTGAGCTTTTAACACCTAGCGTTTTTCTTGGAAAACCGAAATCTTTCTATCGCGCTCGATTCATTTTCGACCTCTCCGTTTTCTTTTGCTCAGATATCTCCTTTATCCATGAAATTCTGGAATTTCGTTTCATCTAAAAATCTTTTCGTAGTCGCTGAATTTTATTTATTGTGGCATAAAAAATTAACTAGGGACCAACTAAAAGTTTTGATCACAGGCTGTTCAGAAATATTCTCTGCGGCGTCCAGCATCTCACTGGAACTCATGTTTAAAAAAATATCGGTAAAAAAGCTCGTCTTTATTATATTCTTTCGAAGTACGTATTTCGAATAAATGGGCACGGCTGTAACTTGCAGTCACTATGCGAATTCTCAAAAGAAAGTGTTTCACCGAACAAAGAAAAAAGGAAGATAAAATCCAGTGTTGGATCTCGTTTTATAAATGATTTAGAAGATAGATTCTCCAAATTTCCCAGCAATTCATGCAAATAGTTCTCTATGATGGAACTATAAAAGTTGAGGGTTGCGTTTCATTAAAAAAAAAAACACTGTGTTTCAAAACGTCGCGTTCAAATAAATTCCGACAAAAAAGTCCTTCTGGCTCTCCAAAATTTCTGTTGTTTTTTTCTTTCCGTGACGGTCCTTTTTTATTCGCCGAAGTAGCTTTAGAAGCGGAATTAAGGTCCTTTTTCATAGAAACGACGAAGAATGAATAGAAGAGCAGAAATATTTCATACTTCTCATTGCTATTCCACAAGGGGAACAAAAGTTATACATTGATGTTATCACGTGTGTTCAGCGAAGGCGTCTCATCAGTTCAATCATTTTGCGTCACAATAATTGGAATATTGGCTTTCTGTCTTCAATATTCGTAATAAAATATCAAATAAATTTGAATTAGCTGCCTTTTCAAGGTAAATATGTTCTAACTGCAAATTTTTTTCTTTCTATTTTGATTGATTTTCACCCATGGAAAAAAAATTTTTCTGTGTTAAATTGTCAAAGATTGTTTTTTTTCCCTCACTTTCTGATTTTGTTTGTTCCATTTGTGTTTATCCTAGTCAATCCAATCCTTCTAAAGGTGGTCGCGACGTCCGGAAGCAGTCTAGGAGCTGGCTGAAGAGCGATGCACGGCAACGGGTCGACGGCGTCGCGGAAGACGTCGCTGTCGACGTCGATCTCCGGCGGCTCGCTGCATCTGTCGTCGTCGCGAGCCTCGGCGAACGGCGGTCTGCACGCCTCCGGTCGCTCTTCGCTCACGCGACACAACGAGATGGACTTCGGCAAGATGTTTGTCGCCATGGAGAAGGGCCACAAGGTTTCAGGCTTTGAGACCGTTCCGTTTTTTATAACCTTCTTCAGGTTTGCAAGCTGGCGGTGCTTAAGAAATGGGATCCTGCCTACAAATTGCTTACCTTGGACAGAGATTCTCGCCAGATCTATCTGACGAAACTTGAGCAAGCCGCTGTTAGGTTGGTTGCAATTCAAAAAAAAGAATAAATTTTGAGCGTAAAATTGAAAAAAAAAGCTTGATTCATTTGATTGTAGAACGAAAATTTCCAATAAAAAGCATCAATTTTTGCTTTTCGCGGCATTCTTTCGAAAAATTACTTTAAAGAAAAGATATGTCTGTAATATCATTCTTTTCAAAAAAATTCTTGATTTCAATATTTTTCTCCAGAAGCAAGCCGACGATCCTCGACATCAGGCATATTCGCGAAGTGCAGACACTCGACTACAAGCTCAATACGATCAAAATAGGCGACAAATGGAAGAGAGACAAGGAGATTATGAACTTTGAGCACACGAAAATCCTCATCATTTCCTATGGAACGGGCTTCACTCTCACCTATTGGATTCTGTTGTGTGAGTGGCCGAGAACTTGGATCCAAAAACACTGTTTTCTGTTCAGTCGAAACAGCGGACGCCTGCTGGATGTGGAGTCACGGCCTTCACAACCTCATGATCGAGACCCGCGACCGCGATTCTTCGCCTCATCCCATCCGCATCGAAAGATTTCTGCATAAGCATTTTGCCAACCTCATGTCGCCAGCCGATGATTGGTGAATGGAGATTTCCTTTCTCAAATCAAAAAATGATAGTTTAGTGTTGCGCGGAAGCACATGAAGCCGTTCGTGCAGACCTCGTTGCAGTTCAAGGTTCAGTCGAAGCAACTTCAGGAAGTCACCGAAGACCAGATGACCTTCGCCCAGTTCTCCAGCGCTGCTCGACAGCTCATACATCTTCCCCTCGTTTGTCATCTGCTGTCTATATCTTCCGTAATTTCTGTACTTCAGCTTTTTACTACTCGTTTCGCCGATCTTTGCGAAACGGATCCAAAAAGAGGAGAAATTGTGTCTTTTACCAACTTTTTGCGGTTTTTGGACTCAAAACAGTGCGACGAATTAGCGGCTAATCGCTCGAGATCTCTCGATTTTCTTAATAGGTTCGTTAGGGCGAAATTCCGGCAAACCTGCTTTTCCAGGTACTTGCACCAAGATCATGCGCCTATTTTTGAACGCCGTGAGCCGTCGTTGACTGTTTCTGAGGTTTCTATTGCACCTTTTCCCGTGTTTTTCGAGTTTTCTCATATCAAACCGAGCTCCAGTTTTAACATCACAGAAAAATTGTTGTGAAATTATCTGTTAACTTGAAATTATGTTTTTTAAGGAGCGGAAAAAAGTCAAAAAAAAAAGTCAAATTTTGTTCTTTATCCTATCAAAAATACCTTGTTTATAATCAAAAAAGAGGTATTTCAAGTTGCGGTCAGAGTTTGTATTTCTGATCTCTTGATCTCGAAGGCTCTCGAGGTCCACAATCTTGTTTTTTTTTTCCCCGAAAGAGAGACTTAAAAGTTTAACTAGCCTTTTTAATCGTATTTCGAGAATTTTCTCTGATTTTGAGTTCGATAATTACAGTTAGCTTTTTTCGAGTTGAAAGTTGGTATAGAAAAGTTGACAAGGGGGACTTGTCGCGGTCGCGACGCGGCTCTCGGCGCGAAATGCAAATTCAAACACCAGCCTCTTTTCTTTTTGAATTTTACCATCTCTGACCAGATCTGACCGTTTTTTTCAGTAAATTAAAAAAATTTTTCATGCTTTTTTTCGTTTTTAATACATAATAACATAAAAACGGCCTTTTCCCGCTTCAAATTTTCTACAATAGAGTTTGAGTTTGCATTTCCCGTGAAGAGCTACTTCGAAACCGCGAAAAATCATCCCTGCCGATTCGTCTCCATTGCTTTTTCAGTCGGGAAAACTTGACTGGTTAGGCACTACGAATTTTATTAAGATTAGTGTTTGAGAAAATTGATAATGTTTCTTTCACACAGTTCTGCGACTTTCTGTTTTCGCGAGAGAATTCGTTGTGGGACCCGATGAACGAGAAAGTGACGCACGACATGTCACGTCCTCTATCCCACTACTGGATAGCCAGCAGCCATAATACGTGAGCCTTTTCCTTCCCTTCGTTCCAAACTACGGACATTGACAGTTATTTGACGGGCGACCAACTGAGGTCCGAATCTTCTCTCGATTCCTACGCCCAAGCACTCCTCATGGGCTGTCGCTGTATAGAATGTCAGCTTCATTTTTTTCCCTCTCTATCTCTGGATGTTTTTTGCAGTGGATTGCTGGGACGGTCAGAAGAAACCGAATTCGAGCGAGTTTTACGATATTGTCATTTATCACGGGTACACGATGACCTCGAAATTGTTGCTCAGAGACGTTCTTTATACCATTCGACACTACGCCTTCATCACTAGCGAGTCCGTTTTATATTTATTTTAGTCAAGCCTATTTCATCTTAACTTATTCAATAATCCTTCAAAAACTACATTTGAAGTTATTTATTAAAAAGGTCACTTTCAATGCGAAATTTGTTCGTTAGTTTACTGTTTTTCTGATTTTTGGGAAGCAAACTCTATCTTTTTGCGAGTTCTGTTTTTCCATTCTTCGTTTTCTTAATCATACAGAGACCTACTTAGAGTTTACATTTTTTCAAAAATGTTTTTTGTCGCTTTTAGCGAATGAAGCTACGGGGCAGTTTATTCTCTTGAAAAAAGTCCAAATTAAGATATCCTGTGATTCTATCAATCGAAGACAACTGTTCGGTGCCGGCACAGAGGTTGCTTGCTCAGGAAGTCAAAGAAATCCTCGGTGACTACCTTCTCGTCCAGCCCGTCAGTTATACTTCTTCTGAGAAGTCCACCTCAAACTTTCCATCTCCAGGTGAACCGCGATGAGAAAGAGCTGCCGTCGCCGGCGGCGCTGAAGAAGAAAATCATTTTGAAGCACAAAAAACTGCCGGTCGAGAGCGAAGACCTCGCCGCCGTGGTCAAGAACGATGAATGTTTGAGAAAAGCTCTTTGAAGCTTGATAAATAAGTGTCGTTTCAGTCCAGGACACGGATATCATCGCTCGCGAATGCGTCAAGAAGGGAATTCTTTTCTTGAAAAACAGTACTCGACATGTAAGGTTTCTAAATGGATACTGATTTCATAATATCCGCATTACTCGAGATTGTTGTTCTATAACATAAAACTAGACCAAGATCCGAAATATGGGAGGTCCGAAACAAAAAAATATAATAACTTTCTAAGTGCGACTGAAAAAAAGGAAAAATTCGCTTAGAAATTCAGAAATTCTCGAAACTTGGCCAAATCTATGATTGCTATGACTATTTATAGTAAATTGATACATTTATCTCGAAAGTTTGAAAATGCAAAATTCTCTGAAATCTGATTTTTCGTGTCTTTGTGCTGTTTTTTTGCCGAGCGAAATTAGACTCAAAAATAGGAAGTTACGCAGTTTGAAACTTCAGGAACTTTATCCAGCAAATAAAATTAGAAATTTTGAAAGTTGGAAGTTTGATTTTGTTCACTTGTAAATCAATTTTGGCTTCTCGTCGACCTTCTATTTTTTCACAAAAGTCATGGCGGCTGCTGTTAAAACTGTAAAAAGAAGGTTAACCATACGGAATAAATTGGAAATAAACATATTTTTTTCCCTTTGAACGATTTATATTTGATATAGGGATCTAATAACCTTTTTGGAGGAATGGACGACGCACGTGTTTGTTCTTTTTGCCGACCGTTTGTGTTACATGCTGGACACGTGTTCGGAAGAGGATTCTCTCAAGGACGACGCCATGAGTCTGATGGGCGAGGAAGACCGCGAGGTTCCCCTTTGTCTTCTTAACCAATCACTTCCGGGATTTCGCAGGAAGAATCGCCTTCGGGATTCGGCGTTCGGCCCGAAGAGATGCACGTCACTGAAGAGTGGTTCCACGGTCGTTGTGAACGAGATGTTCGTTTTGATTTTGAAGATCCTGAAAAAGGAAGTTCCAGGATGCGAAAAGGCGGCTGTTGGAGCACAAATCCAAAGGCAACGGCCTTTACATGATCCGCGACTCGAATCTTTTCATCGGCGATTATTCACTCTCCATAATGCACGACGGACAAGTTCATCACGTCAGAATAAGATCGAAGATTATCGACAGTACGTCCCTGACTTGTTGTTCAACTCTTCTTTTTTGACGTTCAGAAGAGAAGAAGTACTACTTCATGGACAACAAAGTGTGCGACACGCTCTACGAGTTGGTCTCCCACTACACTCGACACTACCTCACGACGGCTTCTTTCAAGATGGTTCTGACGACTCCTTGTCCGCAGCCTCAGCCCCACCTCAACCAGCCGTAAGTCTATGAAGCCATGAAAATGTTCCGAGTAAAAATTCATACTTTCATCGAAAAAAGCAAGGTGAAGCCTGGTGAAATGAGCAAACTATTTTTACCAGTTGCTGATTCACCTTTAGTTTCCTTTTGAATTGAAAGAACTATTCAGATTCATGATAACATGATCAGTTTGGGAAATATTTGGAATAAGTGCGCACTTTCTAGTGAATGAAGTTATAACAGAAAGGCTGGCGGCAATTATTCGAAATATGAATGGAGAAACCACGGTTTTGGTTTGATCTTATATAAATCATGATAATCGTAACAATTTATTTCATTTAAAAAGTAAAATTCATTTGGAAAATTATAAAACATCTTCAGCTGGTTTTCGGCGACTGCAGACAAGGAGAAGGCGGAAGAATTGTTGAGCCGCGTGCCCGAAGATGGCGCTTTCCTCATCAGAACTTCTAGCACCGACAAGAGCGTTTTCGTCTTGTCTCTCAAGTTTTGCTGCTCTACCGACAATGTCCCATGAAAAAATGTTCAGGGTCGATGGCGAGTTCTGGCACTATAGATTGAAGCGCGATGGCCGGATTTTCGTGGTCAATCAGACGGTTTTTGAGAACCTCAACCAAATCGTCGAGTACTACAGTAACCGTGAATTCGTTCGAGGCATCAGTCTTCGATCTCCCGTTCGTTTTATTTCACTTTTTGAAGGAGTCATTAGCTCTTTTCCTCTCCGTCTGAACCAATTTGACAGAATTTCTGACAATTTCTATTTTATCCTGACGCGTTTGTATAAATTAACTGCTTTCCTTTGCTACGACCCCTTTTTAGGCCTTTGGCGTCATTTTTCATTATATTAATATTTTTAAATCAGATCTGAAAGGTTGAATACAAAAAATAATGTAACTTCGAAGAAAGGAAAATGACGATTCTCTTTAAAATATATTTTCAATGTCTAGTTACTGACAGTTCCATTCAAAGAGGAACTTATCAAATTAAGTTTTCCCATTGAAAGAGTTTCAGGTGAATGAGAAGGAAATCGGGCATTTGACCGCCGAAATGGCCGAGCAGCGAGTTCCTGGCTGCTACATGGACCTGAAAGATCTCGACAAGGAGGTGGGATCAAGGGGTCGAAAAGTCTCAATGGATGGCTCAGGTGCAAGCGCGAGCCTTGAGGCCTTACCGAGGCACGGCCGACGACGAGTTGACTTTTCCCGCCAATGCCATCATCACGGTTTTGCGCAAAGAAGAGGGCCTTTGGCGAGGTTCTCTACTTCTCTTTTAATTAGGGAAAATATAGGACTGACAAAAAAGATAGTCGTTTCACGTTCCGGTTTTTCCTGATAAGAACACTCTTTGATGTACTAGAAGAAGATTTTTTGAAAAAAAGACATCTTAAAGTCAGAGAAACCCCTCAAAATCCGTAAAAAATAGGCCTTTTGGGGCTTTGAGCCTTTATTTCTCAAAAACCCGGAGTTGTACAGTCGGAAATTTTCAGGATTTTTTCCTGGTACATAAAAGAGTGTTTTGGCCAATTTTCAAACAATTCCCAAACGCGAATATGACCTTCTTATGAGGAAATTGCAAAAGTTTGTACTGAACGTAAAAGTTTTAATGCATTTTTTCTTTGAAACAGTTTTCGTTTCGGAGGACAATCTTGAAATCAATTCATGTATAAGTGATCTGCATCCCCAATTGTATTTCTAGGTCGTTATGGGTCGGCCACTGGTTGGTTTCCGTCAGCATATGTCCAAGAAATCTTGCCCGAGCGGTCTATCTCCACACAAGGTTTTCACAGAATAAAAACTGAGCTTGCAAAAGCTGAATAAAAAAGTTCTTGATTATATCAATTTTTTTTTTGATAAATATGAGTTTAAGTTTGAGATTTTTGAACGTGACTTTTGGATTTTTGGCTTGAGATGATGTCGGAAGTTCAGAATCGAGTACATACAACACGATCGAGTTGGCGGGGACCTTGATAGAGAGAGTGACCGACGGAGACCGCAAAAATGTGATCAAGATTTCGCAGAGCGGCCAGCACTGGAACGGCCTGCAATGGATGATCGCCGCCCAATGTAAGTCTTGAAATGATGAGTTCCTCTCCGAACTACTTTTCAGCCGTCGAGGAGGCGGACGATTGGTCCAATCAGTTGCTGGACTTGACTCGCTCCGTCAACAGCCGCATCAGCATTCTGCGGGTGAAAGAGAAGGAAAAAAGGATAGCTGCGGAATTGTCGAATCTTGTGGTATGTCTTGACCTTTTTGCGGCACTTTTTGAACATTTCTTTGCAGGTCTACTGCCAAGCCGTTCCTTTTGACCCGTTGCACGTGAGCTCAGGCTCATTCTACGAAATGTGCTCCTTCGTCGAGGGGAAACTCGAAAAATTGCTGGAAAAGGTTTGATTCTTGATCAATTATAATTTTATCCCTTAAAATTACTTGGTGTGCATCAATAATTTGCTTCACGTTTGCTAGTCACTTTTTGAAATTGGCGGCATAAAGATCCATCGTGAGAGTTCTTTCTTGGATTTTAGTTTGAATAGAAAGTAGCGAAAAAAAAACGAGAACGTGTGAAAAAGAGAAGAACGAGAAAGCTGATCAATGAAGGAAGTGTGGAGAGGAGGAAAAGAGAAAAACAATGACCTTTGGCCAAATTCAGAGCGAAATACAGTTTTGAGTCAAGATTTGAGTTTTTGAGAAAATTGGTGATGTCATAGTTATTATTCGAAAATGAATTCGAGCAATCTATTGCTTTATAACCTAACAAGCTTTGAAAGTTATCCTGAAAGTAAATCCAACATAAAATGATGCTACTCATCTTTCCGAATGTTCAGGGACTGGTTCCTTTCAACATCCGGCAACTATCTCGAGTTTACCCCAACGGCTCCAGAATCACTTCGGCCAACTACAATCCAGTTCCGATGTGGAATGCCGGCTGTCACATGGTCTCTGCTGATTCTCGACTTTCATCCTATGTTCAAAAGTTTAGGTTGCTCTCAACTATCAGACGGGGGACAAACCCATGCAGCTAAACCAAGGCAAATTTCTGGCCAACGGACGGTGCGGCTACGTTTTGAAGCCAGAGTACATGATTGACAAGAGTTTCGATCCTGCCCATGCAGATAAGGTGAAAACTCGCGTGGAGCATTTCGAAATAAAATTCAAAAAAAAGTTAGATTGGTGAGAAAAGCTATCAAGACTTCTTTCAAATATTTCTATTTTCTGCGAGAAGGTGATTGGTGAATGGTGAATCAGAAAGAAGAGACCTACATACTACTAGAATAAAAATAATTTTCTTTTTTTTTTTTTGAGGTTTCGACGTCTTACCCTGTCCGCCTGCACGTGCAAGTCATCGCGGGTCGACATCTCTCCAGACGCGACAAAAACAAAGGAATCTGTTCTCCTTTTGTGGAAATCGAGCTGGTGGGCATGCCGTGCGACTCTCGCGTGTATCAGACAAGGACAATTGGTAGATTGTCCAAGTTTTCGTTGAAGAATTTGTTCGTTCCAGCCTCGAACGGCCTGAATCCGGTGTGGAATCAAACTTTCATCTTCGAGGTCCAGTGTCCTGAAGTGGCCATGCTGCGGTTTCACGTGGAGGACGGCGACTTCGTCGGTCCGAAAACCGATCCGTTCATCGGCCAGGCTGTCTTCCCCCTTGATTCGATCCGATGTGGTCAGAACTCCTGTCTTTGAAGTTTTTTACCGTTTTCTTTGATAGTCTTAATAGTATGGTTCAACGTCGGTTTTGTCTCACCAACAAAGTTTTCGCACAGTTCTGAAAAAAAAATCGTCTTCTTCTGAGAAAAGCTGGCGTATTCGAATGGAGAGAAAGGAATCGTGATTGCTTTTATGAAAGTCACATTAAATGAAATAAATGAATTCCAATATTTTCTATTTTAGTATATTCAAAAAACTTACTAACCAAAAAAGGTGTGCTCTAGTGGTGCCAATCATAGTTTTCAGGATTCCGATCGGTTCCGCTGCGGAACCAGTTCAGCGAAGAGTGTGAGCTGTCGGCGTTGCTCGTCGACGTGCAAATGTGCGCCAAGGAAGGGACGACTCTCATCCGGTCGGCGTGCTCCGTCCTGCAGGTACACGCGCTCCTGGACCTCGCAAAAGACGCGCGAGTTAAGGCGAGTCGGCTGGCGGCCGTCTACGCCCAGAGGAAGATCACGAACGGCGACAGCGCGATTCCGCGGGAGATGGCGCCGCGACTTCGGGGCAGCGAGCTCTCGTCGCGCTCCCTCGACTCCCCTACAAATTCGGAGTCGTCGCGCGCTTCGATTTTCCATGCACAACGGACCAGTGAAGATTCTGTCGACAGCAATGAGTGAGTTCTATCAAAAATAATCTGATCTCTCTAAATTCCAAATTTCTTAACGACAAATTTTTGTAGATCCAAGGAACAAAAGAAAAATCAAAAGCCCCTTTTGACGAATCGGAAACGCTGATAAGAGTTTATTTTTGTTTAAACTGTTTTTTTGAAGATTAAACCATGGAGAAGCTTATAGTGGAAAACACGCAATAATCGCTTTTTGGGAGGACTTATTCCAAAATCCTTTGAGGAATTACAGAGTTGCCGCTTTTTTTGAGTCATTGAGCTGTGGAGATTCACGAACTTTTTTCGATATCAGAAAACAAATATTTATTCTCATAAAAAAATCTTGAAGAAAATCAAAAAGTCTGTGGTCAACGACTAGCTGTTGTTTCACTCAAATTATAACTCTGAAGGTCTCGATAAAATAATGATCACTAAAAACAGAAGTTATCATCTAACTAGAGAACTACTCGGACTCGGGTACGCGTTTTGAGTTGAAACTTTGGTGGCTTATAGACCCGGGTAAGAGTACTTGGAAACAAGAGAGATTATCTGCTAAACCCCGAAGGCTTATGAGAAAATGATTTTTGAAAATGAAAAGTTTGGGCTTGAAAATTATCAAATTTCTGCTTTCCTCGTTCTTTTGACTGGAAAAAAGTTTTTTAGTGTTTATCATAGCCGGATCATTCAAAACGATCGTATTAAAATATAAAATAAGGTGAAAAGCAGTATTCTGAAAGTTTTCAGGCCTAATTTTCACATTTTTTATATATTTTTTCTCAGTTCTCTATCGGGTTTAGCAGATATTCTCTCTTGTTTTCAAGTATTCTCACTTGGGTCTATAAACCACTAAAGTTTTAACTCGATCCGCGATTACGAGTTCGAGTAGTTCCCTAGTAAGTGCGTTTACAGGATGGATTCCAAAATGATAAATGAATTCTTCTTATGAAATTTATAAAAAGAAAACTTCAGCACAAGTTCTTTGGCGTCTGTGCCCAACGGAACGATCAGTTCCAGGGATGGAAACTCGAAAAAAATCGTGGCTCCGAAAAAGTCAAACTTTTCAATAACACTAAAAAAATAAAGATCGCGGTTAAATTTTATCTTCATTCATATTTCTAATGAGCTTAGCTTCATTCTTTTTTCTGTTTTCGAGAAATTTTGATGAAAAAACGCATCGGTTAAACTACATTCCACTGATTTGCTCTAAAACGTCATATTTTTCTAGCCTCACTTTTCCTGCGTAAAAACGATTCTTGTCAATTTTGTATGTATTTCCTGTAACATTTACCGTGTGTGCAATTTTTTAGTCATTTTAGATATTGATTGCCTGAAACTCAGTGATTTTCCAGTGTTTGCTATACTTTCACAAAGAGTGCTTCGTCCCGACTTATCTCATAGTTTCGACTGGATTTCGTTATTCATATTTCCAGTTACACAATCAAATGGTCCACCTCAAATGCGTGTATTGTTTAGTTTTATAATTTTCAGATTTCGAGTGTTTGTTTTTTTATCCGCTTTTATTGAATTCACACTAAACTAGAGTTAAAAATTATATTCATACGAAACCTAAAAAAGTTTATTCGCTTGAAATGACGTTTACACGATGTCAAATACATTTTATGACACAACAACGAAATCCCGATTGAAAAAAAGAACTGCAGAAATAAATAAAACCTCGCAAGTTTTCCAATATTTCTTTTGGTAGTCAATGTTTACAGTTGAAAAAAAAATGAATGACTAAAGTGAAAGGTTTCCCAGCCGTTGTTCAAAAAAAAAAAGAAAAAATGGAAGTTTAAAACGAGAAGCGCAATAAAAATCATAGGATCGGTTTGCTTGAAAATTCGAAAAAAAAAAGGGAAAATACTCGTCATACGAATGAGGTACTGGGAATAGTTGTTTAATTTTTAGACAGGCAAAGTTGGAAGAATATTTCATGAATTCATCATTCAGCCAAAATTTTTATAAAAGAGTTCACCCACACTTTGCCCAAGTAGTTCTTTTCTAATAATATGAGCAAGCGCTATAGCAAGTTGTGAGGCGATCCCACTCTGCTAGTGACGACGGGCGAGTTGGAGCCGTTCTTGCGCTGCTCGGCGACGTGCTCCTTGGGCACGGCCATCATCTGGACCGCGGAAGGCTTCATAGAGTCGTAGGCTGGACTCTGCCGGATTGTGCCTTGTCGTGTCGACAGACCCGAGAAAGGCGGACGGCTGAACACGAGCTGTTTTCACCAACTAGGCCTAGGTACCTCGAAAAAGACATCAGAGATAACAAGGTCTGTCGGTAACGTGAAGACGTGATGCAGTAGACTACGAAGGCGACGTAGCAGTTGATGACTGACAACAGGTCGAGGATGTCGGCCAGCGGCAGGTAGACCATTCGGTGGAACTGCGTCGTGAACATGGCTGCCAAATCATCTTCTTTTTTGGAGATTTGTTGAGTTACAGGTACTGTGGCTGTGTGACCGTCCTTTAGAAGTTTCAAACTTTCGAAAAAAAACACTGAATTTTGGAATTTTCTGGGAAATTTTCAACTCTGTTTTGAAGGTCCGGCTATCATAGTCGATACTTGTAAAAACTTTAATTTTTGAGAGATTCTGAAATCATTATACAGTTTACGAAGTTGAATAAGCTCTCTCATAATGAACTGGAGTTCAAACTTTTCTAAAAACATTGAGCTTAAAACCCCTTTATGATGTAACGTGATACTAGCCATCTCATCTTCACCCCAAAACGAACAAAAACTCACCGTTCAAAATGGCCATGACGCCCTGCGGCAGCTCAGTGACCAGGAAGATGCTCACCATGAGCAGCAGCCTAAAGTTCCCAGATGAAACTTCAATCGGAAAAAAACAAAAAGACTGACATCATGTTCGTGAAGTCGCCTCGACGCTTTCGACGTTCTTCTTTGATCAACGCCTTCCGCTTCTCCTTGTTCTCGTTCAGTCTGTGGATGAGTGCCATCGTGAAAACGAGAAGAAGGAATCCGGGTACCGCCTGCAAAGAATGACTGAGAAAGAATATCAGAGAGCGTCTTGCCTTGAGAAAAACGCCAGTGAGCCAAAGGTTTCCCTTCATCAACTTGCAATTGTTCGTCATCATCATGTCGGAAAACTCAAGGATGTAGACTGTCACGCCACTGAAAAAGAGTCAGATAGAACTGGGAGGAAGCATGTGCAAATGAGTCCATTTTCCAGATGTGGTAGGTCACCCATAATTTTCCGAATTAATTTTCGACATTTGGCTTTTTATAAATCACTCAGAAACTATTTTGGGTCTTCAGAGTAGCCAAAAATCGTAAAACTCGGGAAACCCTTTTTTGAGCATTTGACCAGGTATTAAAAAAACATTTCCTTTTCATTTCTTGAATATTTGAAGACACGACATCACTCAGAAAGTTCTTGAAAGGAAAATTGATCAGATTGACCGTATGTTTTTGATTTCAAAAATTAATCTCAACTCTGGCTTAAGTAAAATCGCAACTTTGAAGTAATTATAGAGAAAAATTGAAAAATTTTTGACATTTCAAAAAATGTCATTATGTTTACATTATTGTGACTCAACTTTAGTTAGACATACAATCTTACTTGTTCCAGTAGCTGTTGAACTCTGAGCTGATTGGGGAAATTCCATGAGCCAAAAAAGTCGGAAGACACATCAGCAGCACAAATGTGGCGATCACACCGGCAGCAACGCTCAAATTAACTTCTTATTCAATAATTATCGGAGAGGTGGAGAAATGGCGCCCCTAAGCGTTTTTAAACGTTTACATTTCAAAACCGACGTATGCCATTTTATCGTATCTTACAGAGGTGGAAGGTGGCTGCCCACTGGCCGCCCTGCCTGCCAAGCCATAAGCGCCCAAAAGCAAAAATGACTTTTTCATTAGTAAGTCAATGAATCATTTCTATCGCTTGGCCCAATGGCTGCCCTTGGCCGCCAAGCCAAGGGCTGCCTTCCCAATCCTCCACCTCTGGTATCTTATCCATCTTTCGGTTGTTTCAGTAAAATGAATGATTTTATAGAATTTAGTTTAGAATTTAGAAATCTCACTAAGTCCGTCGATTATTGAAAAGCTGAGCGGAAGAAACGTTGAGGGCCGTGTAGCGGATGACGGCCATCAAGACGACGAGGTACAACGTGGTCGCGTGGAAATATATCGTCAGAGCGGCGTGGAACTGAAGATTTCCGATCAAAAGAGAGAATTCAACAGGAGAAAAAGAACGGACCTTTAAAAATACAATCCAGTAGTAGGAATAGCCGTTGAGGGCTTTGAAAAACTCGAAGCGTAGTAAGTAGATCTGGAATAGGCAGGTAAAAGGAAGGCTTTGTGAGATGGGAACCTTTTTCATCTGAGATAACGGGTTTTGAAAATTATTAACCTTTGCCCTTTGACTTGAATTAGCCAAGAAAACCAAAATAGATTCGTAAGCAGAAGTATCAAGCTGACCGAGTAGGAGGTCATAGTGCCCATGTCGGAAAGAGAGATGAAGATGAGGACGGTGTGGACGGAGGACTGTCGCATCCGCGGCCTCGTCAACACCAAAACGTGCACCACATTCGCCATCAGACCCACTACGCACAGCGTCAGCGCCACGTATCGATGCACGTCCGTGTACCACCTTCAAGTCCCCTTTTTCCCTTTCTTTCCCCGCGAAATTTCGAGCCTACATCTGGAAGGAGAAAAGTTTCTCTAGCGCCCAAATCGTCCGATTGTTGTTTATGTCGAAAGCTCCGTGTCGTTGCAGTCCATCGCCTTCATCTCTGAAAGACTCCAATAATAACTAAACGAAGAAAACGAAAGCAATACGATAAACGTCTGGAGAGTACTTTCTGAGGTCAAGAAGGAAAAAAAAGAGACTTCGAAGGAGAGAATTGTACCCTCGAGCTACAAAAACAAGTCGACCAAGCGTTCGAGCACTATTTTTCGGAGTTCTGTGTAAATCTCAGTTCAAATGATTAATTCGTTAAAATAAATTTCTTTTTTTCTCAGTTTAAACATTTCTGAAAACATGCGGACATGATCAAATAAAGAAGAAGAGCCCTTGACATCGGAGGACCCCTTTCAAGTGCACCGATAGAGGCGGTCGAGCATGCCAGAAGAACTTGCTTCTTTTTTCTACAAAATTCTTTGAGGGTTTAAATAAAACTTTATTATGGGCTACAGAAGCGCTCAAAAAGGGAATGATGGGGAGACTTGCAAGCAGACCTCGAAGCGGGCCTCAAATGGTTCGACGGAGTTCGTCTTTCCGCCTCCCGCAAGTTTGATTCCGGCACGTGCCGACCAAAAAAGGTTTCAAACAATGGGAGAAACAGCACAATGGCTGCTGTGTGAAGAACTACAAAGCGTGAATAACTTCATCATTAATACGGTGTTCGATTTCGGAATTCCAGGAAGTCTAAAAGTTCTTAGCTCTGCTAAAAAGTGGAAAATTGCCTGTGAACGAATGTTCAGTCACTTTATAGCATCTAATTAAACCCTTGAAAAGTACCTATTAGATTTTTCGCTGTCACGCACGTAAGCTGACAAGCGAAAATATGAAGTTTTTCAGATATTTTCAACTTTGCAATCTTTTAAAACAAAAAATTTTAGAAAAGTGTAGGCGTAGCAAGGAATATCTCAAAGGTTAATAAAACGTCATTGCCACCAAAAGCATTGAAATAGGTTTCGTTAGCCTTGTTAAAAGGAAATGAGATGGAGGAAAAAGCAACAAAAAATTCGAAATAATGGATGTGAGAAGCAGGTTTTAGGCTATTTCGATTCCCAAATTTGAATTAATCTCGCCATACCATTTACGAATTCTCCAAGAACCTGAAATTTGAAATCGTTGATTTTAATAAAAAGAGTGCAAAAAATATTTTCGTACTCCAAAACGAAGTTTGGTTTGCGTCATGATGAAAAGGGTCGTTAGTGGGTAGAATTTTCGGTTTAAAGTCAGCTTTTTTCATTTGAAGATGTTTTGTCCGTTCCAAAAACGCCTTCCAAAAGAGGAAAAACAGAAATATGCCGGAAACGACGCCAAAATGGGAGCCGACCGTTTTTCTGACACGATCCGTCAAACGCACGCCTCCAGCTCGACGGCCATTTGTTAAGCACTTTTCATTTTCGCAGAAATTCCCGCGAATCCTTCAAAAAAGGATCCGACGACGAACGCCTGAGATTTGTCAACGGCTGAGGACGAAATGATCTGCTTTTCTTTTCTGACAAGCTGATGACGACCTCAGTTCCAATTGAGATAAGCGACATGAATGAAAAACGCAAGATAAAATATGTTCTGCTTATTTCAATTACTGATTTCATTTTTCTCTTTGATTTCATCTTCTGGAGTTAAGTTTAAAAAATCCAGTCGTCGCAAAGTCCATATTCAAAGGTTTTTTTATAAGATTAAATCTAATGATGGAGAAAAAAACGAAGTGAATGAGGGGAAAACACGCCGTTCGTCTGATTGCAAACTACTCTCGTGTTAAAATTAAAGTTATCTCAAACTATTGAACATAAATCTGATAAGAAAGATACTTTCTTGATGCTCATTGTTGGCGGTTCTTAAATGCTGAAAATCAGGGAAATTTTTTGTCTAGATATGAATTATTATTTCATGAAAAAATTATTGTCATCTTAATTAGAAGAAAACAAAAGATTGCTGGCGAGGAAAAACGAAAAGAAAAAAGTGACTTTGAAATTGAGATACGAAAAGGAGTGAGATAAGGGCTCTCAAGCAAATTTCCGGCTTATTTCGTATTTTCGAGATATTTATCAGCCACTGCAAGAACTACAAAGACCTGAAATTCTAAGACCGAAGAACGGCATTGTTATCTCAGATATAGAAAAAACTTCTTTCTTTGTTGACCTTTTTCAGCTGTCGTTGACAAGTTGACAAACTAGTCGAGAAGGATGAATACCAACATAAAGTTCAACTCACAAATCAAATTGAGCTAACAAAAAAAACGGAAGGCACGACTCTGAAGGCGCCAAAAGATCGGATAGCTTGAGGAAACGCGATATTTTACAGCAAAGAAAGAAGATCTCTGCTTACAAATTGATCATAAATTGAAAAACCCTACGTAACAGTTTTTTTTGATCTCTTGCAAAGCCCGAACCGGAAGTGACCTGGTACTAAGAGTCAAGAAAAGAGATGGGGGAGTCATTGGGGATAAGATGTTTGTTTCGAGGAGGCTTATTATCAATTCTGGCAAAATTTTCAGATCAAAAAGATCACTCCGAAGAAGTGAAACAAATAGGGGAATTCGGAAAAAGGAAAGTTATAAACTAATTGCAGGACAAGGAAATATTGCAATTAATGGAAAGGAACTCGAAATTGGTCTCTGTGACTTGAATACTCTAATTGGGAGACCTTTCATCAGAAAATCTGGTTACAAATCTTATTTACTTCAAGTTAGAAAAAAACGGCAAAGATCAGGGAAAACAAAAATCTCTGGAGAATGTCTTTCTGCTCATCAAGGCGAGTGCTGCCATTTCAATAAAGGAAAAAGAGGTTTTTTTCAGTATCGCTGAATGGAATTCGAATCCTAACATTCCAATGTTTGTCAGCTTAATTTGTGTTATCGGACCAAGAGAAATCTGGTTTCAATATAGCAGTCCTTGAGCGTTGACCAGGCGGAAAGACGAAGAAATAAACTCTGAGGATTGTTTTTTTTTTCCTTTTTTTGATGATCATATCACCCTATGGACAAAAAAAGCAATGCTCATAATTAATCACGTACGAGAATGAGTAGATCTAAAAATAAAAGAAACAATGGAATCAGACTTTTTCATGTGTGAAAAGCAGACGAAATTCGACGTTTGGTTGGATGAGCACCAAGTTATTGTTATTGGAAGTGCAATGGAATTTGTTCGCGGCTTTTGCTCCTCGAGCAAAAAATCGAAGCCGGAAATCGGACTCGAGGCAAATTTATAAAGGCGAATCGCGTATAAATAAGAGATTGACCAAAGTTATGGAATTAACTCAACAGTGTTGAACGGCTGTTTCCATAGAAGGAAGAAATTTGAATGTGACGAAAAATTGAGTGTTGAAACGAGTGTTGATAAGAAAAAAACAAAGTAACTCCTGAGTTTGTAAAAATCTCGAAACATTTTGGAGTCGGCGTAGCATTCAAAATGTTGAAGTTGTAGACTCACTAGGTTTACCGGAAATTGCAATTATGGGTTGGGTGGAGCTATGAATAGACGTTTCGAAATCAGAAATAATTGACCGACGAAGTTGCTCCCTTTTTCACTTCTGCGTACGAGGTAGTTTTCTCTTTTGAAGTGTTACCTACTAATGATAAGAAACGGCAAAAATCGGAATACTAGAAAGTATGTTGACATCACCTTGGACGTTAAGACGCAAAAAGAAAAGTAGCAAGAAAAAAGCAATAAAAAATTCGTCATAAACAGGTTCTGAAGAAGAAATTGGGAAACGGCGGCTCTCGTCTGGTCTCAAAACACTCATTATGAATTCAGGCACACGGAACATATGTATGAATATAATCCAGAGGGTCGGTGATGCATGTCCCTTTTTGTCATGCACGGCTAAGTTGATGAGAAATACGACAACTTGAAAAGAAATTCTGGAAGTCGAGTCATTACCGTTCCTATGACTCGCACCTCGGTACTTCTTATTGAGCGAGAACTCGAAAAAGATGAGCGTCTGACCGGGTGAGATGAAAAGGTGAAGTGAAAACGACACTTCATAGTTATTAATCTATTAACATAGTTAAAAAATCTCGAAATAACTGCCCAGAGTTATTGGAGGTGTCTTTGAAGATCAAATAGGTATTCCAAGAAAATAAATAAATGAATAAGTAAATACATATATATATATATGGGAATCTTCAAAAAAATGCTATTATTTGAAAAAAATTCATGCATGAACTTCGAAAAATTGTATGCTAGAAAATCTTCTTTTTTTCCTTTTTAAACATTTCATCCATTCTATTTTTTTGCACAATTCCTCCTGGTTTCCTTCAGCTCCGTGGAAGTTGCCGCGAGTTTGGCGTAAAACCAAAATCTTGTGTTTTTTTGAGACGTTTTGCTCAGAATTCTCAAGTATTTCACTCACGAAACGATCCTTCTCAAAAGGGATAAATGTTAGCAGGAAGTCGAAAACAGAAAAAAAGCGGAACTTTTGAAAAAAAAAAAGTGTATTGTTATGGAGAATACATAAAGAGCCGGGAAGACGTAGCAACAAGGCTCGAAACACCGAAAAGGAGTCTGGACAAAGAAAAGCTTCGTAGAACTCGGCGAGAAACGGGACTTGACGACGAAGAAAAAAAAAGGTTGTGGTGTGAGGCCGCAGATGTTTCTCAGGTCGTTCGGTCAGCCTCCAGGTAACTTGCTCCAACTGACCACGTCCATTGATCGCCGGAGCAAACGAGACAGAACAATGTCGAAAGCTTCATTTTATAGGAAAATTGTTGCACCTGTATTTGCAATTGCCATGATTTTCCTAAATTAGAACTTTTAAAAAAGTTGAAAAATGATTTGGAACTTGGTATTGTTTGATCAACTGTACAGACTCAATTTTTCTGCCTTTTGTGAAAATATCTTTCAACTGAAAACAAAGTTCTTTCTCTGAATTGGAATGCTTTGCCACCCCATAAAGCTTAGTTCTTCTAGACTTCCAAAATTTCCAAGAATAGCAGCTTTCGCCTAAATTATAAACAAAAACGGCAAAAACGACACGCAAAACAAGTCGCATTTCTTGAATCGCGTCCACTGCCTTTTCGAGCTCCGTTCCAGACAGTATGAAAAAAATTTGAGGTGAGTTCTAAATTTCGAGGCGAAACCTAAAACTGAAAGATTCCAGTCTGACCTTGCAAATGTTGGCAGATCAAGAACCATGCAGAGATAAGCAGAGATTTCAAAGAAGAAATATACTTTTTGTGACAATTCAAGAAGCTCGAGATCTCGAAAATGCTAGAAACTAATCAAATTAACCAACACACAACACGAAAGGGACTAATTCGTGCAAGACGAACCGAATTCGGAAATTAAATTTTTGGCTTCTACTAGAATACTCGGACTTGAAGGAGACGAAGGCAAACAAATTCAGATGCTGAAAATGGGACAAAAAGGACGTGGCGAAAGGAGAAAATTGGATCATATCCAAGGGTCTTCTTTTCAAAACACCGAGTCGAACTTCGTGAAGAAGCAAAGTAAACGAGAAAAGTCTGATTCCGTAGACGGCTATTTGGAAAAAAAAAATCAACATTCCTTCGAAACACTTTTCAATATAAAAAACAATAACAAACTAAGTTTTTTATTTTCCAATACGTATAATAATTTCAGAAAGCGTTCGAAACAACCGAAATGAGGAGCTGAAGAAAGCGGAACGAGCAGAAAATAATAAAAAATGTTTACAAAACTCATAAAGACCGAAAAAAAACTTGAGAGAACGATGCTGTGAATAGAGCAAAATATATATTTTCATTGTTTTTGAAATGGCAGTTAAAGAAGGGAAAATTTTTTTAGCACCTACGTCGTGCAATTCTTTGCAGTTAGAAAACCGCTTTAAAATGCTTCCTTAAGGGAGCCTAGACTGTTCATAAGGCCCTGAATGACAAGGGAAGCCGTTTTGCTTTGCGGTTGAGATTTTGTCGGCCAGAGTTTATGCTGTACCAGCTATGGAGAAGCAGCTCATCGTTGGAACGCTCGAAAATAGCCTTCTACTATCACAAAAAGCGAGATGCTCTACGCGCCGTTCTTGATCAAGAAAAGTTTTGCGAACAGACAAAAAACTCTTCATTTATTCCATGATTCAGCAGAGAACCTTCTCTGAAGACTGAATAAAAGTTTCAAATAGTTTCAAAGTTTCAGCTGAAGGCCCAGAAAGTCTCAAACAGCCGAACTTTCAAGATTTTGAAAAACACCTCACATCCAAAGAATTCCACAGAAATCGTGAAAAATGCTTTTTTTCAGACCTCATTTAAAAAAATATATATATATAAATTTGTGTAGATTGAGACTTCCAAAATCCTCGTCTAGCGTACTAAAGTGTGTTGTGGCAAAATCTAAAAAGGTTCCAACCGAAAAGTAAAATACCTTCCAGATTATATTTCGATAAACCAAATAAAACTCAAAAGTATCTTTGACAGTATCGAAGACAACGGCAATTGCCCCCGGGCGAGCTGCTCAAAATTTTTTTCATTTAAAATCTCAAAAAATTGAAGGTCACAAATCTTAATTTTTAAAAAATGAATCAGAAGCTTTTAGCAACATTTTGGCTTATTTTAAAAGAATTTTCGACTCAAAAAGAGCGGAGAACTACCGAATATGGTTCTCCAATATGTGAAGGCTATTAAAATTGGCTCCCACTCAATTTCAACGAACTGAAATGAAGTCTTGACGCGCGTCAATGAGAATGACCAAGTTACCAGGGCGAAGTTTCAATTGAAATAACAGAAGTTCTATCAGAATAGACTAAACTAGCGCAAGTTCATCTCCGAAGTCCATAATTTATTGAAAGCGCCGAGATACTCCCAGTACACACTAATTAGTCTCCGCGTCATAAAAACGTTCAATGGAGGCGTTTCCCTATCCAGTTATTGAGTAAAACTGGATGTAAAAAACATCTTTGAGTCAGTAACCACTTCCTTTTTGGGTTGTGTAAAGCTGCAAGAAACGTAAATGAAACTCGAGCCCATATATGACGACGCAATTTCCCACGGCTCCAATGGCATATGCTCCTATAAACGTCTGCCATTTCCGCCTTTGGTTTGTTTTTCATTTCCCAGCCAATAAATAAGCTTTAGAATGCAAACCCATAGTCTTTTACAACGACGAAATAAAAAACTAAAAAAGGTTTTGACTGATTGGTTTGACTCGAAAATTAGATATTTGATTGAAAAAGTAGGTTTAAACTTATCTCAAAAATGATCGAGCTTGTTGAGGCAGACTCACATACGAATGATTAGTCTAAATATTATGAAAATATTTGAGTCAAGGTGATGTAAACGCCTTTTGATTCCATTCACGATATAATGAAGAAAAGAATTAGTCATTGACCGCATTCGCTTGGAAAAAAAAAGAATAGTCGAAGAGAATAATTTACGGGGAGTAAAAAGAGCAGATAAATAAACTTTGTACTGGAAAGGAGAGAAAAAGCGTGACAAGAGGTTGGAAACGACAGGCAACCCTCACGAGGACCTCCGGACAAATTGTTGAAAAGCCGACAAAACGGGTTCAGCCAATGAAACATCTGCGCCCCATGGAAGCTATCCGATGCTCCCAATCCAGGTTTTCCGAGCTACATCGAAGACTCCATCTAGGTGAACCATTGGGACATAATGAAAAAAAAATTAGAGAAGATTTGAGGTAAAGTTTCCAAAATAATATAATTTTGAGTTTATTCTGCAAAGCGATACTCAAATAGCGGTCCTCTGAAAAACAAAAATGGCTGCAGTACTCATTCGCTACAGTCGAGCCTGGACTAAAAGTGGATGAAAGTGCAGCTTTGAAATATGAGCTGTTCCACTTGAGAGGAACAACGAGCATCCTCTGAAGTATTCGCAAAAAAAGCTCGTCAACTATTTCTGGGATGTCAAAGAGTCCACCTCCTTTCCCACGTACTATGAATGACTTTCCGGATGCTCTGTTCTCAATTTACAGCTGAGTAAGAGGAACATATTACTGTAAATATGATCACAATTTTTAATTGTGCTATAAATCTAGATCATTGAAGCCGAAGATAATACATTTCTGATTTATCAATTAAACAGCTATACTCTATTCATTGTTTTAAAATTTTTTTCTTTTCAAAAACTTTTGGTTGCACATCGGCCCACGGGGTTAATAGGCAAAACACATGACAAAAAGTTTACGAGATGTCTAACGACCAACAACAATTTCACAGAACATTAAAATTGATCCAAACTTTTCACATGTCTCCTGTTTTTGTACAAACTGAGAGAAATTAAAAAAATTCAATAGAAACACGCTTTTTATCTCTTCGACCCTCATATCAGCTCAAAATAGCGTTTCAAATCGGTGGTTTGTCGAAAATGAAAAGAAAATGACAATAACGAAAATTGTGAAGAGAAAACAAACTTTAAAAGCATGAAATAATTTCCGATTTGATTTGCGAATTTCATTAGAATGCGAAAAAAGAAGTCGACCTGTATTAAATATAGATTAAAATTTGTCGAAAATGGTCACTACCAAGCTTTATATTCTTTCCCGACTTTCATTCGAAAAAAGTATCATGCAACCCAATCATTGAAAAGATAAATGGATCACGGAAGTTTCGCTTTTTTTTCATCACAAAGATAAATTATTGTTATTTCCTCCAACAGGGAAATAAATCTAGATCTGACTCACATGCGGCAAAACGATAAAATAACTATGAAATAACATTTCAGAAAACCGATTGATTATCGGAAAGAGGTTATCAAAAACTTGCGTGAAAGAAAAGCTGCGCGGCGGAAAATTTGAAATAGGCCCAAGATGCCCATAAGACCACGCACTTGCCAAGACTCGCCAAGCAGCTTTTCTCTCCATTTGCAAAGAATTTAATAAAAAGGAACTGAAATGATGTTTACTCTCGCTTGGTTGAGCCCAACAAAGAACTGAAACTCAGGAAATTGAAGAGAATGAAACAGATACGGAGATACATCGTGACAAAAAACGGTGCTCGTTTGAGCCCCGTAAATATATTGAGGGTGAAAAATTGCTTAGCGATTTCCGCAAGCAAACCCCACAAAACAGCCGTTTAACGGACGCACCACTGAGAGCCTTTCGAACTACTCTTCATAACAGTTCATTAAGTAGAAGAATTCAACAAACAAGGGGTACTTTTTCCGATGGTTGCACTGCCCAATCCGGCAGCTCAGTTTTGTAGCTCCACTTTTCGGTCTCGTACCGCAGACAATGCAAAAAAAGCTGATAATGACCAGGAGGCACCTGAAAACTCGATTTTCCACGGAGTGTCTGGACAAGTCCCTCGGAATTGCGATTCTATTCAATCCTAACTAAAGTTTCCTGTGTGAGAAGAGAAGGATTCTCAACGAAATGAAAACATTTTCAGATCTTTTTTGTTTTGTTTTTTCTTATTTCTAAAGCTGATTATAAGATACCGATTTGGAGATGACGTTGCAATTGAGGCAGATGGGGTCGTAGTCGGGACGGTTTTCCTTCGGCAAATTTTTCGGTTCCGGTTCCAACTGCAAACTATTGTTATGAGATTCAGGTAAAAGCGGACTAAAATTTTATTTCGCTCTAATTGAGGAATGTCTGTTCAAAAATCCATGCTCAAGATTCCAAAGGCGCAAAAGACTTTCATAAGCTGAAATGGAACTAAAAAAATATTCCATCTCGAAAAATTCTTGAAATTTGTTTGTCCTCTTCCGAACAAACACTTTTGCAAAAGATAAAAGAAGAAATAGGGAAGAAAAAGCCAAAAAACCTTCTCAGAAGCCATTTTTTCCATCCGCGCCTCGTATTCTGGATCCACTTTTTCATGCCAGTTTTGGCTTTTGTGGGCAGCTTGAACGTCTTGACACAACTGAAGATATAAAATGAGAGATTGGAAAAAGTTCGATTCACCTCATCGAAAGGCTTCCCGTATGCGGCACTCTTTCCTTTAGTTTCGCCCCAAACCGTCGAGTTGTAGATCTTATCCCCGACTATCGGATAACCTGGAGTATTATTCGAATATAGGAGGAAGTACCTTGAAAACCTAAAAACTGTGAATGAACTCGAATTTGATGAGTTCGGCCGGTGGTTATCTTCACCAAAACGACCGATTCGTTCCCGTCAGTCCACAGCCGCCTGAAAAAGTCCCTGAGAGCAGAAAAGCGGAGAAAAGAGCAATTTTATGTAAGAACGTATATTTATTTTGCGAAAATTCCAAATGCACGGAATTCGAAGAAAGTCCGTACTTGAAGGAGCTGTGCGCAGACTTGCCGTCTTTACGAACGCACTGGATTCCCATCGAGAGGACCAACGGAGCGATGGGTTCGTCGCAAGTAAGTTCTTCTCTGAAACAGCTCCAGAGTTGGATTTGCCGAGCCAGAAGTTACAGGCGACGCATACTCGGGAAAGGCTCCTTCGACTCTGCAGACGTACTCCTTCGTCCAGTCGCCTTGCTTCAACGTGCTTTTGAACTAAACCCTTTTTTATTGATCCGGATCTAAGTTTCGTTTTACCTCGAGATCAGTTTCATAGTTTTTTGCAAACATCAAGATTCCTGACGTCGTTCGATCCAAACGATGAAGTACTGAAATGGACGTGAAAAAAATGGAGCTTACCCAAAAATATTTATTATTTCATTTTTGAAAACGCAAATAAAAAGAAAGGGGGAAAAAGCTGGATCGTCAATTAATTGTTTTTAATTGAAAAAAAAAATCGAAATAATTTTTTTTAACCGTACGTAGAAAAAACCGTACTGTGGTGTCCGTCGAATCAAAATCAAAAAAAAATGGGAAATATCTTCGGTATCAAAGGAAGTTGTGGTTGAAAACTAACTTTAAGAAAAAGTGCATCATTTTTTCTTGGAAAGAAGATGTTTCAAAGGAGAAGAGATTGGGCGAACCTCTGAGCCCTGTCCGACCTTCATTGACCCGGAGCTGTCCCAGAACCGTGTGAATGGCGTACTGCCCGCAAGCGTGCACCGGCAACGACGGCGGCTTGTCCACCACCAGCAGGTCGTCCGACTCGCTGATCACTTTTATGGGCATGTCGCGCACCTGTACTTACAAAACTTTAAGAATACGTGAATATCGAAAAGTGAAAATGGTCGGGAAGAATTCTAGATTTAAATGAAATGGATTAGTGAGAAAAAAAAATCTTCAAAAAATCGTCTGAATAGGGATGTTTCTGCTTTTTTTTTTACAGCATTTTGACTATACCCTCATGACTTTCTTTTGATTAAAACTTTTGCATAATGACTGACCGGATGTTCGTGTCTGTGGGCGTAGTGCTCAATGTAGTCGCGGCTTGTCATCACGTAGTCGCAGTCTACAGTTTGCACTCCATTCACGAAAATCCTCCCCAGCTTACATGCCACCTTCTGAAGTCCTTCGACTTTATCCGATCATATACTGAGCCAAAACTTTGGTTCTAACTATAGCAACTTCAAAATTTTTCGACAGTGAAATCCTTCTCATTTTACTTTGCGGTTTGGATTTTTCTATAAACTTGCTCAAACAATCTCTGAACGACTAGATGAAGGTCCCTCATAGTCGCTACCTGCGCAAACTTCTAGTATTTGAGATATGAATTTTTAAATTTCGCCTTTGACACAGAACTAAACCCCATAAGGAGGTCAGTTTACTCCGTGATTTGGAATTTTACACATATGTGCTCAAAAATTTTTTGAAGGTTTATATGAAAATCCATCTCAGTTGCAACCCGCCTCAGCTTCTAGCTTTTGAGATTTATAATTTCGAAATTCGAAAAGTTAGCCTTAAAACTTATCATCCGCAACTTTGGAAAATCATATCTAAACGCCGGAAGTTTGCACAGGGAACGACTATGCGGGATCTTCATTCAAACTTTGAGAGAGTTTTTGAGCGAATTTGTAGAACATTCCAAACCGCAAATTAAAATGAGATTCAGCCGATTTTTCTATAAGTATAATTATATTTTGAAAACATAACAAAAGGAAACGAGGCAGGAAAATAACTTGACTCCGCAGACCTACTTACAACTATTGCAAAGGGCTATTTATCATACCTAGCGAACTTCGCTTTTTTTTAAAAATAATTTTCAACGTTCACAAAATTAATAAGATTTCCGATTGATAAATTGATAATCGTTAACAAGAATAACCCAAAAAATGAACTTCAAAATGATTGGCTGTCGTGAACTGCGACCATTCCATGTCTCTTCGAGACTGAAAAATTCTTGATGAACCTAAAAAATTCTGCGAAAAACAAAGTGAAAACAAAAATAAGAACTTCTAGGATGGCATCAGGGAATCCCATTTAAAGAGGCGATTATGAGGTGCGTAGCGCAGGAAATGAGGGAGCGGCGAAAAACGTCTTGGATTGCCTGGACCGAAATGAAGTGCCAGCTCGCGTTGCATCTGCTGTTTTCAACGTCTTGGACAAAGCTTCTCGGGAATTCCCACTGGTTGCCGGCTTTTCGTTGCGTTGCACTACTAACCCATTTGATTGTTTGCTTGGCCTAATCTTCTCCTAACGATTCAGTAACTCTTTCTTACCGAAAATCCGGAAAAAGACGTTGCTTCCAGAATGCGAAACACGCAAGGCAGCCTCACCAACTGCACATTATGTTTCAAGTGTGAAACGCATCAAATTCACGACGCCGTTCCGAGTTTACTCGACATCTGCAGATCCCACACTTGAATGGATTTTCAACCCCGCAGGCTTTTCGAGTTAGGCGCATAAATCACGATGGTGCACACTTGAGGAATTCTCCAATTCCCAAGTAAAGAGACCGTATGCCGTCGGCACTCTGCGGCTGTCATCTCTCATTTGGCCGAACTCCTCAACACCCTTTTCCCATATCATAAATTTACCGCGGGAAGCCTACGCGTATCACTTTCTGCGTGTCCAAAAACTTCGTTTCCTCCCGAGTTTTTCTTCGCCTCCTTACTATTTTTCCACATCATATATTCTCAAAAAGAAATATAGCCCGTGCTGTTAGCAAATTACCTGACATCGCTTTTGAACAGGGAAAAAGGTGCTAACCTACGGAGGTGTTTTTGGATATTTTTTCATCCTTCTCTTCAATTTTTCCCACGCAAAAATTCTTCCAGGCTTCTCCTCTTGATATTGGAACTAACTCGATTCAGTCCACTTTTTACTCGAGCATATCCCCCAAATTGAAGTTTATCATCCAATTCAGGAACGCATCGGAATCGATTACCGCGCGAAAGTTTTCGGATTTTGTGGATTGCAGGCAACCAAGTCTATCTTGTTTTGCAGAGCTTAACTGAAAAAATAAATAGGTGTAGGTTCTCAGGAAGAAAAAAAGGAAAATCTTTTGATAACCTAGAATGCAGGAATAAGCAATTTATATGGCTCCTTTTTATTGCTTGAATCATTTCGGTTATAAGATAATATGTTCAGCTTAATTATCTTCTTCTTCTTCCTACGCCTTTGTACCGCTTGAGCGGCGCCCAAGTCGATTAGCCGAGGTCCTATCTTGATCAGTGATAATCAGTGGACTGGCTCGAGTGACATATCCGTCCTTGTATGTGACGGCTGGGGATTATGAAGCCGTGGTTTCCCACTACCAACATTTCTTAAACCCCTTGGTTGGGTCGAGTCGGGGATCGAACTTGTGACCCTGTGGACCGTAGACAGGCACACAACCTGTTGTTCTACGGCGCGCCCCTAATGTTCAGCTCGAGTAAAACTTTTAAAAAGGATTGAATATTGCGTATTTATTTCCGCAACTCTCAAGTTATTATCGAAAAACTGAAAGAAAAGCCCTAGAAGTGCACATAGTTCTTTGCTCGTAATTTGAAACGTCGTTAGTATTCATAGAAATGCAAAACGAGTATTGGAACGCAGTTCAAAACTGAAATACGCAAAAGCCTTCAGTTCTGAAGATAAAATAAAATAATTCCTGAAACTCAGAACCACTGAGTTCTAATCAACTAAAAGGAAACTTTTAAGAACTATCACACTTCTGAGTCACCTGTCCAACTCTTTGAAGTTGTCTCCCATCCGGTCTTTCATCTATTTCCCATTAAACCGACGTCTGGGATGGCTCTTCCGGTTAGGGATTATCTTCAGATGCGTTCACTCTTTCTTTTCCCAAAGTACTCTTTTGTTCTTAATTACTTTGCTCTATTGCTAACTTTCGAAAGAGGAACCTAACGTCGAATTCACTATCTGAAGAAAGAATTTCGAAAAAATAGGCTTCAAGTAAAAAGGAAACAATAGAAAAACATATAACTGACAATCATAAATCTTTATTTTAATCTAGCACGAATAAATTAGGTTCCTGATTCATTTTTCTGAAAAAAAGTAACTCATCAAAAAAATTTCCAACAAGTTACCATATTAAAAACAGTAAAAAGACTTGAAAAAAAGTAGTCTCTGGCCGCTAAAAGTCCTCTCTTTCTTTCTTTTTATAATTAACTTCATGCCTTATTTGATGCCCAAAGGGATAAACTTTTTCAAATTGAGAAACATCCAAAAAACAAGTAAAAACGGGTCAGTTTTCATCTGCCTCTCTCATTTTTTCTGTAACCTTTTTTTGGTTCACATTATTTTTTTTCCTCTCTTATGAACTGTATCCAGCCTGTTTTTCGCTTTAAAAAAAGAGGAAAACCACCGAAAAAAAATGTATAGAGCGTGAGGGTTACTTTTGAATCCTTAACTAATTTCAAATTGACATAAAACACAAACCGCGTAGTTTTTGTTGGTAGAGAGGAACTCCTGCGAGAAAACATCTACCATTTTCCTGCCAATCCAACGACCCTTGGCATGGCTTCTGTAAACGGCCCAATATGGAGAAAGGTGTCGGACTCCTGAAAATTTCGTTATTAATAGGAGAAAAAAGGATAGAACATTACCGTCAACTATTTTGAAAGGAACATTCATTGGAAACTCTTCTTCCGAGTCCTTGCCGTGTTTACGTCTTTTGGCGATTGGGATTTCGTCTTCCCTTTTTTCGTTCTGCAAACAGAGCTCGAATAATATAATATATAGACTGCCTAAAAAAAAGTAAAACATAGTTTATGCTCACTTTTTCATGTGTTCTCTTCTTAGAATCCTTTTTTTCGCCTCCACTTTGTGCACGGGTAGAAGGTTGAGATGCTTCTTCACTCATTCACATGTAACTCTGAAACAATATTTATTAGACCAAAAGAAAAACACCTAAATAACCTAATTAGTTTTCATTTCACTTCATTTTCGAAAAAAAAAATTAATGCGGTATTTTTTGAAAACAATAATTACTAATCATGGGGGCTCACAAATGGAGAGCAGCCGGTTCAACATTCTTTTTAAACATGCAGAAGTCTGGGGAAATTATCTTCATCTTTCTGAATTCAGTTATAAGATTCAAATATTTGCGCATATAGTAACTTTCTAACAACAATTTCATGTTGCGATTCCGCTTTAAAGTATCTTTATAGCTAATTTTTACTTCAACGGCGGCTTATAACCTCTTTTCACAAACGCATGGTGGGTTAGCACAGAAATCTGGCTTTTTGTCTTGATAAACATCATGTTTAAAATCATCAAACGAATACCTTATGAAACACGGAAATCAAAAAAAAAAATGAGTATTGTTTTAAAACTTTTTTTTTAAATTTCAAGCACAGTTATGCTCGTTAGAGCGCAATTTCATCAAAAAACACGCGGGAGTTCAAAATTTCTTTTTATGTAAGAAAAACTTTCAAAACTAAAACCTCATCTTCAATTGAATTAGTCAAAGACAGAAAACAGTCCTGAGGTCTTTTTGTTTGAAAAAAAAAATGGATAGAACAACCTTGCTCAAAAAGTATTTCATATCTGGCCCCTGGACTCTTTTACAGAGTTCCCCTCACGAAGTATTTTTGATAGAAATGAATATTGGCAAGCGAGGGAAGTCGGATTATTTTTGAACCTCCGACGTCCCTTACTTTTTTATTTTCACAGGATAACATGAGAAGCCCTTTCATCTAGGCGTCTGCAGTTCTATGTCGATTTGCTTAAACAATCTCAAATTGGCCTACAAACGAATCCACACAATCACTATCTGCACAAACTTGTAGTTTTAGTGAAATAAATTCTCAAAGTTGAGGAATTCGACTTTCAGTCCTAACTCTGTCTAAAGCGCGAAATTTAAAAATTCCTAGTTCTAAACTAGAACTTTGCGCGGATAGCAACTATGTGGGTTCGATTCCCAGTTCATCGAAGATTTTTTGAGAAAATTTAAAGGGAATTTTAAAAAGTTTGTGAAGACGATTCGAAATGTGAGAAGAAAAGTTTTGAAAGATCGTTTGGTGCTTTTTCTGGAGCTACTAATGGATAGTTTCACTGAGTTTCTTTAAATTCATGATTAATCAATAAATGTTTTATTAATATTCTCAACCGTGGCTTTACTAAACTCAAGGTTCCTCCTTTAGAACCTTCTGTTACATAATTTCTTTTTTTTTGTGGTCCTATCTAGAATTTTCTGCAGCGCTTTTTGTACAAAGACCCCAGTACGTTGAAAGAAGCAGCAGCAGATGGCAAATGTCGACCTGAACCCAAATGTTTTGGTATGCGGCCGAGAAGACCAAAACTCGATTAAAGCCTTCTTTCCGGGGCACGTTGTTCATTCAAACGCGATAAACTCTTTTTAGTCTGACTCTCTTTTCAATTTTTCACACGTTTCGTGGAAACTTTGATCAACCAGATGAGATATTTCCGCAGTTGCAGAATTCGCTCGAAATGTCAGAGGTCAATCCGCCGCCGATGATGTTCTGCAACGCGTGTCTCGGATCCACAGATCCAGAGTACCAGGTTGTTGAACGTCATTATTAATTTCTCACAAGCACTTTTTTTTTCAGCAATGCCTGAAATTTTGTTGGAACTTCGCTGAAGTGCACTTTAGAGTCTCCTGATTACAAACCAAAATAGATATTTCTCGCGATAGATCATTTTTTGAGTTATGACATCTTGAAACCTTCGAAGAACTCTGTTTGCTCTTACTTCTAGAAACTTGCGAACTTCGGAAGTCAATTCGAACATATTTCTATTGCGAGTATTCTTATCTTTTTCTGAAATCCGGAGGTGCTTCAGCAAAGCTTCAATAAAATGACCCCAGGGGCTGAAAAAAGTTCCCTAGTTAGTTCAAAAATCTGCAATTAACAAAAGTAGGCAACTTTAGGAACTATGTCAATTTAGAAGAGGAACGCGTTCAAGAATACTTTATACATGTTGAGTTTTGCTTCTCTTCCTGTATTTATTTGACTTATTGATCTCAATTTGCTCGTCAGTCACTCAATACGGAACCTCATCACTTGTCTTTGGACACCACTTGTTCAGACTTACAATCTTTTCGTGTCGGGAATCGTCCTTGCGGTCGTCGGCCTCGTCGGTTTGATCGGCAACGTTCTTGTCGTCAAGACGTATTTACACTCAGAACAGAGGGTACCCAGAAATAGGACTTCGCAATTTCGATTGAGCAGTTCAGATACACTCTACTTCGATATATTTGGCAGCTCTAGGAGCCTCGGACTTCTTCTTGGTCCTGACAGCGATGTTCCTTTTTGTGCTCGAAGCATGGCGCCATCATGACCATCCTCGTTAGTTCTATCAGAAAATTATCCTCTTCAAACTGCAGTTTCAGTTCTGGCGTGGGCCTACGTTATGGGAGCGCCGGTGGTTTTTCCAGTGGCAGCCATTTTTCAGACGAGTTCCGTTTACCTTTGCGTGGCCGCCGCTGTCGACTGCTTCATCATAGTCGTGCTACCAGAATCTGTCCGGCAGCTCTATTGTACTCCCAGGTTCTTCACTTCCTTTTTGACTTACCAATCTGGAAAGATCTAGTTTAATATTATGTAAGATAAGGCGCAGACTTGTTCTGCCCCATTTGGGTTTTTTTTATTGAAGTTAAATTTAAAAATAGAAAAGTTGATTAATTTCCTGAACGTGTTCAGACGAGCAAAAGGTTACATGCTGCTGCATCGTCGCCTTCTGCGTCATTTACAATATCCCGCATTTTTTCGAGCTGGAAAAGGTATGAATCATACTCCGTACGACACTCAGAAGTTCATCACAATTTTTTTCGACTTTTTAAAATTATTAAAATAAAAAAAGATCCAAAAACTGCCGTATTTTTGAGGGAAATATCTACTTTATAACCTTTTTTGATACAAAAAACTTTTTCATAGCGAGAGTCCCTTATTAATCTTTTTCTCATACTTTTAAGTGAATAAAATCAGTTAAAAGTAATTGAAAAATCGGAAGTTAAAATAAATTTTATACCACATTTTTGTACATTTAAACCACGTTCTTGGTTTTTCAAAAACTGAAACAGTACGAATTTTCTCCGCTTTGTTTCAAAGATCTGAAAAGTGAATCCTGACGTGAAGATGGTGGTTGAAGTGAAGACGTGCTTGCAGGTGGCGTGCGTCGATGGCGCGACGAACGAACTGTCGGCACAAATATGCCCCACCGACATCCGTCTAGACCCCGCCTACTACGCCATTTACTATACATACATGTACACGACGTTCTTGGCCATCGGACCTCTGTCCCTTCTAATTCTACTCAATATTTGCGTTGTCTTCACAGTTCTCACCAAAGGATCTGGCGACGGAGGTCTGCAAACGAAAAAGAAAATGTGGTTCAGTACATGAAAAAACTCACGAGCTCTTTGGAAAATAGAACCGTAAATGAGAATTTCTGCGATTTCCAGTCTCGTACCGAAAAGCGCCGTCAAGACGTGAGTCCACCCTAACATTAAATATCTGAATTCCCGCTCAAATTTCTTACTAGGGAACTACTCGGACTCGGGTACGAGTTTCGAGTTGAAACTTTGCTGGCTTATAGACCCGGGTAAGAGTACTCGAAAACAAGAGAGATTATCTGCTAAACCCCATAGGCTTCTGAGAAAAAGCTTTTTGAAAATGAACAGTTTAGGCTTGAAAATTATCAAATTTTTGTTTTCCTCCTTCTTTTGGCTGGAAAAAGATTTTTTAGAGTTTATCATAACCGGATCATTCGAGGCGATCGTATTAAAATATAAAATAAGCTATAAAGTAGTATTCTGAAAATTTTCAGGCCTAATTTTCACATTTTCTACTAATTTTTTCTCAGTTCTCTATCGGGTTTAGCAGATATTCTCACTTGTTTTCAAGTATTCTAACTTCGGTCTATAAACCACTAAAGTTTCAACTCGAATCTCGTACCCGAGTCCGAGTAGTTCCCTAGTTAGACCTTCGTGATATATTATTGAAAAAAGTCCGAAATATCTGAAAACAATAGCAAAACGAGTAACCGAAATAAAACAGTGAATGGATCACTATATGTATGAATAGGAACAGTCTGATTCCTCTATAATCTCCGTTTCCTTGTCGAAAAAAACTGGATTTTTCGAAGTTGCAGCGCTTCCTCAAACTGTTCTTTTTTCCGGCTAAACACTAAGTCCAGATCAAAAATGAACACTTTCAGAAGACGACACGATATCGCTAATTCTCGTCGTCTTTTTCTTCATTTTCTGCAACTTTACAGCCTTGCTAGTCAACTTTCTTGAGATCATCTTCAATGACCCTGTGAGCCAATCATTCTGAAAAACAAGAGACCAACTTTTTCCAGAACATGTTGGTCTACTTGGTTGATCTCTCCAACTTGCTCGTTGTCGTCAACGGAACGGCCAACTTTTTCTGTTACTTCATTTTTGGAAGCAGCTTCAGGAACACACTCAAAAAGGTTGATTGCTTTTATCGCCTCTCGGAATCAACAAGTTTTGCAGGTTGTGTTCGGAAAGAACGGCAAACGTGGAAAACTATGGGTGGCCGCCGGAGAAGCCCAGTGTTCGCAGCAGAGCCACACTATCATTTGAATGTCGGAATTATTCCTGATTCCGTTGATTCTAACTTTTAATGTACGCTAGAAGATTTTGATAGTCGTGTATAGAACTTTTAATTTGACAAACCATCACTGATAAGTTAACTATATCGAACTCTTCCTTAAATACTGAAAACGGATTTATTCCTTTTCCAACTTCTCGTTTATTGAAATGGTATCATTGGTTCCGGGTACACTGAAAAGCCGAGTTTTTCTTTTTCTACCAGTGAAGATGTTTTTTCTAAGCATGTCTTTGATTTTCGAATGGCTGATAAATTTGCTCAAAGATTTGACACAACACAAAAAATTATTTTCGCCATATGTTTAAAGACTTGTCTAATTTGGTAATAAGAACTTATAAAAATAAATAAAACACCGGAATTTTATGAGAGACAAGAAAAAATTTCTCTCGGGTCTATTCCGAATTTATTTCAAGACGCAAAAGATGTCATCGACGATTATTGCTTTTTGGATTAAATTATGGAGACAGCTTTTTCTTTCCAAAGTTTGATTGGGATCCAGGAAACACGTTTTCTAGTAAAATGTTCAATTGATCTTGGTTTTTTTCATCTAATGCTGTACACCCGGAACAAGGGGCAAAAGACAAAGAAAGCTGCGAGAAGGCCTCCCAAATTGCGTTTTCCAACAAATTCGCTCGAATCAACTTCGTGTCTTCCCTTGTTTAGAAATTTTAGACACTTGCGGAGCTTTAAAAATCCAACAAAGGTCCTGTGTCAGTTGCTGTTATTTTGTTGTTAATGAGCCTTTCCGAGAAATTTCGATTTTTTAGAAGTTAATTTTTTGAACTAGTTTATCACAGGAGTCGCTTCTAAAATGCAATAAAACTTTGGTCAATTCCTAGGTGTTTTTCAATTTTCTATGAAAAGTTTTATTGGCGGATTTCGGCGTGGTCCTCTAGAACCGCTTCAAAAAGAATGCTAGCGAATGATTAAGCAGTTGTTTTCGCCTCGTTATTTATTTCGTTCCCAAGCCTTTTTGAAATTCTCTGCAATTTTTCTCTTTATGCGGCTCTTCGAATTCGCGTCGACCTTCAAAATTCCACAGGCTCCATCTCATCAAGGACAAAGAATTCCCTTCTAATAAGCTCAATCGGGGCACGTTTTCTCCGTTTTTCTTCTTTTCTTTTTGTCTGAACTCTGTAAGAAAAAAAAAAGAAAAAAAGGAAAGTATTTGGCGAATAGAAATAGATTTCGTAGCGGATTCAGAGGAACCCTACGTTTTAGCTGTACTTTTCTGAAATGGAAGTCAGAGATCCAGGCCGCCAGCCCCCAAGGAGCCGTTTCGCGAGAACTTCTCCAAGTTCTTTTATGTTCCCTGTCGATTCTTCGCTGAAAAAGACCAAAAAGGTTGTACGGAGATCTTGGGTGTTCCAAGCGAAGTTCGTACAATCGCTTCCTTTCCATCAATAACGATGCAATTTTCATACGCTCTTTAGAATCATTTGAGTAACTTCGTTGCGACGCATCTTATTGAAATAAGTTGCATTCCAGGCCTTTTTGAAAAACAAAAACTTTTTTCAAATGTTTCGAAAATCGAGGATCAAAATCCAGGACTTGTTCTGAAAAGTGTCCGAACCTGTCGGTTTCTAACGATCCAGCTCTCTTCTTACGAGTTGGGCTCTGCGGACACGTTGCTCGGCGCTGTGTTTCATGTGTTTTTAGTGTTTCCCCACCCATCTGTTCGCCGTTTTTCCGTCTTTTCCTGTGACCGATGGCCTGGGTGGTGCACTTTAATCCATTATAAATCCGTTCCAAACTTTTTTATCTTTCTCTTTGTTCTTATACCGCTTGATCTCAACATTTCAGCTTCATTTTATAAACACCCTTCATGGATTGAAGCTTAAAATAAATGTAAGTATGCGTAGGGACCGCAGACGAATTTTTCAAAAAATTTTTTCAGCATTGAGTTTTGTATGGTTTGATAGCTGTTTCGATTCAAAAACTCAGAACCGTTTATTTTTTTCAAAAAAAGATTGAGGATGAAAAAGTTATGACGGAAAAATGTGGCGCGCCGCGCACCATTTTTTTAGAACTGAAATTTTGGTATTATATAGTTTTGAAATTTTTCTCAATTTTTCTTCTAGAACAAGTTTTGATACTGGTCTATTATGATGTAAAAAATCATAATAGAGTGCTAAAATGATGCTCATCAGCTAGTTTGCCGAAAAAGTCAGTATTTTCCAGAAAACAAAAAACTGACGCTTGCGGGCACCGAACTCGCGACCTCAAATTGAAAAATCGCAGCGCACGCGCTGCGCCAAGCTGTTAGGTCTAGCGAGGGGAGTTTCCATCCGCCATATCCTTGAGCCGTTTGAATAGCACAGATTGCCTATTTCAAAAAGAAAATTTTGAAGTAATTTAGCTATTTTTATCAGAATATGTTTGCAAATTTTTTTCTCAAACTTTTTCGTGGAAATTCACTTCGAAAAAAACTGTTTTTTTCAGTGCTTTTTTTGCCTCTTTTTAACGATCGCTGCATTAAAACGGCCCCGTAAATTTTTTTGGCAAAGACGAATTTTTTTATTTTTATTCTTTTTAATTGAAAGATTTTTTTACTAATAAATGTATATAATCGTTTGAAAAAAACCTGCGTTCGACCGCTTTCTGTGTGATAAACGCCGCTAATTTTTATTCTCTATTTTTCAAGAGCATTTTTTTGCGTATCAAACAACTTTTTCAAGCACATATTCTGTAGAGAAAAAAATTTAAGTAAGCCCATGGTCTAAATTTTGAAAAAAACAAAAAGCTCGATTATATTCGCTTATTAACGATATTTTGAATTATGACTTTCGGCACTCCCTAAAAATTTTTTTGGCAAAGACGAATTTTTTTATTTTATTGTTTTAAAATTACCGTTACTTAAATCAAAAATCATTTTTATAAAAAAAGAAAAGAGTGCGTTCGACCTGAAAACACATGAAAAAGCAAAAAAACGACAAAATTTTTTTAGTTCCATTCACGTTTTTTTGTACGACATTCCGCGCGAACGCATCAAAAAAAGCGTGAAATATTTTTTTAAACGAAAGAGGAAGCTTTTTTTGTACATGTGTGCCAAAATTTATTATCTTTGTTCCACATATTTTTGCAACTACAGCAAAATGAAAGTTGAAAACCAAAAAGCCACTTTTTTTCTATCGCGAAAAGGGGCGTGGCTTTGCGGTCCCTAAGTATGCGTAATAAAGACGTAGTTTTCGAAATTGAAAATTTTGATTTAACTTCTTAGACTGATCAAAGAATATTTACTTCGAAAGAAATTTCCGATTATATTTTTAAAAAAACGACATAGAAAACAACGTACGATGAAATCTAAACGGTTTCGTGTGAAATGAGAAAATTCCGCCTTTTCAAAAGTTCTTGCTGGAAATTCAGAGACCTCAAATCTAAACGCCTACTTTTTTGGCTGAAAATTTTGCTAATAAGATTTTTCTACGGTGAAAGAAAATTCGAGGCTCGAGAAGTCTACCATATCCTTGATAGACCTGAGTAAACTTTCTGGAAAAGACTTTCCTCTTAAAAGAGCAAGAAGAGATGTCGTCCCTTCTCCTTCATTTTTCGAATTTCTATACTTTTGAGAAGATATAGTCAAATTCAACATGATAATAACTACTTTCGAATAAAAAAAATGTCGTTTCTGACTTCAATCTTTCGAAACACTTAGAAATTCTTCACAAATTTGTTCAAACTTTCTTTATTTTTGATCCAGTTTCCATTTTTCAAATGAATGAAAATTGAATCAAAAGTTTTTGGTTCTTTTCTCGCTGAAAAAAAACGTTTCGGAAGAAGTTTTATGAACGGTAATGAAGAATATATGTTGAAGGCAAAAGAAACATTGAGAAAAAAATAAGAAGATTAATATTGAAAAGAAATTCCGATGAGCTAGACAAAATTTTGAAATAGTATACTGAGCAGGAGGAGTTTCTTCGGAAGTCTGATTTATTGTTGACTAAAAGTTTGTATTTAATTGAATCTGCCTAAATTTCGCAAAAAGAATAATGAGTATCTGAGAAAGAGCTTCGAATGCACATTTGGGCGATTGAGTCAAAAAGGAAAATTGTACAAAAAGACGAGAGCGGCCGCCTCGATAAGGCAGGGAAAGCCTCGGGCCTTGCTCGGCGACAGAGTCTTTCTTACACACGGCGGAATGAGCCATCCGTCAGAGCCGTCCGCCGAGAACCCAATCGATTATCTCGACGCCCTGGGATCCACCAAATCTCTTATCGCCTACCAACCTTATCAACTGCACTCCCGGGCTGTCCTCAACATATGGCTCTACCGTTTTCTACTCTTCCTTCACCCTTTTTGAATCTAATCGTTGCTCTTCTGAATAGTTTCCGCGGCGAGCCTATAAAACAGAACTAGAAAAGGCACGAAATTAAAATATTCCCGATTTGAGCTCCATTTTCCTTAGCTTCCATTTTATGAGTTCAGACTGATCCTTCAAGAAATGAGTACATTTTGAAAGTTCACTCAAAATTCGAACTCTTTATATTCAAAGTCATGATCCCTTGCAAAGTTTAAAGACTCACGTGGACGACGCCCAGCACCTTTAATTGTTGCCAACATCCACAGCAGATTTCTCTGAACGCTTCTCTAACCCAAAGTTATAGCTCTTTTTGTTGGTCTGTAACTGTTAATATATCATATTTTCAAAAGTCGGAACGATTAATTAACAAACTTGTAATCTCAGAAAATTTTGCCTCGTTCATCTAACTTCCTTTCTTTTTTCTCATTTTTCAATGCCTCGCAGATATCCAAAAAAAAAAATCCTATTCTGAATATATTATTCAAGTTGCATCAATTTTTTAATATCTTTGTTTTTCACTACATTTCTGTACACAAACACTTTTTTCTAAATTAATTCGATCAAGTCTGAGAAGAAAGGCTGGCTTTAAAAAAAAAGCTGTCACATTTCATCAATTCGGCATAGCGTTTCAGTGTTCATTTGACTTTAAGCCGCACGTTTTTTGAATCAGAATAAGAAAAGAATTCACAAAATATGTTGATTATTTGTGTTTTTAGACTGTTGAAGCTACAAAAGTTGGAATCATAACCTATGTGATTGTTAGCGCCGGAGTCACTCCAGGAAGGTGAATCTGAACAAAGAGAAACAAGAAGAACTGGTCTGTGGCGAAAGGACCACGATTGAAAAGGAGGAACTCAACGGCCAAGCGCCTCGAGATATGAGGCCTGACGATGGCCCAGGTATCTAATGTTCGAAAGTAGTTTGGAATGAACTGTTTCAGAGAACGGACCGAAGTCGTCGAGTTCAACCTCGAGAGAAAGGATATTTGGCGTTCTCGCGCTGTTATTTTTTCTTCTTTTTATCTTATTGTTAGCGGCAGGTCTTTATTTTTATCTGACACATACTGTCGCCACGGATATTTGCCTTACACCAGGATGCATCAAAACAGGTGATTTATGAGAACTGCAGAAATCCTTCCCAATCATACTCTTTTTGCAGCATCCGTGATACTGTCTTCTATGAACTCAACCGTCGACCCCTGCACGGATTTCTACGAATACGCCTGCGGTCAGTGGATTCGTGGACATCCGATTCCTGACGACGCTCCGAGTGTATCCAACTTCGAGAACTTGGGTCAAGATCTAGAATTTGCTCTTAAAGGTGAGCCGCTCAAAACCAAGTCTTTTCGTCGCACAAAAGCGACGACTTGGGAATGCAAAACCGTTTTGCAAGAGGTTCTCTAATACAGAAATTCAGCGAAATAAATTGAAAAAAAAATCAAAGTTTTACCTTAGAAAAAAACTTCCTATAAGCATAAGGAACTAAAACTTTCAACGAATTAAAAATAGCGAAAAATTATTTTCTCCTCAATGAAAAGTGATAATAAGGAATTTTAAAGTAAATTTCTCACATGACTGGAAAAAATCCTAGACAACAACATAATAGACGCTTATATCGAAAAACTATAGTTTCTTTTTTTGAATGATAAAGGAATCTATAGAACTGCTGGAAAAGAAAGAACCTTCGCTGGATTCGGCAACGAGCGCCGTCGCCAAAGCTAAGCACTTCTACAGGCTCTGTTTGAATGAGTGTCCGTTTTCCTTTTTCATCAGGTTCTCATCAATTCCTTTCTAGCCGAAATAGTGGACAACTGGAGGACGACTTTCGACGAAGTTATAAAAAGCTTCGGCGGCTGGCCGAGTCTCGGATCTCCCATGCCTCCTGACGTCAACATTGAGAAGCTTTATGGTTTTTTGAATCTTATCGAAATTCCAACTGCATTCAACACGATTATAGGATTGATGGTAGCGAAGTTCAAAGCCGATTTTCTGTTCAAAGCTACCGTACAACCCGACGACAAGAACTCCCAGCGACACGTCCTATTGGTAACTTTTCCTCAAAAATGTCATCATAATTAAAAAACCTTTCTTTTGCAGATTGATCAACCAACATTGAACCTATTTGCTCGTGATTTCTACGTTCTTGCCGAGAACGAAGAACGTCTGGCGTATCTCACATTGATACGGTAGGTGAACCTCTGAATAGCATTTCTCTTTGGTCAATTATCCTCCCACTTAGCGGAAAATCTCAAAACTTCAGTGATGTACTGGTGCTTCTGAACGCGAGACCTGACGTGGCAACCCGTGACGCCGAAGAAATAATCGAGTTTGAGACTGCCCTGGCCAACGTTCGGCCTCCATCGTTTCCTATGTTTCCTGGGCTTTTGTAGATTACAATGGCTGATGAGCAAAGACACGACATCGCCGAGTTGTACACAAAAGTAACATTGGGCGAGATGCGGCGAAAACTTCCGAACTTCGACTGGTTTTCCTTCTTCAACCACATCTTCCATGACATCAAAAACACAGTGAGTTTGAGTCAGAAGTGATCAAAAAATCAAAGAGAACATTTTGCGTTGATGTTGTTGATGAACATATACTGGAATGCTCTTTTAAAAAAGAAAAAACTAAGGACGAAATCCTCTTCGAGTTGGGTTTCTTTCAAAAAATAAGGAGCTCGCACCACATTTTCAATAAAAGAGGAGTACCTGGAAGTTATATGGAACTTATTCTGGTGTTTGCTTTGGTACCAAATCTGCAAAAATATTTTTTTCTGGACTCTACTTGATTTTCTTTCAGAACGGAGAGCGGATAACGTTTGATGATAGCGCCGAAGTTGTAGTCTACGGATTCGAGTTCCTACGGCGACTCGACCATCTTTTGCCCAACTACGACCGGAGGTTCGAACATTTTTCTGTGACTGACTCCTTCTCTTCAGGAAGATCGTCAACTACATGCAGTGGTGCTGGTTCTTCAAGACTATGCTCCGTGATCTCCCTGACCCATTTGCTCTCACAGTCTTCAAGTTCTACAAATCTCTCAATCGTGGGTATTTCACCAATCAAAAGCGAATCTGATGCTTTTAAATGAAACATTTATGTTTCTTTCTAGTTATGAACGTGCAAAAGGTTCGATGGCACGGTTGTGTCACCAGAATCAACAGTTTGATGCCGATGGCGACGTCGGCCATCTACGTCAAAAACCACTTCGATCACGAAGCCAAACAGCAGGTTCTCTTTCCCAAACTATCCAGCTCGATTTTGAAGTTTCAAAGAATTTTTTATCTCAAAACTTTTTTGAAAAATCACTAAACTTATTGATCGGAGATCATAATACACTGCGACGCATAATTATAGACTCACCCTTATTTCTCCGAATTTAAGAAAGTTTGAAAAACTTTCAGGCACCAAACTTTTTTTGTGATAAACCTTGTTGATAAAGAACATAATCATATCATAATTATCAATCACCCAGTTGAAAAGTTTTTCAAGATACGAGAAAATCTGATTTTTGACCGACGCAGAATTATAGACCCACCCCAGAGTTTTCCGAGTTTCCGTTTCCGGAAACACGTTTTTCCTGTTTTTTTCCAGTGGTATATAAGAGAAAAGTCCTCGTGTATCACTATAAGCCATAATGCCTGAATCTACTCAACTTGATAATACCGAAAAAGCGGTAATCGATGCTCTACTCACAACGGCTTGTCCCATCGGGAAATCGCTCGTCAAACGGGTCGCTCAAGACGAACTATTGACCGTTTATGCAAGGAATCCGCAAGAATACGGCACAGCAATACATTCTGGACGGCACAGGCTGCTATCGGTTCAAGCTGAACGAGACGTCTGTCGAAAAGCATCAAACTCTACGAAGTCCGCCAACCAAATCAGATCCGAAATTCCTGAAAACGTCTCGAAGGACACCATCTTACGAACAATTCATCGGTCCGGTCGACTTGTGAATACTCCAATGAAGGCAGCACCTCGTCTACAGCAACGCCATTAGAATGAACGGCTCGAGTTTGCACGCTCTAACATGGCCACGGATTGGAATAAGGTATCAATGTTTTCTATCACCTTATGATTCCCAATTTTTCTGTTCAGATCATCTTCAGCGACGAGAAGAAATTCAACCTTGATGGGCCAGATGGGTACGCTCACTACTGGAGAGATTTGAGGAAAGATCCGATGTAATTATCCAAGAGAAACTTTGGCGGCGGCAGCCTCATGGTTTGGGCGGCTTTCTGCGGGAACGGGACGGTAGCTCTTTCTTTTATTGGGACCAGAACGAATTCGCAAGACTACCAGCAACTGCTTGCCCAGCATCTCCTGCCCTATCTCCGTCGCCTACGACGTGCTAATATGATTTACCAACAAGACAATGCATCTGTTCACGCGAGCAACTCCACATTGGCTTGGTTTGCGGCCAATAACGTGGTTCTTCTGGACTGGCCCGCGTGCAGTCCTGACCTCAACCCTGTAGAGAATTTATGGTCAGTCCATGTACGAAGGGTCTACGCGAATGCCAAGCAGTATACAACGGTCAACGATCTGAAAAGAGCGATTCGTGCCGAGTGGGATGGTTTGAACAAGTCACTGCTGCAATCACTCGTTGGCAGCATGCCGAACAGGATTTTCGAAGTCGCTCAGAAACAAGGAGGCATCACACATTATTAATTAATCTTTTTGTTATACTTTGTTGATTTGTGAAATGAATTTTTGTTGATTACTTATAGTGGGTCTATAATTCTGGGTCGGTTAAAAAAATCAGATTTTTCTCGTATCTTGAAAAAAACTTTTTCAACTGGGTGATTGATAATTATATTATGATTATGTTCCTTATCAACAAGGTTTATCACAAAAAAAGTTTGGTGGCTCAAAGTTTTTCAATCTTTTTTTAAATCGCGGAAATTAGGGTGGGTCTATAATTATGCGTCGCAGTGTAGTAATTACCTTGGTAAAGTGGATTGAGCTCATTTCTGAATTTTAATTTCGTGCTAAAAGTCTGGACTCTTTCGAGGCGCAGGATTGTTCCAATATCAATAGTAGCATCGAAAAACAACACTAAAATAGCACTGGACCTTGTTTTTGCAGGTAGAAGAGATGATCTCCTTGATCATGGAATCTTTCGTCGACTTGCTGCTCTCGGAGGACTGGCTCACCGCTGAAACGAAAAAGTTTGCAATTCAGAAGGTTTGCTCGGATATCTTTAACACTTGTTATTTTTATTCGCAAATAGAATTTTTAGAAAAAAGGAATCACTTTTATACAAAGCAAAAGGGTTATTGAGGTGAACGAAATGAAGCGCAAAATCGGCTATCCAGATTATCTGAACGACCCAGCGGCAGTCGACTCGGAGTACGCTCACTTCAAAGTTGGCGTTGCCTGTTGCAAGATGACATGAGGGTTCAGGTCTATCCAGATCACTACTACAAGACCAAATTCGACTTTTACGAGCAGTACCAACGCGACGTCTTGAAGCGAATCACGCAGCCAGTAGATCGCGAAAGGTTTTCTTGCACATTATCAATAAAACAACAGTAAACGGGTTCGAAAAGAATTTGGTTTGGAATTTATCCACTCAAAATCTGTCTAGCATTTCACCTTCTCAACCGGCAAACTTTCTCGAAAGATACTGCTATGAATAGTCAAAATCAATTCAAAAAAATATAAAGATTCGGACCTTTCACATGTTAGAAATCAACGCCGAAACAATTGTCCTCCACGAAGGCCGAGATTATCAAATTTGAGGCGAATAGAGAAAAAAAGCTGTTTTGAAATTTATTGTGGCAAAACTCGTGGAGCACAGACTATTTTTGGTGTCATGAGCTTGTGCTTTAGCTTTTGGAAAGACTTCTGATATCGTTTCTTGGGCTTTGTTTTCATATAAACTGGCACGAGCTAGAATTAATTTTTCAACTGAATTCTTTCTCCAGATAATGAAAAAAGCTATGCTCAGTTCTGGCCTAAGTTTTTTTTTCTCGCGGATGTTTCTGTTGGCACGTCTCATCCAATAGCTTCGTTGCGGCTATAAATTGGCTTCGTTCCCCCGTCGAACGAGGCCAATACTTGGTGTTGTCCTAATTGTTTACCGCATTTTCCAAAGTAGACGTGAAAAAGATTAGCTTCAAAATAGCAGTTCCAGGCTGAAGACTATTCACAGGAAATCAAGTCGTTTTCTATGTTCACTTGATGTCTCTAATTGACCCCGAAATCAAATTGAACCATTATTAATTGTATTTTTTTTTATCAGAACTGGTAGGGATCTCTCACTGAAAACCACACTGCGTATTTTGATGAAAAAACTTTCCCTCATCTTTTGAACTTTGCAGATGGGTTGCGGGTGCGGCACTCGTGAACGCTTTTTACAGTCCTAATACCAACGAAATAAGTTAGTATTTTTTATAAAATAGAAATTTTGAGATTTTTCTTCAGTTTTTCCGGCGGGAATTTTACAACCAGTGTTCTACAGCAAGGACTTTCCCTCGTCGATGAACTTCGGCGGCATAGGCGTCGTTATTGGCCACGAAATAACTCATGGATTCGATGACCGAGGTTCTAACTCGAGCGTAATCAAAAGATGAAGCTGACTTTTTTGAGGAAGACTCTACGACAACTTGGGAAACATCCGTCAGTGGTGGGACAACGCAACTATTTCGAAGTTCGAGCACAAGGTTAACTATCAAATTGAAACTTAGCTGGAATAAGGTTTTCAGGCCGAGTGCATCGAACAGCAATACTCGAGCTACGTGCTTGACCAGATAAAAATGCAGATCAACGGGAAATCCACCAAAGGAGAGAACATTGCCGACAACGGCGGCTTAAAACAAGCCTACAGGTGGACAGTGAGGCTTTTGTTTTTGCTGAAATCAGCTTCAGAGCGTATAAGCGCTACGAGGCCCAGCACAACACGCCGCCGAAACTTCCTGGAGTGAACCTGACACACGACCAGCTTTTCTTCCTCAACTACGCCCAGATCTGGTGCGGAACCATGAACGACAAGGAGGCCGTTCGGAAGCTGAGAACTTCAGAACACTCGCCAGGACCGATTCGGTAAGACATCGCCTCGAAATAACAAGATATTTTACTTATTTCACTTCCACCAGTGCAATACCATGCAGAGACTCTTTGGTCAGAACTGTTTCTGAAAATCTAAATAATAAACGTTGGCAATTACTATTCTGATTTTTCAGAGTGAAAGGACCACTTTCCAATTCGCTGGACTTTGCCAAAGCCTTCCATTGCGCGCCAGGATCACCAATGAATCCTAACCACAAGTGTCGCGTTTGGTGACCTTCCTTCTTCTTGCCACTTTTCGACCGTTTCTTCCCACTTATTTCCTTGTCATCTCGATCTATACATTGTGCACAGTACTCGGCCAGCATCTGCGCATCTTTATGAACTTTATTGCACTTAAAAATCCCTCATTTGTAAACACCTTGTTGAGAAATTTGAAAAAAATGATTTTCTATCTAACAATAAATCTTAAAATATTTACCTTCGTGCATGCAAAGAAAGTGCTAGCTCAGAAGTTACTTTGACCCCATCAGAGACCAAAAATCTTTCAGTTCGAAACATTTTAAAAACAACTAAATGTCCGTGTGAAATCTTCACTCGAAGTGGTCGCTCTCATTTCGAGGCTTCCACCTAGAGCACCGTCTCCGGGTCCCAGGGGTTCCAGGAGGCGACGCATGCATAAGAGTTTCTGAAACTTGCGAAATTATTTTCTCTCAGACCCACTTATGTCAGGGTATTTCTCATGTTAGCATAGCCGGCTCGTCACCTCCAGAGGAGGCGGACCTACGGTACGGATTGAACACGCGAGTGGGCGTGGTCGATGGCGACGCTTCCAAAAAAGATGCTCATTCGAAATTTGCGTGTGCGCGTCAAGCCATGATGTCCTTGCAACACGTGGTTCTTGCTCTGCTCGTCGTCGTCTCCGCGGTCGTCCTGCCCTCTGTCCAGGCTCTCCAGAGGCACCAGGTACTTTTCCATAGCTTTCAGAAAGTTTTTGTACTATCCTTTATAGACGCGCCAGATCTTCTTTCCATTACTTTTTGTTCTTTTACTTTCGCCTTTTTACTGATTCAAGTCAAAGTGGCGCCGATGATATTCTGTTAACTGAATGATTATAGTATCATCTTATCTTTCTGTGAAATTTTAAACACGCTAATTAGAGAATCTTTTTGGTTTTATGAATAAATAAGAAGGATAACATTCTTCTCCGACCTGGTCGACGTAAAAAACGATAGGGACAACAAAGCCTCATTCATTGAAAAAAGCGGTGGACCATTTTTTGAAGCAGAATTTTTGAACTTTTATCGATCAAATGAAAGGAAATTTAACAGAGAAGAGGAAGATAATTTCACTTTGTAGTTAGGAACTCACTAAAAACTGGTGTCAGAATACACCTTGTCGACTATATGAACAGCCTGAAATTCTCAAGCCTCCTAACTTTTTTGGTTGAACACTTCAAGGTCGAAGAAAGTCGTCAAAAACAGCTAAAATAGGTCATTTTGAGAATTTAAAGCCATATTTCTCGAAAACTGAGAAGTTTCGCGCTTCGATACTCTCAGGATCTTCAACTTCATCATCCAAAAGAAAGATTCTGGCCGATTTTTCAGAAATGCGCAGTCAAGAAGTAAAATCACCATTCCAGGGAGAACTTTGCATAATCTTCGCTGGCACTCTTTAATTATCTAACTTAACTTTCATACAACAATGAGAATTATTAAAGCGCTATGTTTTTTTCAACTAAATTGTTGTGAAAATTTAAATCGAGTTCCGAGTAAGGACTTTTTTTCTAGTGAAACTCTTTGCGTTTCTACAGCCTTTTTTTATAAATAAACATATTCCTTTTCTTCCTTGAAACTGGTCTATATTGATTTTTGTCTCATCAGGGTGAAATCAACAACTTTATACCATTGCTGAAATAAATCTTTCAAACACCCACCAAAACTCAATTTTTACTCTAATCGATGAAAATTTCATCTGTTTGGATTCTCTAATTGAAACCAACAAATTGGAAAACTTGCTAAATGCCAAACGCAGCCTTCCTCGAAACGTCAATTATTTTATAAAATTGGCTCTCGAATCGAAATGTCTACTTGTTATGCTTTGGCATAATCCAATTAAATTTCCCTTGTTCATGTTTACGATTCTTTTCTCGCCTTCTTATCATCATGAGTTTTATGTCTCTTCAAGAAATTTCGAAAAACAGTGAATATTATTTTTTTTTTCATTCTAAATGTGAATAGTTCTACATTAATTTGTCATGAATGAGTAGAGGCCATTTCTCACATGAATTGAAATACTTAATTTATCTCCAAATATTGAATCGACGCCAACAAAAGGATAAGTATGCATAAATTACTTTGCTTCTTTTCACTTAAAATTCAGAAGAAAAAAGGTCCAGCAGATTTTGAAAAATTAAAGAACTTTTTACCTCCTCAAAAAGGCCTCTAGAGGCGGACTTGTCAAACGGACCTTTTTGGATGAAAAATGTCGGTGTGACCTCTGGAAAACGCGGCCGAAATGGCGTGCCACACAGTCGTATGCCCCTGGCTGTTTCCTCTTTCGCCTAGAGAACCAATTTATTTCTGACGACCTCTCATAATTTCGATTATTCCTACGGTTATGTAACTTATGCTCACGAACGTTTGAAGGTTTTTTTGAGTTATTATCGAATAAATTTCACTGTGGCGGTGTATTTTTCCAGTTGAAATGTTTTCAGTTTTTCTAAGAAAATTGAAAACAAATTCACTCGCTATTTTTGACAAAAAAAATAATACCTTATCTGTTTTTTCAGATGATTTTGTAGAATAGGTCGGTGAACTTTTTTTGGCCTCAGTATTTGATATCCTGGAAGAAATAACTCATTCATGCTTAAGTTCCACGCTTTCGAGAAAATAAAATCTCGCTCCAAGTAACTTTTATAAAAAAAATGTTTAGAGAAAAATAAATATTTTTGTGTCTTTTTTCTTATTCTATTGAGTCCTAAATTTGACAAAAAAAGTAAAACAAAATTAAAAATGACTTTAGAATTCCATATTCTCATGCTCCTTTTTTTGAAAAAAATATGGAAAAATACAGAAGCCAAGATATTGGTATGAGAAATTTTTAATAATATTATTTATTTACAAGCAGAACAAAATAACATGTACAGAAAAAAAAAGAGAAAAAAATTGGCATTAAGCCTGAAATAAATAAATAAAATTTGATCAATATCGGCTTTGAACCTCATCTCTCAAGAATATTTTTTTCACAGCGAACAAAAGTAAAGCGAACGCAAAGACATAAATCGAACAAATTTTCAAAGAAATAAAGAGAACTGTTTTTAAAAGCGACTCGGACCTCGATAACGCAAAACGGACGCGCCCTGACTTTTCCGAGACGCTGTATAGTCTGTTCAGATTTTGAATGTCAAGCAGCTAACTCCACCCCCAAAGCTACAATATCTTTCGCGTCAATGTTTGATCTACAGATGACGATGGCCCTTTAATAAGGCTGCATTTTTGACTTCTTTTTCTATCTTTTAGATCAAAAAAGATCAAAATTAGTCCCGCGCGTTAAAACATCGACCCGAAAGGGTACCGTCTCAGCAGGGGCGGAGTTAGCTGCTTGACATTTAGAATCTGAACAGACTATAGAGGTCACTTGAGAGCGCTGACTCCGCTGGTAGTCTTTTAAAATGCTCAGAAACGTACGAGGCGCGACCGGGTTTGCATTAAAAATATTCACTCGGACATTGGTAACGCGAAACGGAAGTGCTCCGGACGTTTCTGGGCGATTCAAGGGATCACTTAAGAGCGTTAAGGCTACTAAAGTGGTCACTAGAAATGCCCCGACACGTCCGATTCGCGTCCCGTTCGCGTTACCAAGGTCCGAGCACCTTAAGGTCCGAGGATGAGTTTTGTCCATGGAGCAATTTTGCTGCGGAAACGAGATCGCGCGCGATCTCGTTTCCTGGGCTTTGGGCTTTCATTTTCAAGAAAAAGCTTGCTGGGCTTCAAAAAAAAAAATAAGCCGCCCGGCCTGATGCACAAGCATGATCGCGAAAATAAAAATGCATCACCGGCGCGGCTGTGAAGCAGTACTTCTGTAGTAAATTATGCTTCATTCCAATGATGAATATTATATTCGCAACACAGCGTTTTTTGTTATTACGCATGGTCAAGACTTCTCGTAAATTATGATGCTTAGAGTGTAAGCACACCGAGACGCACTATCGAACACTCGAAATTTTTTTTTCCAATTAACTCTTTATAAAGAAAGCTTTCCGTGAATCTTGAGAGAACTTTAGAGGGTGGTTCTTGTAATCCAAAAGCGGGTCCTGAACAGATCAAAACTACTGTAGTCGTACGATTTAGGGCGCCCGCCCCTGGTATTTTTTTTCTGCATTTTCTTTCACTGACAAGAACGCCGTGGCAAGCGACTTCGCTTTGATCTGAGTAGTTATTTTTAGTGGATATTTCTCTGTTAGTGCTCTGATTGAATTAATTCCTTTTTATATTTAAAAGCATAACCGTCTGAGTGATTTTTTTTTTCAAATTTCCATGACTTTTTGCTGCTCTTGAATCGGATCAATCCATAGGCGAATCGAGAAAAGGTTTCGCGAGACCCTCTGAGGTATATCTGAGGCTCTGAAGTCTTACGATGGTACCTCGAGGATACCTCTGAAGACTGAGCAAAACGAGATAGACTTGAGGGAATGCCTCCGAGATGGCTCAGATATAACTAAAAGGTATGCCGGAGGTCTCACGATGGACAAATTATGGGGTCTTCTCGATCCATTTTGAGAGGTACCTTCGTGGACACATTATGGTACCCTCTCGATTCGCCTGTGTCGAGATATGCTCTCTTCTTTTTTTTTTTGAAATGGCCACCAAATTCTGAAAAAGAGAAAGACTATTTTTCATCTATTTCGAGTTTTTTGAGAATCAATTTTATTTTGTCATATGAAAATTTCAGGATGCGACGCTTCTAGCAGAACCAGGCTACCGCTTCGAGGTTCTGACGTCAAAGAGAGACGCTCCTGGCTTCGGCTGGAACGATTGCGAGTTTTCGCCACTCAGCTGTCTTCTGCGACGGAAACGGGACGTCTCCGCAACGCTAGATCATCGAAAGTAGCCCTCTATAGTAACCATCTACAGTAACCAAGGACGACTTCTCGATCTTAACGTCGACGTAGCACACCTCAACTGGCGCGCACATTCCATCACTCAAACACATTGAAATACTTTTATTTTCCGACCTTTCTGTGACTTTTTTTCCTTTTTTTTTGTTTAAACTGACGTTGATGATTCCTGTGTTGTTCATTTAAAAAGCAGAGAAAATAAGAAGAAAAGTAATTATTTATCGCAAAAAAAAAATTTTGGAAATTTTGAGGTTATTATTTGCTTCAAAATAATCTTTATTCCTCGAAAAAAGTGTTATCGCCAATGAAACTCAATCATACCCGAAGGAAAAACAATAAAAAAGAAGGGAAAAAGTTGAAAAATAAATTTCTTTCAAAACCTACTAAAAGTAATATTGGAAACATCTTGGGGAGCCTGAGAAGACGTTTTCTTAGAACGCGAACTTCCGTTCCGAGCTGCTCTTTGTCGCAGGTTCTCGTAGGGGAGTTGATAACAAGAACAAGAAGCAATCTGGAAAGAAATACCGTTTCTGATTAGTAAAAGAAAAGGCAGTCGAACCGAAACGTTGTCGGAAATGGGGAGATGTCCATCAGAGTCCATGTCGTCAGGAGTTCGACCAACGCGGACTAATCCTTGAGATGCCAGGAGCGCTTCTCTGAACGGAATTTCTGCTGATTCTGGTCTAAAGAGTGGAAACGAACTGCTCGTCGCGACGTTCATCTTCTGTGTTCATCGTCAGAAAGCGCAGGACCAAAAGATTCATCGCCGCGGAGATGACCGTCAATCCGAAGATGATGAACACCAACGAGAACATTACGTACTCTGGCTGCGTTTGCAGAGCGCCATTCTTCTGAAGAGCCACGAAATCGCCGAATCCTGAATGTTCCACTAAAGTGTCAAAAACTTTCCATTATTTCACCAATAGTGGTAAGTGTTGTAAAGCAATAATAAAGAGAATCGAAGTAGGTCCAATGTTCGTATTTAGAAAAGGCAAAGGCTCCTGAAAAATGGAAAATATTGTGGCTCCCGCTTTCTCCAGAAACCTGCGGCAATCAAAAAGGTACCCCAACCCGAAGCTATCCAGATCAAGTCCATCGGCGTGACCACAGGCTGGCGGCCAGCCATCTGTTCGAAAACCATTCCTATATTAATCTGCTGGTATAAAATAGTTCATACCCTCTTCATGAACCTCAGTAGTTTTGCTGCGAATGTGTTCATCCTCTCACCTGCAATAGCAACTTTAGAGAATTAATAACCAACTAGGACAAAAAAAAATGGAAAGTTGAGTTTTTTTCTGTCGTGTGTTGCTTGAGTAGTGCAGGAAAATTAACGAACCGATGCTTTGAAACATGACGAGGCCAAGCGGAATGCCGGCCAAGGCGTAGAACATACAGAAAGTCTTTCCGCCGGTCGTCATCGGCGTGCTGTGACCGTATCCTTCAAAAAAGCCGTTCTTGTGAATTTTTTCTCCACTGCACCGATGGTCGTGATTACGGTAGTTGCAAAGTAGAGAGCTCCACTGAACTTCCATTGATAACCTGCTTTGTGAGGAACGCTTTTAACAATGGTTGCCTAGAAGGGAATCTTGAAAAACGTAATCGGAAAGAATATCACCTCCAAAACGTCGTAGTCAGCTTCCGACATGTTGTACTTACTCATCAGCCTGTCTCGAATTTTTTTTACCAACGTTCTCTGAAATATAAGACTTCATTTGCAATATAAACGGATGTCTTCCGACAGCAAACTTTGGGAGCAACAAGTTTACAATTTTTATTCAGTCTTCAGAGAAGATTCTCTGCTGAATCATGGAATGAATGAAGAGTTGATCTTCGGTTTGCGGGATCGCGTTGACCGAGAATGGTTCGCAGATCATCTGTCCTTCATTCAATAGTAAAGTTAGAAAGTTGAGCGTACGTCGCCCAGCTTGTTCAGGGCTGACAGCCGTCGGATTAAATCTCAGGCGAAAACGGAAATAAAGACCGACCACTCGGGGTGTAGAAATGAGATAGTAGGAACCAACAATACAATTTGAAATATTTTGCAATATTTTTCAAAAAATAATTTTCAAAACAAAATAAATTTATTTTTCTTTCTATTTCTATTTCTCATCTTAACTTTCTTTTTGTAGAAAAAAACTAAATAATTTAAATTTGAGACAACTGAAAGGAAGTTATGAAGGAGCAAGTCAGCAGTTGAGCAAGTGTTTTGTACATGTCCTATGTAGGCGCACGTAAAGCTTTCGGAAAAGAAGATTCGGTTGATCAGAAAATCAACTTCAAGAAATGTATCTTTGAAATGAACCTGTCGAACTTCGTTGTCGGACTCCAAGGCGTCGAAAACAGCGGCGCCGACCAGCAAATACGTCAAAGTACACACAATCAGAGACAATGTCCGAACATTTTGGCGTTTCATTTAGTCTTAAAAAAAGTTATTTAGTTTATAAAATCATTATGTAGACGACTACATTTTATCCAATTTTTTTCACGAAGAGAAAGTTTTAAAAGAGTGCAACTAACAAAAATTTTTTTTTTCAGAATGAATCTCAAGCTGGTTCAGAAAATTTATAACTTTTTCTATGTACTGTTGTGACATATGCGAAAATTGCTACGTGGTGAAAATTTATAGTCGAACTCATAAAAGTTCGACGAAAAACGGCAACGAAGCGGTTGCTTCAAGAAGCGAACAACTTGAAAATAATGAGCTAACAACTGATGAATTTTTTTTTAAAAAAACGTTTTGATGGAGACAGTACTGTTTCCCATTTTGTCGTTTTTTTTTAAATATTTGTGAGCAATAGACATCTGAAAATGAAAAAATATTTATTTGATAAAGCTTCAGTTTTACAAGAAAATGATTAGACGTGGAAAAATTGTATATGCAGCTAAAGAGCACGCACGACGTGAGCGGATACGCGTTGTAAGAAAAAAGCCGCGGGGGAGGGCCGTCCATATGGACCCACTGGACACGAGAATCACTCCGAACTCTTTTGTCTCCTCAAAAATGAGACTCATCGCGCGATGAACCCGTGGCAGTTTCTAAAAAAAAAAATGAAAAAGGTTTTTCATCTCATTTATACCTCGCGGATGATCGTTCTTTATTTCTGCTCTCCCTGAGATGTGAGCCAGCCGTGGACAAGCTAGGCGCCGTAGATTTCTCACATGGGAAAGCAGCTGATAGTCGAAATGCTCAAAACTCTCCAAATACTATTGCAAAAATGAAGAGACGATCTCACGGATTTTAGAAAATTCAAATAAAAAGTAAAGAACACGATAGTTCCCAATTTAAAGATTCTATATGTCAAATTGAATTTTTTCCCTTCTGATGCCAATGAAATGCCTCATTTTAAAATTAGTCTACTTTGCTTTGCACTCTCTTTTTTACCAATAGAAAGTAGTTCTAAATGAATAAAGTTTGAAATATTGATAAACTGGGCTGATTTTTCCCCCGACAACACTTCTTCTAGAACGTGCAAAAGATTAATTTTTTTCTAGAAATCTAATTATTGTTGTGGAGGAAAAGGTTTTTTGGAAAAATTGAGGCGTCTTAACTAGGTCGAAAGAAGATTCAAAAAAAGTCTTCTTTTATCGAGTCAGGGTGCTCAAGAGAGCATCTCACTGAAGTTTCATCGAACTATCAAACTGTCTGCTTGAATTTTTACAATTGTTCTTGTCAACAACGAACTTTTCTTGGCAAAAATACGTTCTCTAAAGTGAAATACGAGCTCGCTAAATTCGAAAACCAAAAGCGAAAACCTTTTTTTCCGATTATAACTTCAATCAAAATTTGATATTGTTCTTAGTCAACTGGAAGTTGTCATGCTCAGGAAACCATTATTGATTAGCGGAGAAAGATCTCGGGACGCAGCGTCCGATGACCTTACCGTTAGCCCTGGACGCCTTCGCAGAGGTCGGCTCGTCGCGCTGCCAACTCTTTTATTCTCTTCTCTGCTCGGCCAAAAATGAAAAACTGGATATTTCTGATAATTCTGTCAGTCTTTGGAATGGCCTGTGGTAGATTTTTACCTCGAGAAATGGGAGATGACCGTCGAATTGAGTCCTCGACGGTTAGTATACTTTTCCTTGATTTTTAATTCACAAGAAGGTTACACGTTTAACTATTCAACTTGAATTAAATATTAGAGAGTAGTTTTTCAAGAAAAACAACTATTTTTTCATTCAAATCCAATATTGCTAATAAATAACATGGGAGGTCGTTTTAGTTGGCGGTTTGAAGTTTTCTGAAAGCTTTCTGAAAGTTTCCTCAAATGTCCTTCAACTGTCTAGATAGAATCCCCTCATAGTCGACCTGTGTAAAATTCTAGTTTTTGAGATGGATAATCGCTTTTAAATAAGGTTATAAAAGTTAAGCATGAAACTCATCTTTCGCAATCAAAAGTCACTTCTATAAAACTAGAAGTTTGTGCAGGCAGTGACTCTGAGAGATCTTCATCTAGTCCTTCAGTGCTTGAGCAGATTCCTAGACAATTCCAAACCGCCAAGAAAATGGTTTTAAAAATGTGTTCACAAACTATTATTCAATGAATGCTTTTGAAAATCATCATATATGAAGCTATTCTACTTTTCTTTGACAACTTTCGCTCTATAATTATAATAGATTTCGAGAGCAAGATTTTTGAATCTACTATAGCTAAATAGTTGAAAGTATCATTTCAGAAAGTTTCGGGGTCGATGACAGCTGAAGAGCTCCATTCCAGAACTCAACAGATAGAGAAGAGACCTATGTACTGTTGTGCCCCGTTGCTTCGAAGTTTCGTAACTACTATCGGATCCATCTTGTTCGTCTTTCTCGTCTTGGTAGCGGCCTACGCTTTTTTGAACTTTCTTTTTAGCTGCGAGTCCTATAAAGCTCACTTGAATAAGATGTATGAGGATTGCCCACGAATGCCCACTTTCATTTTGTGATCTCTAATTTTTCTGATTTAAATCATTAATTCTTTTCGTGATCTTTAATCGCTGATCTAGCGATTATATTGTACTATAATTTTGTTTTCTTTCTGTAATAAACAGTTCATTATAAACTCTCCATTCTGATGAATTCGAATGGGATAGAATCGACACGATTTATTCCCAATCTTCTCTCACAAGTTATACCATCAGATCTGGCACGTTAGGAGGTGATTTTGGATTGATCCCAGCTTGTACTCTTGGCGGAGATTTTATGTTTAGTTTGACTGATTTTAGAATGAATGTTAACTTTTTTGATTTTTTCGAAACTTGAAAGGTTGCCGAAAATTGAACCTCTTAAAAAATGGAAAGTTTAAATGAAAATCAATATGACTTCCGTAACTTTTATAGTACAACTCCTATTATCTCACTGGGTAAGCATCCTCCGTCATTCTTCTGTGCATCTTTCTTCTTTTACGGTCTTACTTTATTATTTTTGATAGGCAATGAATTAACTATATACAGTATATAATATACTATTATTATTATTATTATTATTATTATCATCATCATCATTGAAAATATTTCCTTCTATCTTTGTATAAATTGTTTTTTTCCCACTCTAAGTTTCGTACACGTGTAAGAACTAATGAGGGCCATCGTTTGACGTGACCTTGCCTCTGGCCCAAGCGTCTTCTCCGAGCTCGGGCCTTCAATGCTCAACTCGACTTCTACCAATGCAGCGTTGTTTTCTTCTGATTTTCGCTCTCGTTTTCCTAGAAGTCGCTCAAACTGGGAAGCTGATGACCAAAGAGCTGAGCGACGAACTGGCTCATTTGGAGAAACCAAAGATAATCGGAAATTCTAAGGTTCGTTACAATCCTTTATTTGAAATTTCAATGGCCTGGCGTTAACTTTATTAGGTCATTAATTATTGAAACATTTTGGATATTTTCTCAAAAACTAAGAATTTCAACTTTCCAAGCTATCGTTATTTCAGAAAGAGCCTATCCAGGATAGTCCTCGATTCCTCGACCGTGTTCAAGTTCTCGAAACAAAAATGGCGAACATTCAAGCCAGTAAACAACAACTGGAGACAGAAATTCACGAGCTGCAGATGATTCAGGCGGTTAAGCCTCCACAAAACATCTTTATCTTGGTGCTGAACATCCTGGCCTCGGTTCTGCTGTGGTTCAGCTTCTTCATCTTTCATATTCTGTACATTTGCCTTATTGGCTCCTGTCGCGTGTGCTGTCACGTCGAAAAAGTTCATTCGGAAAACATTCCTCCACCTCAAGCTCTCGTCTAGCTCATTTTTAATTCGATTTTCTGAAAGGCCACAATACTTGCAACAATTAAATCAAAGCGATGTACAAATTGGAAAAAAAAGCCATAAATTTTGATTTTCTCCTGTAATTATCTTGGAGTGGCAACTGTTTTTTGGACTAACCTTTTCAATTTTATTATCGTTGTGTTTCTTTGTTTTTTGATTAAATGAATAAATTCTTTTCTTCACTGTGTCCCCACCCTCAGTACTTTATTGTTTTCACATTTCGGAAAGATTGTTACAAAAAGACTCCTCGAAGCCTCTGATAGCTCTGAAAAGATTATGAAGCATTAACCGGTTACTGCCAACAAAAAACAACAAGCAGCTTGGTATACACGGAGACGAACCAAGGAAAAACGAGATATGAGAGGCGATTCAGGCGGATGACGTGACGACCAACGCAACTGATATGCATCGCTCTGGCTGGTTATTATGCATAAAAATATTGAACTAATGGCCGGCGAAACCGGTCTCTAAACCGCCCGTTTTGAGGAATCCCGATGGCCGCGCCCACGATCGCCAAGCCGTCTGAAGCAGTCGTCTTCTTGGCTGCCACTCAAGATGTCGTCGTCGTCGCTTGTTCTGTTGATCGCACTTGTCGGCTCAGCCCTCGCCTACCACCGTACGTCTTGCGATGTTTCTGAGCATTCATGTTCGGTCGTAAAGTCAAAAAAAATTTCTGATATTTTCAAAATTTATCCAAGCACAGCACATTTATAGGCTGGCTTTACAATTAGATGTTTACTGATTCTGAATAAGAGCGCCAAAATTCGGCATAGTTTAAGCAGAAAAAAACTGAGATGCTTTGATAATTCCTGATTTCCCGTCATATTTTCCTTTTAGCCTTCAATATATTGGTTTATTTCAGATCTCCGTGACTTCAATAATTTTATCGTGATTCAAGTACTGAAGTTTAATGAGTCCTTTTTTTCACGTTTCTTTCAAACTTTACTTTCTGAGATTTATTTAATTAAACTTCAGCCACTCCGAACTCTTTACACTGCTTCGCAGACATACCATATTAGAGTTATTTAGAAACACAGAAATTTTAAAAACTCACAATTGGAGCTTGAAGTGCTTTTGATGCTCAATTAAACATATTTCTTCTAATTTGTTTGCGCTGTCATTAGAAAAATTGATAGCTCACGTTATAATTTCCCATCTTTCAGAGTTTTATTATAATGGAGAAAAGTTCAGAATATCGTGAACTCAAATGTTCAACCCCGACGAACACCATTCGAGGGGGACCAGACAGGTGAGCAAAACAAAAATTCAAGTTTTGATCACAAGTTGATTTGACAGAGCGGAGTGCCACTTGGTTCTGAAGGCCGAAGAACTAGAGACGGGTCGTCCAGTTCCCACAGGACTCGGATGCTGGCGGGTTCGTTTTCTCTTCGCTTTTTCTCTCAAATTCAGACTTTGCAGGAGGACCACGACGGCGAAGAGCGGGAGTACTGCGATATCGTGTGTCCCAAGTCGCACACCGTCTTCATCGCCTACATCGATCAGGGCCACCGAGCCTGCTTCAACTTCATCACCTATCAAATCGAAAAGGTATGTTTAATCAAAAAATATTTCTTTGCAACTAATTCAAAAACGTCTTGAAGACTTTCCCTGCCTGAGGTTAACCGGGTTCGGAAAAGAACATTTTTTTCAAATATATTATAAATTTTTACGCAACTAAGTAGAGACTGAAACCTTTTTTTCTCGATTCCTTGATAAATTAAGTTCTTAAACCGAGGGATACTGAAGCTCGTCCACCGTAACTCAAAAAAAAAATCAGTATTATTTGCGTCCTTTTTCCTTCACCGGAACAGTAACAAAAAACGCGTGAACACGAGTGTTTTGATGAGATAAAAAAGCCTATAAGAGCAAGACTGTGGCTAATGCGGGTGATTAGTATCATTTTACGCAGTTTCAAAAAAAAAAATCGTTTTTAAATTTGACGGGATATGTTTTCAGCGCGAAGATGAGTACGTTCTCTGGCGCAGCGGAAAATGTCTCACTTCGACGGTCAACTACCGAATAGGATGCAAGTTCGACGACCCGTTCGACACCCAGTTCAAGACCGACAACGAGATCTTCGCCCATCTCCGAGCTCGTGCTCGTCGCGTCTGAGTCTCTCCGGCAGTCCTCATCGCAATAAAACCTAAGTTATTTACAAATAAATTATTTTTTTCCATATTCTTTGACTGTTTGCCAAAAACGAGGCTTCTTAAAACTGAAAACATGAATTGAAGAGAATCAGAAATAAACCTATTTCGGACTTGAATCCACGGCTTCTGAAACACTGGCCTTCATAAACTCTCCTCTTCTTTTATAAACCCTTATATTTATTTTTAATTCAATTCACTCAATGCGGAATGAGGGTTTGTGACGCAGTAAAGTGATTCGACTTGTGAAACATCAGAAGCGTTTTATTATCCTTTTTTGTGTCTGCAAAAGTCCATCGTTCCAAGACATTAACGTGCGCTCGAGCAAATTTGTTACAAACCCGTGACGGTTTTTTCAAATCATTATTGCCATACTTGAGTCAAAGTTGATAGCTCATTCGCATGACTGAGGGCCTTTATTTCCAAGTTATGTTTATTATATCCATTGTCTCTTGACTCTCCGACAAAAGAATGTGGTTAAAAAAAGCTTTTTTGTTAATTTAGTCTCTTTTTCACGAGCGCTCGCTGCATTTGTTTCGAGAATTCGCAGGCTTCCATGCATTTATTCTCATTCTTCCCCAATTCACAATACAAATTACCCAAAAAGGATTATCTCGAAAATCCACCAAAAAATGGCGTTCGCCGCGACTGCGAGAGAGAGAAGTAAAAATGAATTACCCGGCCAAATAATTTGTGTGTGTGGCACTGCGGTTTTTTTCTTCTTTTCCCACCTCGAACCAATTTTCCCGCCTGTCTATTTCTTCTTTTTAAGCTACATATATGAGTATCAGTTCACTTCTTTCCGACCAAACCTTCCATTCAAGTGAATGACTTTTTCGCCTTGTCTCTTTTTTAAATCTCATGTTTTCCATAATCTAACTGAATTTAGAGGGCATGAATCGTTTTCATCGGGACGATTCTGAATTATTAGTTGAAACTTTTTTGATGAGGTATTGATGAATGAATCAGTATGGGGCTGAACTTATGGCTCTTTGACGATTTATCAAAAAAAAAATTAGTCTTTTCTACTGAAAATTCATCTGTTCTGTACATATTATACCTGAAAAATTGCGAAGCAACAAGAAGTTACTCGGCTTATTTTAAATCTGAAACTCGTAAAATTATAAGCTTTTTGAATTTTGTCTGATGGACTGAATCTAAAAATATTGAATACGACATCGAATTTAGCTCTTTTCATGTTTTCTCGGTGTCATAAGCTCATAGAATACGAGAAAGCAGCTCGAATAATAGGTAAGCGCTTTTTTCAATTATAATACGTTGTGATTTTTCGGCATTCCTAAGGCTAGGGACCGCAGACCAATTTTCAAAAAATTTTTTTCAGCATTGAGCTTTGTATGGTTTGATAGCTGTTTCGATTCAAAACTCAGAACCGTTTAGTTTTTCGAAAAAGATTGAGGATGAAAAAAAGTTATGACGAAAAATGTGGCGCGCCGCGCACCATTTTTCGATTTTTTTCTTCTAGAACAAGTTTTGATACTGGTCTATTATGATGTAACAAATCATAATAGAGTGCTAAAATGATGCTCATCAGCTAGTTTGCCGAAAAAAAGTCGGTATTTTTCCAGAAAACAAAAAAACTGACGCTTGCGGGCATCGAACTCGCGACCTCAAAATGAAAAAAATCGCAGCGCACGCGCTGCACCAAGCTGCTAGGTCTAGCAAGGGGAGCTTCCATCCGCCTTACCCTTGAGCCGTTTAGATAGCACAGATTGCCTATTTCAAAAAAATAAAAAAACTTGAAGTAATTCAGCTATTTTTTTATCAGAATATGTTCGCAAATCTTTACTCAAACTTTCCGTGAAAAATTCACTTCGAAAAAAACTGTTTTTTTAGTGCTTTTTTTCCTCGTTTAACGATCGCTGCCTTAAAACGGCCCCGTAAATTTTTTTGGCAAAGACGAATTTTTTTATTTTTATTCTTTTTAATTGAAAGATTTTTTTCACTAATAAATGTATATAATCGTTTAAAAAAACCTGCGTTCGGCCGCTTTCTGTGTGATAAACGCCGCTAATTTTATTCTCTAGTTTCAAGAGCATTTTTTTGCGTATTAAACAACTATTTCAAGCACAGATACTGTGAAGAAAAAAATTCAAGTAAGGCCATGATCTAAATTTTTTTAAAAAAAACAAAAAAACTTGATTATATTCGCTTATTAACGATATTTTGAATTATGACTTTCGGCGCTCCCTAAAAATTTTTTTGGCAAAGACGAATTTTTTTATTTTATTGTTTTTAAAATTTTTCGTTACTTGAATCAAAAATCATTATTTAAAAAAAGAAAGAGTGCGTTCGACCTGAAAACACATGAAAAAAAGCAAAAAAATGACAAAATTTTTTTAGTTCCATTCACGTTTTTTTGTACGACATTCCGCGAGAACGCATCAAAAAAAGCGTGAAATATTTTTTTAAACGAAAGAGGAAGCTTTTTCTGTACATGTGTGTCAAATTTTATTCGCCAGTTCCACATATTTTGCAACTACAACAAAATGAAAGTTGAAAACCAAAAAAAAGCCACTTTTTCTATCGCGAAAAGGGGCGTGGCTTTGCGGTCCCTACCTAAGGCTTGTCATAAATTTTGACTTCTTTCCGAGAAAGAAAAAAAATTCTTCACATTTTTTTTAAACACAGAGATTGGGAAGAGAGGTCTAGGTTGAGAAGGCTTTTGTTCCCTCGATTACCCATATTGAGGAATGAATGTCGCCTGATTTGAAAGATTAGAAGAAGTAAAAGCAAAGAATGAGCTGTTCTCACGTCATTTGCCGGCTCTCAGCGTTTTTCATTCTCAATCCGATGAAGTTCTATTTTTATACCTTCAAATATGAGAACACAGCTTTATGTTTTAAAAAAACTAGTTCTCCTTGAATTTTGGACTTATTGAGTGGGACGACCCTTTGTAAACCAGGAAGGTATTTCACGGAAATGAGCTTTTCCCACTCTCCTTTCAATAGGTGATGAAACCTGAAAAAGGCTTGCATCAGTCATTCATTGATCTTCTTGCTCTTCCACGTTTTTTTTTGCTGGAAATAAAGAAATATTTGTTCAATTTGAGAACAGCCGTGAATGCAATGCTGAATGGTTCCTCGAGTATTCATTTCTCGGATATTCTGTCCTTTTGAGATCAGTTTCTTGTTCGCAACTTTGCTTCCGGTTCATCTCCATACATCTCCAACAAACCAAGCGTTTCGAGCCGTGTCGAACGGATCTGGAAATGCCGCGTTCTTTTCGACCACCCCACTTGCTCTTAATTGACTTCGAATAAACTTTGAGGATAATAGTATTGACGCTGCCTTTAATTGAGAAGAAAAACCCTTCGGCTCCATTTTTTTCCCTTTCGTCTAACATATTTTTCAGAGCCGCTTCTGAATAAGCTATAATTCCATATAGATAATCTCGACAAAACAAAAATAAGGGTGGCTTGAAAAAAAAAAGACGTTCAAGCCAAGTAACATAGCCAAGTAGGAATCCCACAAGCAAGGTTTTCAATGCCCTCGTCGTCGAATTTTTTTTTTGTTTTCCCGATAAATACCCTTCCATTATATTTGATGCTTCCCCCAAATTTGGTAGCCTCTTCTCTGTCGAGAAAAAAAAATCTTGAAAACGTTTCAAAGAAGATATGAGTAAAATATTATTATAAAAAAATCATGTTTGAAAAAAATGCACTTCAGGGTAAATTCACTTTTAAACTTTCAAAGAGCCATTCCAATTTAATAGTTTTGCCAAATTTTGGAAAAAATGTCAAAAAGATTCCATAATAGAAGTTCATGCAGATAGCGGATTCTCGGGTATTCAATCCATTGAAGATTGTCAAAGGGAATTTAAGAAAATTTTCAAAGCCTTACGGTATGAGGGCTTCTTCTCAAGATAGAATTGACTGGGAAGAGGCTTCGAAGATTCTTCTCAGTCCGACTTCTACCGGATGATGTGGTCCTTCGGCGCAGGTGGAAACTTTTCGCCGTCTGCTCGGAATCAATTCCCGTGAACACCAGCTCTTTTTTGCCGTCTTTTGCTCGAGTGCTTTTGATCACACTTCTTTTATTTTATTTTCCATTGGCCGGGAGTTCTCGGTTTTCATCGACTTCCCACGTTGTCATAAAGCCCCCTTTGAAGCGGCTCTTTTTCTCAGATCTTCAGTGTCTCCAACAACGTCGAGACACATGTGACATCTGCCTGATACCACCTTTTTCATATGAACTTCAGTTTAATTTATTGTAAACCTTTTCAACTTTCAGTTTCTCGTAGTGGATTTTGTTCTCATTCTTCCAATATAAAACCTCTCTCTTGTTCAAAAAATAGAAACTGAGGGTTTTTTTTTCTGTGATCACATCATTCTGTTTTCATTTCCCACATTGAATTCTTGGCTTTTTTTTTGAGTTAATTACTCTGCACAGGCTTATTCATCTCCAGAAGACTTTTTTTTTCGAAAACTTCCCATCAATTTGCAAGACTAATTATTTAAGATAACTCCAAGTGAGCAAGAGATGTGAATCGAATAAGCGAAGATTTCACATTTCTTTATTGGATTTTCAAGCGAATGAACGTTCATATTTCAAACTAACTACATTTCTTTGAAACTTTGAAACTTTATTCAGTCTTCAGAGAAGGTACTCTGCTGAATCATGGAATAATTGAAGAGTTGTTCGTCGGTTTGCGAAACTGTCGTTGATCAAACGTAGACGGCGCGTAGAGCATCTCGTCTTTCTTGTGATAGTAGTAGACGACTTTCGAGCGTTTCCGACGATCACTGCTTCTCCATGTAGGAACGGTACGGCGCCCAGCTTGTCCAGGGCTGACGGGCGTCGGAATAAATCTCAGACGAGAGCGGAAATGAAGACCGACCACTCGGGTGGTAGAAATGAGATAAAGAATGAACGTTCATATTTCAAACTAACTACATTTCCGTTCTTCTTAATTATTAGTGAATAGTTAGAAGAATAGAGCTATTTCGTCGTTCCTATTCTTTCAAAAAAAGCGAAAATAAGTCGGTTTTTCAATACAATTTCGGATCTTTTGACATGCGTCATAAACGAGAACAAATAAAATAGAATGAATGGGGCATTCTTAATTGGACAACGCGCTGAAGTGCTGAAAGCGCTCAAAATTTTTTTTCTATTTTCTACTGTATTGTTCTCATCGTTTACTTGCAATCTCCTCAGAATGAAACAGATTGAAAAATTCAGTCCAAAGAAATCTCACTCTCGTCGTTTCCTTCTTATTTTTTGACCTTCTATTTCTCTCCCTAACGCAAAAGCCCAGATGAAACCCGACGATTTGTGGTGGGAAGAATTCTGGAGGGTCTCAGGTTCGTCTGAAGGCTATCTAGATTCCTCACAAATAGTTTCGAAATTTTAACCCGTGCAATATTTTCGCAACCTTTTTCATATACTTTTTTTGCCCTTTTTCTCATCCTTGTAGGACCAAATTGGACGAAAGAAAAGCGCAAAATCGATGTTTTAAACACTTTTTTTTTAATAAATTTTTTTTAAATTCGAAGCAAAACTAGAGCAAAAAGAATTGGGAAAAAGTATACCTGATTCGACCCAAAATTAGACCTATCCCCCTTGACCTCCAACTTCTCATCCCAATCCTTCCCTGAGGTTGAAGTTTGGTTTTATTGTTGCAAAAACTACTCCAATGAAGTTGGAAGTCAACTTCATTATTTCTTTTTTCTCAAGTTTTCTGTAAGAAACCCTTCTTTCTAGATTAATTGAGTTCTGACTTGCCCGGGGTGAGAAAAAAGAGCGTGCAGACAGGCCCGGCTGTTCCGAGTAGTGGCGAATGAGATATAATCTATTTAAAAATCGTTGGTAGGCTTTTTTCACTTCTCAGGTTCAATATTTCATCCTAACTATGTCTTTGAAATGATGTCAAGGCTGGCTCATTGGACTAATCTGTCTTGAAAGGAACATTCGCTCTGGCGGATTTATACCTTTCAGGTTTTTTTCCCGATGCTTTGCTATTGTTCGTCCGTTTTGTAGTACCTCGCATAGACGCACGCCTTCCTTCTGTTAATTCCGTGTTCGATTTGTGTGTGTCTCTCTCTCTCTCTTTTTCTTCAATCGGGAAATGTTCAAGGAGTACCGTATGACCGAGCATCAGCCGACTCCTGAACCTCATGAACTTCACGACGGCGAGGTTTCTTTTTTTCGAATTCTATTCCCTAGAATATGCTGTTAGAGAAGAAAAATCTGAGATCTGTTGAGCTGACTCGCATTCATAAGTACTTGTTTTTCTCAAAACTCAATTTTTTGAAATAAAAAGCTATTAAAAAACTTGAAAATGCCTTCTAGTTTGAATTTTGCTGAAATTGGCTTTTTTTCTATTGATTAATGTGCTTAAACTTAGATGAAGCCAAAAAAAGATCCAGTAGTTAGTTAAAAATTCAGCAAATTGTACGTTCCCTCCATTCAATTTCAAGGTTAAAGTGCATAACTTTTGAAGGTTCGAAAAATTCTCTTGCTGCCCAACAACAGCTCCGACAAAGTGCACGAAACAGTGAGTGAGCAGCTCTGCAGCCTGAACGACTTCATTCAGTCCAAAATAAACGAGTACAGAGAGGTAAAAACGGCTCAGAAGACGTTTTGGTCAGTCAAAATCTTCAGATTGTACAGCAAAACTCGCCAGCCGTTTTTGTTGTCAACTATGTACAGAATCGATTCATTGCCAGCGAGTTTTGTTCTGAAATCGCCAAGGTTTTCGGTGTCGTCAAGTGCAGAACCGTCGATGATCTGACTTCCAGTCTCAAGGATCTCAAAGAAGACCAAGAACTGAGTGAGTGACGCAAGAAATATCGACTACAACAAGCCAAAAAAAGAAGGAAGAACAGACAATAGACGACGTGTTCAGAGCAATAACAAACACTACAAAATTGGCGATAATTCGCGGTCCTGGAAAAAAATTTTAAAAAAACTATATATTTACAACTACCTGAAAAACGGATATAAAATTTTCGAAAAATAAAAAGTTCTTACCAGGGAATGGTCTTTGGATGCAGTGGGACTTCTCAATGAGACCAGCTTTTCTAGATGTAGTTTTTTACGCTGATTGAGCTTTTTTTTTGGAGGGTATGTACTACATATGTAGACACAGGCGAATCGAGAAGATACCATAATGTGTCTACAAAGGTACCTCTCAAAATGGATCGTGAAGGCCCCATAATGTGTCCGTCGTGAGACCTCCGGCATACCTTTTAGCTATATCTGGCCATCTCGGAGGAACTTGAGAGTCTCCCTCAAGTCTATCTCGTTTTGCTCAGTCTTCACAGGTATACTCGAGGTACCATCGTAAGACTTCAGAGCTTGCGATGTTCCTCAAAGGATCTCGCGATACCCTTTCTCGATTCGCATATGGATCTTGTCCCTCTGGTTACAGAAAATCAAATATTTTTCAGGGAAGAAAAATTTGGAGCGCAGATATGATTTTTCAAAGCTCCTCCAAATATAAGATGTGGTATGAAAGTAATATGTTTCATGTAATCAGAAGACCGAGATCTTTAAGCCTCCTAAAAATGAGCTCAAACGGAGACACTGGAATTTTCAACTTTTGAGGGTCCATAACTTTTTGGAACATTAGTCTTATCCTTTTTGGAGAAATATGATTCCGTTATAACTTGACCAATACAGTTGACAGTGAAAAAAAAAGAATTAAATTAACTGATGGTTCTTTTTGGCTAGTTGAAAATCTTAGCAGCGACTTGAAAACCATATTGAATGGAGACTTCAAGTTTAGTTACCTTTTTTGGTCCAGAAAAAAAACTGCTTTACCGGCGATCATAGAAATGCAAATAATTAAAAAAAAAAAGCAAACCCACCAATAAAACTAAAAAAAAGTTTAGAACCGACAGTAGAAACTCTCGAAGAGACGATTTCACAATGGAACGACTTCCTGAAAGACATCGACGACACACTCGACGCGACCGTCGGTCCGTGCAATAACAGCGCCCGTCACGAAAAAGGTTTTTCCCGATTGAAATCATTCGGTGACAATAAAAAGTGAATTAAATCAGATTCATCGACTTTTTTAGTACACTCGATGTTTGAAAATAGTAACGCACTTCACCGAATTCGGCTAGCATTTACAGACTGTAGTGAAAAATCAGCAGCTTTTGGTAAAATTTCAATTTCTAGAGAAAATTTCCACGTTTAGTCACGCACAAAAAGTTATTGACAAAAAAAAGGGGAGCAAATTTCAGAATGCGATGTAGCTGAACTAGATCTTCAGAGTAAAACTATTTCATATTACGTACAAGGGAGTCCTTTCGACCTCGTTTTAATCGTCGTAGTGAGGTTTAGAGCCACAAATTCCATGTAAACTCCTGTTTTTGAGGTCCTTCAACAAACCGGAAGTGAACGAGCACATCCTTTGTCTGTACAAAAGCATCGACGAGTTGCGAAGACATGGCTGTGACGTTTTTCTCCTCACACGTGGGCCTCCGATAGGCTCCAGAGGTTTGAAAAAAGGATTGGAGTCGAAATTGAAAGAAGTCTGAAGGAGGAGCCTACATCAAGCTGATCGGAGTGCCCTTTCGAAAACTTTACGACAACCAAGAAGCCGAAGTCGAGCTCAAGACTCACAGGAAGTCTGCTGTGAAGTTGTCGAGTTGGGAAGTTTTGTGCAAGGTGAGGAAAAACACAAACTGCTCTATCAATTAATCCGCAGATGGTGGAAATGTCGGCGGTTCAAGACGTTAACACAGGCACGCAGCCGTCGGATGAACCTTTATCTTTTATATCGCAAAAGGTGAGTACAAAATAAATGTTGCGATAGAGTGTGGTCCACGCGAGACGATGACGTTTAAAAAACCCTTTCAATGAACATCCAAAAACGGAGTTCTCGAAGCGAAGCTTGGTCAAACTTGGCCAAGTAACGGAAGAACAAGATCGGAGTTTTCCACAGAAAAAAAAATAAACTACTTGCAGGGTGGAACTCTTCTTGTGAACAAGTCTGGAGAAGTCATCTACAAACATATAGAGGAAGACGGATCTCCTTCGTGGCCCAGTGTCGAGGAAATCATTCTCAAAGTCGAGTCAAGTCAGAAAGTGAGACCTAAAAAAATACTTCATATTAATAAAATCACCTTACAGAATAAAAAAGGTGTCTCTCCTTCGCCAACGCCTAAGCCAACAGGAAACCTCGCAAAGGTCGACTCCGAGATCTCTGTCGGGAAAGAAGTTCTTCCCGAAAAAAGCAAGCCGTGCTGTACAATATTATAATATGTCTGAAGAATCTATTCAATTTAATAAAAAAATTTAAAACTCGTTTCGATCAGAAAAAAATCAACCCATTTTTCTGAAAAATGCGTTCAAAAAAATGACAGTGTTTGATTCAAAAAGTAAAATTACGTAAGAAATAAAAAGCCGACTAAGGTAAATATATTTTTTTTTCGTTCGAGAACTGTTGTCAACTTCTAACGAAAATATCTTCCCTTGAAACGCATAAAAGAGATGTTTTGAGAGTCAAAAGTCCCTCTACAACGCCAATTACAATAATACGAATAAAGTTAATGAAAGATTTGGAACCCTAAAGCGGATACTTGGAGAGGGGTCAACAGTTTTGTGAGGAAACCATGCCCTAATGCAAACTGGGGCGCACTTTTGTCCTATTGTCATCGGGGTCGTTCCGTCCGTCATTTCAGCTTTTCATAATCTTGTTTTGACTTTTTTGTTAATAGACTTATGCCGCCTTTGAAGTAATTCTGGAGCAAAAAAATGAAAATAAAAAAAAATTTTTTTGATTAAAAAAATAACGTCTTATCTTCGCTGCTCTTTTTAGATTTTTTCTACGGATTTTTTGACAATGAAAAAAAGCACACAAGGGGGGTAGGTTTATAATTTTTTTGGCTCAGAAAGCTTTTTCGAAAGCTGCACTTATGTTCTGTTTGTGGTATTTCATATATGGAACTTTCACTCATTTTTCTTATTGTTTCAGTTATTTTTCATTTAAAGGCCGCTGTTTCTTTGGATGTTGCCCAGCTCCGATAATGAGAATGGCTCAGCGCTCGGTTCGCGTAAAGACAGTATTGTTTCTATGGATACATCAGAGCTAGTGAGTTTAGAGCGTTCGTTGCCTTACCTACTGTTCATTTTTTTATTTTTCAGTCAAGTGGCAAAAACTTGATGGGATTAGACTCATTGATTCTTCGGGTTTTTGGTATTAGTAATATTCCGGATGGAGGGTCTGGCCGAGAGTCTTCGGTTGACACAGTTCTTCGAGTGAACAATATCGACTCCTCGGATCCTGGTTTAAATATATACTTATTTATTGATTTTTAGTTCAGTCTTCAGAAGAAGTAAACCGGTCAATAATTTATGAGATTTTGTTTGATTTTGTTTCGAAAACAGCAACTTCTACGAATGATCAAGGACAGTCTTTCATGTCACACGGTAAGGCTTTTTAACAAGAATTTCATTCATATTTCGATTTCAGAAGGTCTGGGCAAGCAACTCGGGTATCCAGAATTCGACAGCATAACGGGTTCAAAAGGGCACAACGCTTTGCAGATTTTGATTGCAATGGCTACTCGGCTCAATCACGAGACGAGAAAAGTTTTGAAAACTGAGAGAATAACAGAATAACTGTTTTTTCAAAGGAATCTAAAGAGGAAGAAGTTTTGCTCAACGTCGTTAGAAACGCCATATTCAGCAATATCATTTCTCTTCTACGCGGCCACTACGCCCCATTGTAAGGAGCAATTTCATAGCTTTTCTTAACCAATTTATATCTTAAGCGTAAGCGGTCACGAAGCGCGACTCTCGTTGACATGTCGCATATATGAAGATTTGATAGCCGAGTGGTTTCTTGTAGGTGTCGTCGAGCACGCTATCAACGCGGATTCGAGCGACCCCGACGCTTTGAAAGAGGTGTCTCTCCTGAAATGTCTCAAGAACTTTCTATGTTGAGGTTTTCGTCCCGATTCTCCAACAACAGCACAAGTCGATGCTGATGCAAAAGTTCGAAATGGACAAGGAGGACAAGCTTTTCTTGTTCCGCTGTTTGATTCGTCTTCTTTCTGTGAGAGTCAGCGACATGCGGCGGCCTCTATGCGATTTGGTCAGTTTTATGAGCAGTTTTCATGTATTTCCAGCCTTTTAGTTGGTGAGCGAATTGGGTTTCCATTGGTCTCCGTTGACGGAAAGCCCCGGCCGAGAAGTCGCCCTATTCTCTTATTTGGGACCTTTTTTCAACTACGGCATTCCGGCAGATCTCACTAGGGTTCACTCTCAATTTTTTACAATTTTTCTATTTTCCGTTTCAGAACGCAGCAACTTTCTTCAAATGCTTCGGCAGCGAATATCCCAAAAAAAGCGAAGCCGATATGGTGTTCAATGGAATCAGAACCAGATTACATAACATCCAAGTTTTTTTAAATATCTGATTTGCGAAAATTGCAATAATGAAGGACTACCTTCATACAATACTCCATCAACTGGTATTGAACGGTCCGACAAGAAAAGAAACGCTCAGTTGGATCGAGAATCTTCTGAATTCCAACAAGAAACGTGTTCAGATGAGGGTGGGAGACCAAGAATTTAGTGGACGAAAGAAAGCTTTTGCAGGCGGATTTCACCAAATTAGCTCCAAATGCCTTTTTTTACAACCTTCAATGTACCTTGTTCGCTTTGTCAAACAAGATTACACTCGATAAGGTTTTTTCGAAATAAAGAAAATATGTAGATTGTTTTTCTAGGTGAATCCGAACTACCCATTCCAGTCAAACTCGAAAGTGGATATTTCCGAAGTAACTCGGCTCAAAATGGATCTTCAACAGGCAAAGGAGTTCTCTGAAAGTCTTCGTCAGTTTTATTTTATCAATGCATCTCTTTATATAATGTTATTCCGATTGAGAAATGCAGCTTTTTTCAAGTTTCTACAAGTAAAAGCGAAAAAAAAAAGTTTGAAATGTGTCTCAAAAAAGTTTCCTCAAAGAATGAGCTGTTCGGGAATTTCTCAGTTTTATTCGAAAAATTTCGATCCTTTGTCTCAAAAGAAATTACAATCTGACTTTGCACATTTTCCTTAATTTGCTCAAATCTTTAATTATTTTTTAAGTTCAGTAGTGAGATTTCTTTGATCTTTGGAACAAATAAAGATAAGTTTTCCCAAAGTTTTCTGAGCGAATTTTGAACTTCGTTACCACAACGAAACTTTAATCTTCTTTAAAAGTTTTTTCACAAAACCGAAGGTTGGAAGAAACCAATGTGTTCCTGAAAAACTTGATGGATCTCTATGAAATCCAAAGAAAGGTTTCTGTATGTTTCAACGATTCCAGCTGCGGTAGAAGAGGAAAAGTTCACGACAGAGTGTTTCTTCATGACTGCGCACGGTCAACATCTTGTTCTGCAGCCAATGTTGGAGCAAGCGCGCTCCCTCAAGAACCAAATGTACGAAGGCCGAGAGCGACTGCAGGTTTCCCGCAAATCGTGCCTCTATTTCTTTTTTTTTTCAGCGTATCGAACAAGAAGTTAGAGATCTTCCCAACAATGCGATGGCACAAGCAAACATGCAGCAGTTGCAGAACGAACTCAACCAGCGCAAGAAATTCCAGGCGGTTTGAAGAAGGAATTTCCTCAGCTGCCAACTCGACGTTTTTCCAGAAAATGGTGCAGATGCAAATGTCCTACGAATGCCTTATCAAGGATTCGCGATTCATCGAATGTTCTATGGACTTTACAGCGAAACAAATGGCTCTCGTTTTCAATGTTTTGTGCAAAGAGTCGTCAGTTTGTTTTTGTTACGAGTTTTTGAAAAATGAAGAGGAATGGCAGTGGGCATCGGAATATTTTCAATTTTCGACAATATGCTTCTCAAATTGAGTTAAAAGTTTTGTCACACAATTTGAAAAAAAAAATTCTATCCATGATTTTTCCAAATGGTTGGGTGAATATTTGATCGATGAGCTTGAAGTTCTTGGAAAGGTAGTATCGAATGTTCAGCGTTACTGAAATCACGTCAAGCGGAGGCGCTTCACTGCCAGCCGAGGCTCCGCGTATGTTCTGCGCTTTCCCCGAGTTCTACATAGAAGACGTGCTCGATCTGATCGTCCACGCCGGCAAGCATGCTCCAGAAATCGTCATGTCTGACCGCTACGAATGGCCGCTTCAGTTGCTCATCCTTCTCTGCTCTCCTCATTACTTCAGCAACCCCTACCTCGCCGCAAAGGTATCTTCTATCTCTACGGATTCCGATTCAGCCTTTTTGATCACTTCCTCGATTTTATGAAGAGAACTCGAACAAATGTTTAATCTGCACTTTTAGGTGGTGGAAGTATTCTCAAACCTGGCACCCACCTTCAATAACGTTTCCATGCTTCTATGGGAACAAATGATACGGACGCCGATTTGCAGCCAACGGCTCATGCCCTCTCTCATCAAGTACTACAGCGACTGTGAAAATACTGATTTTTATGAGAAGTTCAAAGTTCGGCGTAATATCCAGGTGCTTCCATGCTACCTTGGAACTCTGCTTATATTTTTGAGCTTTAGGTTTGCTTTGACTGTCTCCGACAGGACGGGATTTATCACAGACATCTGATCGACCTCGCCAGGTTCTTTTGGCGACTTTTGATTAATGACTTAAGATAAATTGAAGGGAATGTGGACCCGAGTTCATAAGATTCATCAACATGGTGATCAACGACGCTACTTTTCTGATCGACGAGAGTCTTTCCGGCCTGAAGAGGATCCACGACATCGAGAAGCTGCAGGAGCGCGCCGAAGTGTGGGCGGCGCTTTCCGACGAGGAGCGAGATCAGAAGCAGGGCGCCATGGACGAGGCCAAAAGAAATGTTCGTTTTCTCAGAAATAACACCTATCTAAAAAGTGCTATCTAAAAAAAACTTTCGAAGTTTGCAGTAAGATTATTTTGAAGCTTATTTTAACAAGCTTGCTCTCAGAGGAAACTTTGGCGGTTGAAGGGAATATTTAAATTAGGATTGACTGCCCAAAACCTAATAATAAAGTTATTAACTGGAAATTGATGTTTCAAAACTTGATCTATTTTTACGCCTATTTCTAGCAAATATGATAATAGAAACTAATAATTCTAAGATCGGCGAAGAAAAAACTTGATATTTCTACTTGAAAAAGTTGAATTAGGTGCGTTCGTGGCTTTCCTACAGCATCGGAACCCTGAGCCTCTTGGAGTTTCTGACGACAGACGCTCCCCAGCCTTTTGAGACGATTTTGGGAGAAAGACTGGCCGCCATGCTCAATCACAACATCAAGCAGTTGTGCGGCAAGAAATGCATCGAATTGAAGGTTTGCTTTTTCTTTGACTTTTTCCTAGAAGATTATCTTCAGGTCAAAGATCCCGTCCCTAGATATCAATGGGATCCTAGAAAATTCACCGCAATGCTTCTGAGTATTTATCTAAATTTGGCATCGGACAAGTTCGCACAGTTCATTGCGTACGACGAGCGTTCCTACACTCCAGAAATGATGAAAGAAGTCTTGTCCTGCATTCGGAATCACAACCTCGTCGTACCAAGCCAATATGAGCGGTCCTCGATTTTGAATCAGCTCTTTTACTCATTTTTTATTTTTCAGCTTCTATTCTTTGTCCGAACTTGTTGAGAAAAAATACCAAAGCAAAGCACAGATGGAAATGGAATTGGACGACGCGCCGGAAGAGTTCAAAGGTTTTTTTGTTGTTGATCGAAGCCTCGTAGATTTTGTAACTACTCAGTCATAAATTTCATTCTTCAGTGAAAAATGACTTCCATTTTCACTTATGAATGAGCTACTAATTTTTTTGATCATAATATCGAGACCAAAATTATCAGATCGATCTATTTCAGAATTCCAGTGTTGTTTTATAGCATATTTTCCACGAAACAATCTGACCTGCCTGCGTTCCTTATTCCTTTATTAACATCGATGTCATAGAAACAGGAAACCTTTACAGCTAAGGACTAGAGAGTCGTAGAGTGAAAATAGATAACAGTTGGGCTAGACGGATCCAAACCGCGGCGAAAGATAATGATAGCTTGAGAACCGCCAGTTTTCAAAGACTGACTGAACTTGAAAAATAGTTTTGGTCAAAAAACGACTTTTGTGAGGGAAGTACTGTAGAGTGAGACTTGGTTTTCAGATCCGGTGATGGACACGATAATGGAGGACCCAGTCCTTCTGCCGTCGGGACACGTCATGGACCGCAAAATAATCGAGCGACATTTGCTTACGACGCCCAACAATCCGTTCAATCGCGCCCCATTGAACGTTTCTGACCTCGTGCCACGTTTATTTTCGCTTTTTCTTCTCAACCTCGACAATATGTTTCAGAGCCAGAATTGCTACAAAGAATCAAGGATTGGATCGCCGCAAAGAAAGCCGCCGCTTCTTCCAGTTGAAAGACTTCACTCCAATTTGTTTGTAAAAAAAAAGTTCCTTCTTCGCCTTTGTACAGTATTTTTGTTGATTTTGTATTTTGTTTTGTCTCTTTAACTCCATAAGGGTCTCTTGACATTTGCTGATCAACGAAATTCGTCGCAGTTTCTTTCTTTTAAGGGCTTCAAACGATATTTTTTTCTTGTCCGCATGTATCTTATCGCGCTCAGGGTAAGTCGAGAGAAACTCGTGCGGGATTTATCGTGTTTTACTTGTATTCCTCTGAGAGTTAACCACATTCAAAGATTTTTTTATTCCATAGTGGAGCAGCATTTTCTTCTCGTGTTTTGTGAACAACTTCGTGTGAATTTTTCTCTAAGTCCCTATTCATTAACTTATCCTGGTGAAATATATTATTTAATAAATATTTCAGCTCAATATGTTTTGTTTGGATTTGTTGAAAAGCGTTATAACAACGCTTCTATACTTTCAAATCTCAAAGCTCCTTGTCTTTTAAGTCGTTTTATTGAGAGATTTTGGTAAACTCGACATGGCTATTTTTTCGTGGGTTTCCTTTGATTTTTGTCGTTTTTGTGATGTCGCGTGACTAAAAACTAATTTATTCAAAGTTCTTTCCCATCGAAAATCCGATTAATTATATTAGCCCCGCAAGCTTTTACAATGCAAATGAAGTGATTAAACTTACTTCGAAAATTTTCTTGAAGGGTTCCATCTCCATTTGTCGCACGGATCCAAGAAATAATGGCCTTCCTCAATCGACAACTTCAGGTGGATAAGGAAGCGTTTCTTTCCAAAATGGATAATTTAAGGCGGTTTTCTCCAACGGAGTTAGGGCGCAGCAGTCGCGTCTGGCCAGCAACGACGTCACTTTCCAGACCAAGGCTCGTCCAGAAATCTCAATGCACCATTTTTCGCATCTTTTTAGCCTTACAAGTTGCATAAGCTTGATGATGGACCCAACACTTCAGTGACTTTAAACCGCGAGGATGCTCTCAAGTTCTACCGAGAAATGCAGGTTGGCCTAGTTTTAAAACGTTTGTGTTTTTTTTTCTCGGAGACTTTCAATCGATATGTAGCAGTAAGGTCGTTCAAACATGACCCCTGGTATTTCTAAAAATCTGTTCAAGTGCTCTTCGATGTACTAATTCGTCATGTAGAGAAAAAGGCTCGAAGTTGTGAAGACCAATTAAACCGAATGACTGTTTTCTTTCCGATCCTCAGGCGGTTCGCGAAAGTCGGAAATTGTGAACTATTTAGTTTCTGAGCGGTTTTGCAGAGTCCAAAGTGAAATAGCTGTTTTTGAAAGATTGATAACCCAGGGCTTAGTGTGAATTGGAAGAAAGTTAGTGAGATCTAGGTCATCCGACGAATGGAGTCTGCGGCTGGCAACCTGTACAAGGAAAAGAAGATCCGCGGGTTCTGCCATCTGTACTCAGGACAGGAGGCGTGCGCAGTAGGCATGAAGGCGGCGATGACCGATGGCGACGCCGTCATCACGGCCTACCGTTGCCATGGCTGGACCTACATGCTCGGCAGCACCGTCACCGAAGTTCTGTCCGAGCTGACTGGTTGGGGCTTCCTTCAGACTCCTACTCACTTCGACAACTTCAGGACGCATTTCTGGAAACGTGCATGGAAAGGGTGGCTCGATGCACATGTACACGAAGAGTTTCTACGGAGGCAACGGCATTGTCGGCGCTCAGCAGCCTCTTGGCGCAGGAATCGCCTTGGCCATGAAATACCGGTCGGTCACTCTCCTTTAGTTCAAAAGATTCAACCAGAAATAATGTAGAAAAAATTCACTCAAAATCAGAAAAACACAGGTTAAATGGATCACCAAAGCCCATTCGAATTTTTATGCTAACACTTTTAACGTTTTTTACTTTTATAACCGTTCTTTGTGAAACGTTCTCATTCGTGGGCTTGTAGTCATGGGAGGGCTTCTTTTTCAAAAAGATTGAGAAGTATTGAGAAGTATTTACGGAGAGGGGAAACGATTACAAATTTTCAAATTTTGTTGATCGTTTTTCAAAAAATGGTCTTCTAGAAACTTTTTATTGAAAGTATTCATTTTCATTTTTCAATCAGGGATGCTTTTAATGATTTTTCGTTTTAGAGAACAGAAAAATTTCTGTATAACTTTGTACGGCGACGGCGCTGCCAATCAGGGCCAGCTTTTCGAAGCGACCAACATGGCCAAGCTGTGGGACCTTCCTGTAGTGTTTGTGTGTGAAAACAACGGATTCGGCATGGGAACCACCGCCGAACGCTCGTCCGCCTCCACGGACTACTACACCAGGTATCTTCTTTTTGTCCTTGTTCTGGCTTTCAAATTTTTTATTGCTTATAAAATTTTCACAATAACAGTTTTTTTTTTACTTTTTTTTCTACTCTGCACTAGAAAAACTATAGACGTCAAAAACAAATGTTGGTATAATTTTCCTTGATGAACTTTGCACAAGAAGCAAACACATTAGGTCTTCGAAAAGAAAGGCTTTTTAAGAGGCGACTATGTTCCCGGAATCTGGGTCGATGGAATGGACGTTCTGGCGGTGCGCGAAGCGACGCGTTGGGCCAAGGAGTACTGTAACGCTGGCCGTGGGCCTCTCGTCTTCGAACTGGCCACCTACCGTTACCACGGACACTCCATGTCCGATCCTGGTACCAGCTACCGTACTCGCGACGAGATCCAGGAGGTCCGCAAGACGCGCGATCCCATCACCGGCTTCAAGGACCGCATCATCACCGCCAACCTTGCCACTGAAGAAGAACTCAAGAACATCGACAAGGTCTGCATCTTTCAAAATGATAGGCGAAAACCCTTTCTTGCTCTCTTAATCAGTTTCTCTGAAGTTTAACCTTTTCTGCTGAGTTAGAAGCAAAGTACCAAATTTTCTGATTTTTGCTCTAAAATTTTTCAGACTTCTAAATTCAAAAATGTTAATCTATTACTAGTGTGTGCTTCTTCAGGTTTCAGAAGTAATCTAACGGTTCATTTTATAGAAAAGAAGGCACATTAGTGACTTCGTCTTTTTAAAACCTATTAGTACAGCTTTGGACATTTTACGGCGTCGAAATCCAAGTTTTCGCATAGATTTATCTTGATTTTGGGTTTTTTGAGTTTTATCGTAATAGGGTATTTATTAAAAATATATTAATAAGACTAGTCGAATATTTTTAAAAAGCAAGTTGTCCTTGGTACCGTTCGGATTCGTTCAGGAAGTGCGCAAAGAGGTCGACGAGGCCTTGAAAACGGCCACTTCTGACGGGGTTTTGCCTCCGGAGGCTCTCTACACTGACATTTATCACAACACGGAAAAACAAGTGGTTCGTTGTTTTTTTGAGTTTTCTGAGATGTCATGACATTTTTTCAGATTCGCGGCGCAACTATCGATGAAACTGTCGTCCAGAAGTACAAAAACACGGCCGAACTCCTCAAGGAAAACAAATAGAACCAGAAAATCTTTGTGAAAAGTTTGATTTTTATATTCACTCATCATATATTCCAGTTTTTGTGAGAAAAATTTAGTCACTTTGCATTCGTGACGCCTGGGCTTGATTCTTTTAATTTTAGGTATCATTTTAGTTTTGTCATAGTTTTGATCGGTTTTTTTCTTCATCGAGTCGGTGGTTATCTTCGATAATTATTAAGTGAGCGACTCTGTTGCAATAATATTCTGATTGTCCCAGGAAGGCTTATAGTAGGTTCCCAAAATTGTTCACTTGTTTTGTTGACAATTTAATGAATCCGTTAATCCTTGTACATCGTGATAGGAAGATTTCAGAATCTTCAATGAATTAAGTCCCGTTAACGTCTTGAACCGACGCGAATTTGTGTTCTTTGATTCTCGATTGGCAGCGTGATCGGCTCGCGTTCGCTGTCGTTGTATAAATAAAACAGGTTCGTTGGGCAGGAGTCTTGGGCTTTTTCCTTCACGCAAATCGCTCAGTTGACTCGGCTATCCAAGTTTCGTTGGAGTGGAAAGTGCTCGAAAGTGATCTTCGGACGCACATTTCCACAAATCCTCCCTAAGTTCTGTGGGATCCTTCAGAAATCATCAGCTTTGATGATTTCTGAGAGCTTTTCTCGAATAACTGCATAATCGAAACGGTTTTGACAATAAATTAGAAGAAAGCCAACTTTCTTTGAAGTCTTTCGAAATATGAGGCGAAAACAATAAAATCTCAGTAGTTCCCACCGGAAATGCTTGACGTCGAGGATTATCACATATCTTTTTTCCCCGTTCCACACAAGATTTTCGTCTCTTTTCGTTTAGTGTCATCTTTGTTGAGTTTTCGGCTTTATATGCGTCTGGCGCTCGATTTTTTCACGCATTTTCACCTGTCCTAATCAGAATTTAAGTCTGAAAATGTGCAGGGCAAATTCATTTTTTAGTTCTAATTTTTCTTTCCATGAGATTTTTCCCAATTTCGAACTATGTGTACATTCTGATTCTTAACTGATTTCTTCTCCTTGTAAGGAAGGAAATATCATTTTTGTTTCTGATGATTTTTTTTTCTACTAATGGATAATAAGTGAAGCGTCGATATTTGAGATTTGATTGATACTTCGGAGTTTGGAGGAAGTCAAGACATTTTGAGATTCATGGAGTCGATTGGAAATGTATTAATGTATTCTCATAGAACACTGGCCCCAACACGTTTTTGCAAGTCCCAGAACCGCTGTTCGGGGTAAAAATACCTCGGTTTCCGGCCGATCAGAAACCTCCCAGTGTAATGTTGAAACCTCTAATTCGCTTTCAGATAGCTAGTTGATTGAGATGAAAAAAAACTCATTCATAGTTGATCTATTACAAATATATTGACTTTTATACTGTCTATTCTTACGCTTTAAAGAAAAGGAAATTTTAATTTCAAATTTTTCCTTTTCCCTCACGAAGGTGTGGTCACTTGAACGTTTCGAGAAGTTTTCAAAAACTGGGTGTGGCTGTCTTTCCATTTAATCACCCACCAAACCTTTTTTCGGTTGTTTTGTACGTGAACCTTTTAAAATTCCATTCGCCACGTACTTATGTTAACTTGTAAATCAAGTGATTTTCGAATCCTTCTTTGATTTTTTACTCCCAAAATAGGACACAAACCAGAATAGTTGTGCCGAATTTCAGCCACTCATTTCTATCTTTGGAAGACGTCGCAAATATTTTCTTTGTTCTTGGTCATCGAGTTTATTTTTAGTTCACTTGAAGTACAATCAAAAATGTCTGTGTATTCTGTATTCAATACTAACTTGATGGTCAACCAACCTACCAAGGACTGGTTGGGAAAAAAACTTCTTTAACTTTTTTTGAAACTTTTTTTTTCTGGATTTATCTTGTAGTAGAGTAAGCAAAAAAGGTGGAAGTGAGGTAAGGCTTAAAAAATGAGAGTGCAAAAAGATTTACAAGCAAGCAAGAAAAAAGGGGGAGCTTTATGCGCCTTTCTGGAGCTTTTCAAGAAATCTTAAAATATAGGAAAGATTTCTTCTTCATGTTTGGATTCTGACTTCGAACAGAGAGCGAGCGTTGAATCTCCACTTGGGAAAGCTTGTATCTGCATTATTCGATTTCCGTACAGCCGATCGGAGTACATCTTCGCCTAGGTTATCGATGGGAACAGCGAACGGCTTCCTGTCCTGTGTTTTTAAACATCAGCGGTCGTTTTGCGTCGCAACCCGTTCGATACCAATCTTCGCAGGGGATCGTTTTCGATGCTTCACCGCCCTACGTTGCATAATTGGCGTTTCTGGCGTTTCCTGCCTAGTTATCGAGGCTTTCGTCTTTAAAATTTCCATCTTCTGAGCTTCAATCTTTTCACTGCTTTTTTCAATTCTGCGAACTGGTATTCTGATTTCAAACAAAATTTCTGACACTTTTTTTTCGCTTGTGGCAAAATCAAAATTTAATCGGAATTTTACATTTGAAATCTGATTTCGTCGAAATTCATTCAACTCTGGTTGTCTCGCCGCTCAAACACCACTTTTTGTCGGCCACAATTTACACGTTTCAAAAAAAAAAAATTGCTTTTACCATGGGGAGAAATTTAGGAAAGAGGAAAATAGGACGAGAACGTGTTGTTCCGACTCTTTTTTGTGACTTTGAAAACAAAGGCTCTGAGTTGTTTTGATTGCGACTTGAATGGACATAAGATGAGAGGAATTGGAAGTTGCAAAGTTTTGATTTTGACTGAGGTCTGCGATTCGCAATACAATTTCAAGTTGTCCGTGAATAATGTAAGAAGTTTCAACCTTTTCCGTTTAAGATTTTAAAAAAGTTGTCAGAAGGACTCAACGCCTTCTGAGACTACCCCGGGCTCTGAAAAACGAGGTCGGGAGGACGCGAAAGTGGCCAGACACCTCCAGAAGCCTCAGAACGGACCAGACAACAGCCTGAGGGATCAATTGCGGAACGCGGCCCAATCGGCCACAAACAACAACAAAAACGGCCGATTCCGCACATCTTGTTTTCCCACGCCACTTTACCTCTTTTCCACTTGTCCCAACAACCTTCCCGAACTGCAAAGTAGGTCCGAACTGAAAAACTCTGTTCTTTTTGCAACTTGATATGCTCTCGAGTATTTCTTGGTCTAATTGGCCGCTCACTTCCTTTCGGCCAAACAAACTACTCCTGCATAATTCAATCGCTCGTAAACTATACTATGCTTACAAGCAACAAAACTTGGATCACAAAGTAAACGTAAATGTTCATTTTTTTTTTTTCATCTAATTTACTATCATAATTTTTTTTACTCTATCTACCGCTCGCTTGAGAAGAAAAAACTACAGAAAGGTGTAAGCTTTTTCTGATGAAACTTGTGAAGACCCTTCAAATAGTCAGACGGGAAACTATTTTATTATTTGATAATTCATCTGTACATTTTTCACATACATTACATCATAGACTTGTCGAAATTAATATAGAAACAGTTCGAGTTCCCTTACACACTTTCAAGTCTAGACATGAACTGAGAAACCTGAGGAATTCAAGAGAAAGAGATTTGAAGTGAAATAGTTCAAGGCAACTGCTTGATTTTTGCATTCTTGCAAAAAAAAAAAAACAATCGCTTTCTTGAACCATCGAAAAATGCAAAAAAAGCGGGAGCTGTTCAGCTGAAAACAAATCTCTAGTTTTGTGAGTTAATAAAAAATTCAAAACTACGTTCAACGCCTGCAGGTTTTGTTTTTGAAACGTCTGTGGAATCCCATTTTTGATCCGCGAAAAAAAAATAGGATGAAGCTCAAAACTCAAACATTTCAGCAACACTAACGCATTGCCGCGCAAAACATTTTGGTTTCAGCCCTCCGTCTGTTTTGGAAAAAAAGCCTTTGCAATCCGAAAAACGAGAAGCCTGTGAGTAGTAAGTGGAAAAACAATCAGAACACCATTTTTCGTTTCGACAGCTTATTGAGAGCTCTCGACAAAGTTTTCATCTGTTTAATGCCCTTAATAGATTTTTCGGAGAAGCATAGACATACATAAATATCAAGAAATTCTCGAAGCGAAACGCCGCGTTTTGTATTTTGGTCGACATGAAGCTTTTGCACATTCAAAAAAGTTTTGGGCTGTACCCATAAAGTATAACAGAAAGTTTGGAATTGTACACTTTCCGCGGGTCCTGAACTTTATTTAAAATCTCTCCTTTGATTTGAGAAAGAAGCTGTTTGTGGCAAAGAGGTTAGCACGATTTGTGTTGCCCATTATTCTCCAACCATTCATCAAACGCCGTCGTGACGTCGCCTGGCAATTCTGGACTTCTTCTTGTTCTCTTTGATGTCCCTTCTAAGATTTAAAAAAGTGTACTAAGATTTTTCTCCCATTTATGTTTTATTTGAAGGCTCGAAGGTTTTCGAAGCTTTCTCTTGATATAATGTCAGCCTTCAAGTTCCTTTTTTAGTCAAGCGACACCCTTGACGTAGGGATTTCGCAGGATAAAAAATCACGTGAGAACTGAAAGTTGATGAAAGACATTCTCAGTGATCAAATTGTTTCTGCCCTTTTGCACGAGTCGTTAAAATGCGTCGTTAATCTTGAGAAAGGAAGAAAATGCGCTCTTCCGCAAAAATATTGTCCGATTTCATTTGTTCTTGACCAATTACACTCTGACAGTAGGTACTGGCGACGTCATTGTTTACTCAAAACGTGAATTGAGTAGAAACCCGCCTATTTTCTTCTTTCTGTCTTCAGGTCATCGAGTTTTCAGAAAAACGACTCGCTGCGGTCTTTGCAACTGAAAGCTCTTGGAACATTTGTCCTGACCGACCTGCTGCCAAATATCTTTTTCTTTTAAATTCTGAGCGCTTCTGGAAATTCGTTCCTACTTGTCCCATCGGTGAATAATTCAATGGAACATCGCATGCAATATTTTATTTTTCTTTCAAATACTTTTCCGTTTTCTTCTCCTTTTTTGTTGATATTCTGTTGTCAGAATCAGACGTTTATTAAAAACATTATCAGGTTTTGGCGTAGTTTTAAGAGTTTCTTTTGTTATGATAAAGGGAATCTTCGCTGGAATTAATTTAAAACCGCTTCGAAATAGACTTCAGTTTCGAGTTTTCTAAACTCCTATTAAAAAAGATCTCGGAGCCAATAATTATATGGTTTCGTAAAAATCAAAAAGTCTCAACAATTGAAAGCTCTTGGAACATTTGTCCTGACCGACTTTGGTTTCGGCGTAGTTTTAAGAGTTTCTTATATACAGAAGAAGAGCCCCATTCGAAAGAATTTAACCTTTCTCGGTTACATAGCAACCATTTTGAGGAAGATTTCTTATGGAACAAAAAATGACTAAAAAATGAGAGAAAAGGTCGATTTTCTTTTATTTCAACAAAAACATTGGTCTTTGTTTGAAAGTATGAGCTATAATTATTGAACATATAATTCACGAGAAAAACTCAAGTTATGTCATGTTGATGGGAAAGTCAAAGTTTCTGGTTACCTACCAAAACTTTCTGATTTCGCTATGGGCATTCGAACCATCTGAGATTATTTTTCCTTTCAGCAAAAGGGGATTTTTTTATAGCAGTTCTATTACATTTTCTATAATTTTCAAATACTCGAAATTGAGTAAGGAATCTGAAAAGCCAGAAAAGGTCATCCGCGATCTTTTCGCTTCAAATATTTCCAGGTTTCTTTTCGATCTATCTGGCCGGCAGGCAGTGAGGCAGAAAAACGGAAGAAGAGCCCCATTCGAGAGAATTTAACCTTTCTCGGTTACATAGCAACCATTTTGAGGAAGATTTCTTTTGGAACAAAAAATGACTAAAAAATGAGAGAAAAGGTCGATTTTCTTTTATTTCAACAAAAACATTGGTCTTTGCGTGGGCAGAAAAAATTTTCTAATCTTCTTTTTCAAACCAGTTTTGCATATTATTTCAGTTAGCTGTAAGGTTTGGCTACCAGGTTTTACCCATTTGTGTAGGAATTGATCCAGATGAGGAATCTCTATTAAAATTGGACAATTTCTCTGATTATTCTCTGTTCTCTGAGATAACATTCAGTCAAAAGTCACCAAAAAGGCGATGATAAATTCCTATTTATATAATATTCTCTCCTTCCGTGATCTGAAGTTGATGTAGGCGGAGTTGATCTGAAGAAGCCACGCCTTTCAAAAGAAATGTTTCAGTTTTTTTGTCGTCTCGACACCTCCCGTTATTTCCACTCGTGGAAACTTAAACCAATTTCTTCGTATTCAAATAATAATAATACATTTTGAGTAATTTTAAAGTTTAAAGGATGAATTAGAAAACAGAGTTCTCAAAACAAAAATTGGGTTCAAACGGAAAACTTTGAGTGTCTGAGAAAAGGAAAGTTGCTGACCAGAAGAACTTCGTGCAAACTGTGAAAGATGCTCACTTATCAAAGCTATTATAGTCTTATCATTTTTCCTTCTTTCCATTTCATTCGCCGGTTTTATTCACTTCTTTCCCGATAAGTGGCGTTTTTTTCAAACTCAATCAGGTTTTGGATTTACTATTACAAAAAAAAACCAATAATATGATTTTTAAGCTTTCAGCTTGTCGAGAACTCTAAGGTGGAAAATTAGGCTCATCATTTAGTAGAGTAGTAATCTCAACGCCTTCAACTTCAAATCAATCCCTATAGGAAAGTTTTCCATTTTTCCATTTTCACACTTACTTATAATTCTATGAAAACAACTTATTTTTGTGAGAAGTCGTTGAAATCTTCTTTTCAGTCTTGTTCCTTTTCGTCGAAACCTAGGCAGAGCCAAAGATCAGTCCAGTTCATACTCCTCAGCATGGAGTTCGAGAAAAAAAGGCTTCAAGCCTTTGAGAAAGAGCCTCTTGAAACACGCGTTCCTTCACGCAATATCTGTTTTCGAGTTCTCTCCATCCTAACAAAAAATGAGAACGTCTTCGTGAATAACAAGTTAGTAGCCGTGAGATAAAATCCAAGGCATTTTGAGTTGTTTTCTTCTTCGCTTGTTGTTCGCACCGTGAGAAACAGAGTTCATATTATTTTCTCCATCCTTTCCAGTGATCTACGCGTGAAAAGCTATGAAAATGGTGCCGAGCCCTCTGCGACGTCTCCGGCGCTCCATCTCCGACAGATTCCTCGGAAAACACCACAAGTTTGTCCCTTTTCTCATATTGAACGCTGTGTTGCGGCAAGAAGAAACGCAATTCTTCGAGTTTTTAGATACTTTGGAGCAAATGGAGTGTAGTTGGAATGTTCCTCATACTCTAGTCCAATTTTGATAACTTTCGCGAAATCCCGAAAAACAACGTCATGGCGCCATGAAGGCTTCCTGATAACCCACAGCCTCTAGGAATTTTTGTGATAAGGGCAATTTGTGTCGAAAATCGGAGCAGTGTCACCCGAACACGTGTTGATTACCCAGAGAGGAATCTAGTCTAGCATAGCTTCCGAGTGTCCGTCTAATGAGCTTTATTTGTCACAAGTTAGTTCCGCTAAGGGTCTCGTCTTTTTTTCCGAGTCGTAATTCTAAACTTCGAAGTTTTTATTTCGTCTGGAGGGAAGGCTGACTAAGGAAGAAGCTGAGAAAAGTTACGAAAAAATACCTTTTCGAAGATCTTTTTGTATTCAGAAGTGAACAGCCGTCGCCGAAAATCTCAGAAGAACGCCTGTCGGCGCAGCAATCCATTGAGGAGGATCCTTACAGGGTTAGTTCATTCTACTTTTCATTTGTTAAATGTAAGTTATGAACAGAGAGTTGAAAGTCGGCAAATTATGCGGGGTCAGCTTTCCAGAAACTGGATTTTCAAGCTTCAATACAGCTTTGAGCCTTGATATTGACCTCTCTGGAGGCATCATTTTGGAAACCGGAGCCTAGGCATGGTTTTAATAGCTGAGCCACGCTTGTCCTAGAATCGAAATCAACTTGAACATCTTTCAGGAGATACTGCGATGTCACGAAGACAACGTCTCCCACCTGATCTACCACGGCTCCTCCTTGCGCTCGATGACGTCATGCGAATGGACGGCTTCTGCAGGTGCGACCCCGACTCGCAAGACTAGGAAGAGTGGACGGAACTCGCTGGACACGCAGCACCTTGCCGAGATGAACAACAACAGTCTGGAGCTGCAGATCGCCTCGTTGACGTCTTCTGGCAAAACGGCGAAGGTCGTCGCCTTCGGCCACTAGTCCCAGCTCTTCCTGATTCTCGATGTTATCTAGTCTTTTCTGCTTCTGTCCAACTACCAGTTGGACCGCTTCTCCGACAATGCGACCAGCGCCTCGTATTCGGATAGATCTCACTTTTGTTGTTATCACTCATAAATGTAAATCTTATCGAAGTGTTAGTGATATTTCTGTGATCCACTTTTGTTCTCGATTCAACTATCACTTCTTCTTGTTCGACCGCAGCTTCGCAATTTTCGGTCTTTTTGTCATTTTACGGATTTTTCGACAACGAGTCAATCTATTATTGTCCACATTTGTTGGCTTTTCATGATTCAAAATCAATTTTTTAAATTATTGAATAAAGCATGAAATGAGGTTTCGAGTGAATTGAATTATTCAGAATAACGTCTCTTTTTCAATACTCTATCAAAAAATGGGTCAAACAAGGACTCTCAATGGAGACGTGCTGAATCCTCGGTATTAATTGAAGATTATTG